CTGCTGGCGTCCATGGAAAAGTGCCAGACTACCAGGCAGTGATAGCAAGGGCAGCTGTATAAAGAGGGTGGGGACAGGGTGCAGACCAGGCGGCTCACTGGAGGCTTAGGAGGCTTTGGGAGTGGGATTTGAACTGGACCCCCGGGCTGTAAAGGCCCCAGCCAGCCCTGGGGTGGGGGAAGTGGCACAGCTCAGGGAGACACGGGGACAGGACAGACGGCAGGCGTACTGTCCCATGGAGTGGCCAGGCCAGTGACCTCAGGCACAGGGAGAACACAGGAGTTTGAGGATTCACGTGAAGAGGCCGTGTGGCCTCTGCAGGCCTCTAGCCCACCTTCCCCGGATTCCTACCAAGCCCAGGGGGAGGGGAGATCTCCTGAGAGCAGAATGCAAGGACCCACCTGCGTCCTGAGCTACCCTGAGCTGCCCCCTGCGGCGGGATTTAAGGGGCACTGAGCTACTGCCCTGTATGGCCACATCTCGTCATCCTCCTTCCTTTCAGGGGGAGTCAAAACCTTTTAGATCTGCAAGAATGCCTTATCTAGATGCAGATAATCCTGGGAACCCTAAGCCGGTGTCTCTCTATCTTGGCTGCACCTAAAAATGGACTGGACGTTCTCATTCTTAAAGTCTGGAGTGGGGCGTGAGTATCTGGACCTACGAAACACCTTCCCGGGAATTCTGGTGTCTCCCACGCCCCAGCCCCAGGCTGCGGAATCATCCATCCAAGCCTGAGAGCGCTGAATGGGGAGCCAGGAAACCCAGTTCTGAGGCCTGCTCCACCACTTTCCCCAGCCTTAGGCAATCTCTTAGCCTGCTGGCGACCATTTCTTCACGTGTAACGTTGGGCAAAAGCCCTTTCACTGTGATGATATGAGGAGACTGAGATTCAGGGCAGTTCAGGGCGAGGAAGACTCATGGCCCGGTGGCATGGTGGCTGGGGAGGGACATTACCCAGAACCCCCACTGCAGTGACCCCGCTTCCCTCCTCCCTCTCCTCCGGGGCTGCCAAGGGGACCCTGGAAAGGGCGATGCAGATCTGAGAGCAGAGGGTGCGGAAGGGACATGAGGAGAGACCCAGAGAAGAAGAGGTGGGGGGTGCCCATGGCCAGGGGCTCCAGTTCATTTAAGGTCCAAGACAATGGGAAATCATCTCTCCTGTTGTTACCAGAAAGGTGAAGAATAATTGAAGGCAGTGAGGAGGCCAGATGGTGGGGGAGGGAAGCAGGTGCTGTGCTTTGTGTACTCTAGGGGGACAGGGTTAGGAGAGGAGGGGGCGGCCTCCCCACCCAGCTTCTTTCCCTAGGACATGGCTTTGGCCTACAGTGACTTGCTTGTCGAACCAAGTTGCAGGCCCTCTGGATCAGTTCCTAAGAACCCATGGGGATGGTGGCTTTGGGCGGTGCCAGGAAGCACAGGCTGTGTCTCGGAGACATCTGGAATCCTTGGTCCAGCCTGGCCCTTGGAGAATTCCCACAGAAACCCTTCATCTTACAGGCAGGGGGCCCAGAGAAGAGAAGGCACCTGCCCAAGGCCACACAGGTGACCCAGACCCCAGCTCTCGGGGGGCTCCCTCAGTCCATGGCCCTTTACACTGCACCATCCTGAAAGGCTGGGCAAGTTTCCATCCCTGGACTAGGGCTTGAGCAAGGTCACCCCCTTCCTCTGCCCCTTGCCCAGCACTGCCAGCCCAGCAGAGGTCCAGAGGGTCTGGGAGGTAGAGAGCAGAGGGCTACAAACTGCCCAGGTTCAAGGGCCAGCCCTGCCACTTACTAGCACCATGACTTTAGCCAAGTTATTTAACATGTCTGGGCCTTAATTTTCTCTTGCTTCTAGGGATGATTTTAGTATCCTATGGTACTTATGAGAATTAATGAGCTATACTTAAATGGGAAGAATTTCTCCTATAGTAAGTGCTCGATAAATGTTCGCTATTAATAAGATTGTTCTCCTCCCTTCCCCCTCCCCAATCCCCAGGGCTTCCTGACCACCCTCGCTCTGGGATTTGGGGGATTTAGGCTCCTTACACAGAGGACTTGGCCTTAAGATAAGGAGAGGGGAGCAAAGTGCTGGCCTGGCTACTTAGGACAGCAGTAGCTGAAACCAGGCCAGGTCTGGAAGGAAGGGGGTGAGCGATGGGCCAGGGGACTAATAAAGACGGAGCTAGTTCTTTTCGAAGCTTTTTGCCCATGTGCCAAAGTAAAGCTTGTCCAGGCCTGGGACTGCTAAGCCTCCAGCTTTTGGCACTGGAGGCCGGGCTGGGGGAGAAATGGGAAGGGAGGAAGGCCACACACTTCCCCATCAGATAGGATGTGCAGCTGAGGAGGGCCTGAGAATCCTGACTCACCAGCCAGCATTGCCACCATCTTTCCCTGCCCCTCGTTGGCCCAAAAAGCAAGGCTGACGTTTGTCTCTCCTGCACAGGAAGAACAGAGGCAACAACCCCTACAGGCTGCAGTTTATGGGGCACTGGACAGTCCTTCCCATATTCCAGATCTCTCCCCTGGCCTGTTCCAGAACAGAGTAGGAGGACGGAAACCAGTGATGACGGCACTAAGAGTGAGCACTCTTTCTCGAGCGCTCTGCAAAGGCTTTGTGCGAGTTCACTTATTTCATGTTGACAATAACTTTGTGAGGCAATGCTTCTTTTTTTTTTTTAAGATTTTTTTATTTATTTGAGAGAGAGAGAATGAGAGACAGACAGCACGAGAGAGAGGAGGGTCAGAGGGAGAAGCAGACTCCCTGCCGAGCAGGGAGCCCAATGCGGGACTCGATCCCGGGACTCCAGGATCGTGACCTGAGCCGAAGGCAGTCGCTTAACCAACTGAGCCGCCCAGGCGCCCTGTGAGGCAATGCTTCTATTATCCCCACTTTCCAGAAGTGGGAACTAAGGGTCACAGAGGTAAGGTTGCTGTCATGGCCACCCAGCTAGCAAGGGTAGCCCTGGGATTTCCGCCCAGTCTGGCTGCAGACAGTCCACTTCTTCCCACTGCCCTGGTCACCTCCCTGTGCTCTGCCGTGAAATTCGTGCCGGAGGAGGAGTCCCCTGCCGCCCCTTGCCCCAGCCAGCTGGGTGCCCCCACTCTGTGTTCCTTTCTATCCCTCAGATTTCAAGTTCCGTTCTTTCCAGTGCGGATACTTTGGTCTCCAGAAAGCTCTCTACCCCTGTTCTTCACACCCAAGAGCTAGAAAGAAGGAAGGAGGAAAGCACTCCAGAAAGGAGGGTCCAGGCACAGTTTAGGGCTGAGGACAAAAGGCAGGGCGATGCTCTGGGTTTCCACAATAGCCTCCCTCATCCCACCTCTGCCTGCCGCTGAGGACGCTGGGGAGGGTGCTGAGGTGGGGGCGAGGCTCTCTTCTCTCTTGTCCCTCCTCACCTCCTTCCCTCATCCACGTCCCTCACCTGCCTCGCCTTCAGGCACGCTGCACCTGCCTGGCCCTGACCATGGGTTACACCCCTCTCCAAACTTAGAGGCTTACACCTTGTTTCTGGAGACCTCCCGGGCCGAATGGCTGCCTGGGCCACACCTCTCCCAACGGCAATCCTCTCGCCAAATCCCAAAGGCTGGGAACACCCAGAGTAGCTCTGCCACGGATTCTCGTGGAATGAATACATGAGCAAACAAAAGCACGAACTAGCGATCCACCCTGCACGCCAGCCATGACTATTCGTTTGCACGTTTCCAAAACGCCATGCTTTGTCCCCCCTCTGGGTCTTGGCCAACATGGTTCCCTCCGTCCACGCTTCCCACCACCCTGTGCCAATGCCGCCTCCTCACGTCTCACCTGGAGGTGACTTCCTTGCAGAAGCCTTCTCTGACCACTCGAGGTGGGCCCGCCCCGTGGCCCCCTTTCCCCGGGCTATCAAAGTGTGCTGGAGTGTGTGGTGCCATGCCTACATGTCTCCCTGGTGAGGCTGGGAGCCTCCTATGGATGGGAACCAGGTCTGCCAGGCCCCCAGAGCCTGGCAGGATGCCTGGCACATGGTAGGGACTCAGCCCTTCTTTGTTGAAGGAAGGAAGGAAGGAGGAGGGAGGGAGGAGAGGGGGTGCTTTTGGAAGGAGAGAGAATGAGTGTGTGGGAGCTGAGTGGAAAAGAGCAGCATCCAGGACTCAAACCTCCTTAGAGCCAGATGGAAGCTAGAGCTCTTCCCAGCCCGGGACTGCCCCCTCCCCTCACCATGCACGGTATTATCCAAATAACAAGTCACACGTCCCTGTGGCTGGCTGCAGGTCACCAAGCGCTTTCACATCCCTGGCCTGGCTCCAGTCCCCAGACAGCCCTGACCCAGGCTTCCCAGCTCTTCCCCTCAGTTTAAAGATGAGAATCCAACAAAGGGTGCTGGGCAGCTGGATAGCCACGTGCCAAAAGATGAACTTAGACCCTTACCTCACCTCCTGTGCCAACTTTAACTCTAAGTGCATCCTAGATTTTAGTGTCAGAGCTAAAACAAGATGACTTTTTATTTTATTTTTTAAAAGATTTTATTTATTTATTTGAGAGAGAATGAGAGACAGAGAGCATGAGAGGGAGGAGGGTCAGAGGGAGAAGCAGGCTCCCAAGGAGCAGGGAGCCCGATGCGGGACTCGATCCCGGGACTCCAGGATCATGACCTGAGCCGAAGGCAGTCGCTTAACCAACTGAGCCACCCAGGCGCCCACAAGATGACTTTTTAGAAGAAAACAGGAGAACATCTGTAAGCCTTTGGTGTAGGCAAAGATTTCGTAGACACCATACCAAAAAAGCCTGGTCCATAAAAGAAAATTTGTTGAATTGGACTTTGTCAGAATCCAAAACTGTGGTGCTTCCAAGATACCATGAAGAAAACGAAGAGAGAAGCAGCAGACTAGGAAAAACCATTTGCAAGACACGCGTGTGATAAAGGCCGAGTATCCTGAGCATGAAGACGAGGAAAGGCGCCCTGAGAGATGACACCGCCCGTGAACACGGCCTGGGTCCCTAGGTCGTGTGGTCTCTCCACTGCCTTTGTTCTTTTGCAGGGGCCCCGTAGCTGAGCCGAGACCCCAGGCCTGACTCGGCCCCGCCCTGGAGGACTGACTCAGGTAAGGACCGGCCCTCCGAGGCTTTCAGATCGCGCCTGCGCCTCCCTGCCGTTCCCCAGCGGCTTCCTTAGCGCGGGCTCCCCCGGGTGGCCACTAGCAGAACTGCAGCTTCCTTCCGCGGCTGCCCGATACTCGCTACTCCGCTCCCTGGCAGAAGGCTTGCAGTGTAAAGGTACTGTGGTCAGTGTAAACCGTTTTAAGTTTACGTTCAGCCAAGCATGCTTGTGTCAATGAGTTAAACAGTGACCTAGGGTAATAAAACCGTGGGCAGCCTAGGGCAGAAAGAGAAGGAGCAGAAAAAGATGGGCAGGAGGCTCCCTGCTCCCGTTAGATGCTAATCCGGCTGGAAGGAGGGTGGGTTCTGGTATTCTCCTATTTCTGTGAGTTAGCACAGGGAGCCCCAGACCCCCAGACCACTTCCCGTATCCTGCACACCAGCCCCTTCACCTTTATTCCCTCCTCCATCCCCCTCCACCCAGCTTTCCCAACTCCGGCCAGCATCCCACTGTGCCCCCTGGAGCCATGCATCCACTTTTCATTTGACAAGTGTCTATGGGATACTTCTGTGTTGCAGGCATTGCTCTCCATGACTGACGAATCTTAACCCACCTATCCCTCTTGACAGCACTGTGACGTGGGTACTAGTTACTAACACCACGCCCCTTTTACAGATGAGCAAATGAGGCAGGGAGACCATGAGTAGCTTGCTCGAGGTGGCTCGTGAGTGTTGGAACTGAGATTCAGTGCCACAGAGCCCACGATGCCCAGAAAGATCCCCAGCTCCTGCAGCGCCTCACCTGCCCACTGGGACCTGAAACCACAGTCTCCCCAGGACAGGACTTCTCTTAACCTCCACCACCCCCAGGCCAGGGGACGGGAGACACATCTTCCTTGCTCCTCTTTGCAACTTCCAGACTCTTCCTTCCTCCCTGCTGAAGGCTCCGTCTTGGACCCAACGTGTCAACCTAGGTATCTCGCTCCCCATCTTTGGTACAAGCACTAACTACCCCGCACCCTCACCCCCCCCCCAGGTCACTCCCCTCCTTCCCGGAAGAGTTCACTTCCTGCCTCACGGTCACGCCAGTGCTGTTCTGGTCTTCATTCTTACTGATTTCCTCAAAGGACACTCCAGCCTCTCAGTTCCTTGACACCATTCCCCCGCTCACGTCATGGCCATGCCCTAGATCTTCTCACTACCCATAACTAATCCCTTCTCAGTCTGTGTCACACAGCTCATTTTCCTATCTGTCAGCTCACGGTCTGTGGTACTCGACAGTTCTCCCTCCCTGGACCTCTGGCACCTGTCCCCAGCCCTTGCCCATCTCGCATCTCCTTTCCCTTCCTTACCTGACCAGTCATTAACACTACTCCCTCATATACAGTTCCAACCCTCTAATTCTCATACTTGGGAAAACCTCTAGCCTGGTTAGGTCGAGCTGTGCGCCTCTTCCCCACCTGCATCCACACAGATGAGTACAGCTGGGGGAAAGGCCAGTGAGGCCGGCTGCTCTTGTTGTCCATTTAAGACCATGAACTTCACTGGACTCTTAGTGCTGCCCGGCCGTCCTCCACATTCCCATCGTGCATTCACTCCATCACTCCTCTAGGTTTCTATTTCTGCCTTTTTTCCTGTCCTCAGACATCCCACATCTGCCCCCCACCACCAGCATTGCAGTCACCTTGAGACCTTGTTCCCTCTGAGGCTGAGAAATAGAAGCTGTGGAAGGGCGCGCCCGCCAGCTCCACCAGCACCCCTTCCTCCCTCCTGCTGCCGTGGGTCAGTATCCAGCTCTGGGCCAAGGCCAACTTCACTTGTGCACCAGTTCCCAGCCCTTCCCACGTCCTCACATTGCTCCAGCGATGCCCTGTCTCTCCCACATCACCAGCTTTTAATTTTCTACTGGACTGTTCCCACTGGCATACCATGTTCTGCTACTTCTCCCATCCTAATCACTTCCAAACTCTGGTTCCTTTCCAAAGGAATCGTTCATGCCCACTAGCTCCAAATCCGCCGGCATCCTTCTTCCTCGCACCTGTTCTGGTCTGGCCACCCACTAAACCTCCTTGTTGCTTTAACTGTGGCTAATCCTCAGTTGTCATCTTACTCGGTCCCTCCCTTCTCCTGGAGACACTTCCTTAGCTTCCAGGACACCACCCTCTCCTGCTGGTCTTCTTTCCTCGCTGGCTGCTCTTCTAGTCCCTTTCCTGTGTCCTCCTCACCTGCCCCAGCTGTCTGCGCTGGAGCATCCCGAGGCTCAGACCTTGAGCCTCACTCTGTGCTCACTCCTTCGGTGATCCAGTCCTACCCCCCTTGGAGTCCTCTGTCTGCTGGTGATGCTCACATCTATGTCTCCTGACTCTCCTCTGAGCTGCAGACTCATATCCAGCCACCCACCTGGCATGTCCACTTAGCATGTCCCGCACCGGGCTCCTGACCACCCCCACCCTGCACTTCTTTGCTGTCGCACCTCATAACGGCACCTCCCCTCTTCCAGTTGCTGGGCCCAGAAACTTCAGAGTCACCCTCGACTCCTCTCTTTTACACCCTACCCCCCACCATCCATTCTATCAGCAAATCTTGGCTTCACCTTCAAAATACTTCCAAAATCTGAGCACTTCTCACCACCTCCTCTGTTTCCATCCCAGTCCTGGCTGTGGTTACCTCTTGCCTGGATTGCTACAATTTCCTCCTAACTGACCTGTCCGATTTTACTTCTCTGCTTGGCCCACCCCCATTTATTCTCAAACCAAGGATCAGAGTGATCCCTTTAATACGTTCAGCGATGCATCCCCCAGCATCGGTCTGGTGCATTTAGTAATACTTGTTGAATGAAGGAAGGAAGGAAGGAAAGAATGAGCCTGCTTTTCTTGAATGGGAGTGAAGAGCTCCTAGGGTGATATGAGGTCTGGAGCCAAAACGAATGATCTTAAAAACCAGAACAACTTTGCAGATAACTTCAAGCAGCTACAAGTCACTTCCCGTTTTCATCGGGGCTTCTCACTCTTCTCCAAGTCTGGAGAATACTGAAGCCCATGACCGTGAGCCCTCACTGGATTGGCTCAGGCCCCTGGGCAGATGCCGATCTCCCTGGCTCAAGTTCGACATTAAGACAGTGACATTTACTGAGTCACTGCTCTGTGCCAGGCGCCCTCCTGCTTTACCTCATTTAGTCTTAGGAACCTTCCTTTCCTGGGAACTGGATCGGAGAATCATAGGATGTTGACCCTGTCTGCACGGGCATCCCATGAATGCAGTTCTGTTCTCCAGACTGAATACTCTCACTCTGGGGTCCTACCCACCTTTGTGAAGTTTGTTCATTTCTATGCAAGAAAAGCTTCACAGAGGTATGAATAAGAAGATCCATTTGGAGATGTATTTGAGGACTCTTTCAGTAAAGGGAGCAAACGGGGATCTGGGCTCTTCTGCCATCATGGCTCTGGGTTTGGGGAAGCTGCTGTCTTATGGGATAAGGCTGTGTGCCATCTCAGGGCTGAGCCTCCCACCCTGACCTGTTACTGGCTGGCAATGGACACGCAGTGCGCCCCGCCCCATCTCCCCGGCAGGCTTCTGCGATTACAGAGTGAGAGGGTCTCTTTTGTCTGACCTGAGCATTCCTTTGTCACCAGGGAGCTCCCAGGATGGCCGTCCCGCCGCGCAGCCTGAGCGTGATGGAAGAGACTCGGAACATGACAACGAACGAATGCTTCCAATCCCAGAACACCGTCCTGCAGGGGCAGCCCTTTGGGGGCATCCCCACCGTGCTATTCATCAACATCTTCTTGTGGGTGGTAAGTCCTGGGCTCCGCGCTGGGCAGTGAGCCTTGGAGGGGCGCAAGTGATGCAGCAGGGGCCTCGGCTCTCCAAACGCATGCCAGCCGTAGTGGTGGGGACTCCCCGAATGTCAGTCGTGTCCAGGGCAGCCCGGGAAGAGGGGACTGCAGGAATAGGCAGAATTCCTAAGACTCCTTTCCCCGCGCCTTTGTCCAGAAGCCCACCTGGCCGGAGCCCTTGAGCCTCCCTTCTCTCTCCCCTTGCTGATTTCTTCAAGGAATGTTCTTTTTTTTCTTTTTAATATTTATTTATTTGAGAGAGAGAGCAAAAGCAGGGGGAGGGGCAGAGGGAAAGAGAGAAGCAGACTCCCCACTGAGCAGGGAGCCTGATGTGGGGCTCCATCCCAAGACACTGAGATCATGACCTGAGCCAAAGGCAGATGCTTAACTGACAGATCCGCCCAGGCGCCCCTTCAAGGAATGTTCTTGTCGGATAGTTCCAAGCATGACACCAGTGCCTTTATTCAGCAAATTCTGAGAATCCACTCTGTGCCAGGAAGCTGCTGGGCACTGGGCATCCAGAGTTGAAAAAGGCATGGCCTTTACCCTAACAGAGCTAGCCACCTTGTTGGGGAACCCAGGGAGCCCCTGGGAACCTGAGGGACAGGGTCTCCCCCACGGGGATGCAGGGGCCAGCCAAGCAGAAGACATATCCCCACATCCCCTTCCCTGGCCTGTAGGTCATCATTTTGGTTTACTCCTTCCTCCGGAAAGCTGCGTGGGACTACGGGCGCCTGGCTCTGCTGATACACAATGACAGGTGAGGGGGGGCTGGGGGTCAGGAGGAGCAAGCGGCTTGCCTCCTCGGGGGATGTGCCGCCATAACCGGGACCCAACAGGTGTCCTCTCGGCACCCACTCCGGCCCCTGCGCTGGCCCTCATCCCAGAAAGAGAACTTGGTGGGGAAGGGCAGTCATCTCTGGGCACAAGGCCACTTTTTTCTCGGATCTCAGACTTTCTGGATCCCGTGACTCCCAAGATACATTGGGCACCTGGCAACAGGGGTGATTACTGTCTGTCCCCAGAGCTGTGTGCTCAGGTCCTGGACAGGAGGGTGTCTGGTCCTGGACAGGAGGGTACTGCAGCTCTCCGCCTGGGAGCCAGAGGGACAGCAAGCCTGAGGCCTTTTCTCTCCTTTTCTGCCTCCCTGCTCACTGCTTTTCCTGGCTGCAGCTTGACCTCACTGATCTATGGGGAGCAGAGTGAGAAGACATCTCCCTCGGATATTTCTCTGGAGATGGAGCACAAGGACAAGGTGAGTGCTTGGGTGGGCCTGGGCCCAAAGGGTTCCTGGCCTGGAGCCCAGCCGTGTGCCGAAAGGAGCATGCTCACACTCAGGGGCTTTGCAGCCAGCGACACCCGGCCTGGCCATGTGACCTTGGACAAATTCCTCAGCCTTGCCACGCCTCCGTTTCCCCATTGGAAAGTTGGAGCTATTCACCATTCCTACCTCCAAGTAAGAGTTAGTTAATTCTATTATTTTAGAGGGATTTTTAAAACTAATTTTCCTGCTCTTCTCAAATCCTCAACCCTCGTTACAGCCCGCGTCCTGCCCAAGCCCCACTCTGAGCCAAGGACTCACCTCCTACTTCACATAGGAGATTCCTCACATGAGGCAGGGATTCCCTCAGCCTCCTCCATCCTGCTCCATGGAGCCCGGTCTTCTCTTCCTTCTCATCCCTGTCGGATGCCAGTAGTCCACCCAAGCTTGGTCATTTGCTCAGCCAGTTGCCCTGGTGCACCTGCTGAGGGCCACTGCTGGTCTGGGGACTGGACAGTGAACAAAATGGACCAAGTCCTGCTTCATGGGACTTTCTCCCTGTCTGAGAGACACCCAGACAGATGCACACAGGACGGTGGTCAGTGCATGAATTCCAAAAGGGGCAAAGAAGGCAGGCCACAGTAATGGGATGGAGCTGGAGTGTTGCAGAGGGTATCAGGGACGGTTGTGGGCCCCGACACAGCCCACAGCTGCCTGTGTCCCTCTGCCCCATCACAGCGAAACTGGAAGAGCCGTGTGCACCTGCGCTCTCCACTTTCCCCCTCACTCCTCAACCCCTGTAATGTGGCTTCCGTCCCTCCATCCCACCCAGACAGCTCATCAGTTGTCCCACGCCATGACATCCGATGGACTTTCCTGAATTCTCATCTCATCTGATCTCTCAGAAACATCTGGCCTTATAGACCATCTTCCCCTCCTGAACAGGCCCTTCCAGTTGCTTCTGTGACACCACACTCTCTGGGCTTCCCTTCTGCCACTCCATCTGTTCCTCTCTGTCCCCTCTGCAGGCTCCTCCTCCACAGCTGGAGTTTCCCTCAGTGGGTCCCAGACCTCCTCCTCATGCTCCTGGGCAGTGTCACCCACACTCATGACCTCAACTGCCACCTCTCCACAGACCCTTCCTAAATTTCCGTCTCCAACTAAACTTCCCTCTGGGCTCCAGGCACATTTATCCAATGGCCTTCAGAATATCTCCCCGTGGATATTGTAAAGGCATTTGGGATTCAATATGTCCGTAACATGCCACGCTGTCCGTCCACCCACCTGTTCCTCAATCCCTGGTCTCAGACTCTGCCCACCACCCACCCAGGTGCACCCCCTTGGTGTGGCCCAGGCCCCCAGGCACAGCCAGTCCATTACCGAGTTATATTGCTGTCACCTTCCCAGTCTTGTTCCTCTCCCCCCACCCCCCAGTCCAGGCCCCCGCTGGTCTCTTGTTGGTTGACCAGGGTGGCCTCTAACGAATCTCTATGTCCACACTTATGTCCTGCCCCACCCATTTCCTACCTGCATTCGGAGCGATCCCCATGAGCGGGGACACACATTCCCCTGTGTAAACCTTCCCTGGCTTCCTAGTGCTCTTGGAATAAAGTGCAGATGCCTTGCGTGGCCTCGTGCTTGGTCTCCCGCCAACCTGTCCAGTTTGTCCTTCTCCTCCCAAGTCCCCATCCCTGGCCACATCGGCCACCTTTTAGATCCTCAAAAGTGCCACCTCCTTTCCTCCACAGGGCCTTTCACCTGCTCTTCCCTGTCTCCCTTTGCAGTGGCCCCCGCTCAGGGCTAACACACTGACCGTTCGTTCAGATTTCAGCCCCCGCACCACTGCCCTGGGAGCCCCATCCACCCCACGCGGGACCGGATCTTTTGTCCTCTGCGCACGGAAAGTGTATTCCTTTTCTTCAGGGCTCTTAACCCAGTGGGTAACAATCCCTCATCTACCCAGTCGGTCCCGTGCATCTGACCAGGTCTTGCCCGCCACTGTCCCCGCACCCAGGCCAGCCTGCCGTGTAATTAGCATCTGATAGGTATTTGTTGGAGGCAATGAGTGAGTAGAACCATTTTCCTTCCCCTATCATCCTTCCAAGAGACCTGGTCCCGCTACCTGCCATGATCTGCCCCAAGCTGTGTGGTGAGTCGCAGACCAGTTTGTGTCTCAGAGTTTCTCCGTAGAATAAGGACAGTCACACCTGCCTTACGAGGTGGTCCTCAGCTTTATTTTCAGAAACATTACTTTGGTTGGGGTTTTTTTGTACAATGGCACAAAGATCATTTATTTTAAAAAGATCTGAGACATCATGAGGGCGGCAGTGGGCAGTCACCCTGCAGAGCTGGAAATGAGGCAGGCAGGGAGAGTGGGAGGCGGGGAGTGGCCCCTGGAGCGCCCCAGCCGCAATCCCGGGACCTCAGCCAGCCCGAGGGGCCCGGGGACAGCAGAGGGGTCATTACCCGCCGTGGTGGGAATGAGGAGGGTGGGGCCACCAAGAGAGGTGCAATGAACTGACCACTGTCACAGGCCTTGTGCCCCAAGCTAGCCCCTGGTTACTTGTGGCCGTTGCCTGCAGGGGTGAGGCAAGAGGGCACGTGGCATCCCTTCTCGGGCCTGCTATTCAGCTGCTAAGTTTGCTGAATGGTTTATGCCTTTCGTAGCTGTGATGTACACGCGGCGGGGGGGGCCTTGGGGGGTCTGTTGTCTGTGAGCCCAGAGAGAGGTAGTCTACACGGGCTTGCGGCACATCTGAGTCTGTGCAGTTGTCATGGTATGGAGGCCACACTCTGCCCTTTGACGGACAGTCCTGTCCTGTGGGAATTCCAGGGCGCATGCTTGCCCTGTGTGTTATCCCCCTTGGCACCTGCCGTAGAGGGGGTGGAAGGGGTTCCCAGGAAGGTGTGTCCTCCACTGTGCACGACCACTAGGGACTGTCAGCAAACCTACTTGCTCCCTAAATAAATCACACCCATTTGCCCAAAGGTAGGTGGTGGAGAAAGCCCCTCCCTGGCAGGGAAGGGTGGTCAGACTCTGCCCAACTCTTACTTAGCAATTCACTCCTTCCCTGGGGACATTCCCAGTCAGTGCCACCAGCAAGTTATTCTCCTTCTTTGCTTTGACTCATACCTGGACATCTGTCCTGATTTTATTTATTATTTTTTGGGGGGGGGAGCAGAGGGAGAGGGAGAGAGAGAGAACCCTAAGCAGGCTCCGTGCCCAGCGCAGAGCCCGACATGGGGCTCAATCTGACGACCCCAAGATCATGACCTGAGCCAAAATCAAGAGTCTGACGCTTAACTGACCGAGCCACTCCCCCCTACCCTTTTTTAGAGAGTGTCTTTATCTTAGTTCCCCAGGACAGAACTGGGGAAATGGTCCCCCACTGAGGTGGACATCTGACTTATTAGGCAACCCCAATCCAGGGAAGGAAGCAAAGAACTTCCTTCTGTTTCTTGCTTGCCTGACTCCCCATCGCTTCCTTTTGGGCAATACCCCTTCCCCAATCAGTGTGGTGCCAGGGAATGTCAGCCAGGTGGGCCTGCCTGTTTCACTGATGTGCTTGTGATCAAATGGGGTCAATCAAGAATTGCAGCCTTTTCCCAGATTTTGCTAAATCCTGCAGAATCCCAGGAGGAAGCACACACCAGGGCAATTTAACCAGCTACCAGATCTGGCAGCTTTTAGGGCCATGGGCCCCAGCCTATCCTCATGCACACTCTTCCCAAGCACACGACCTCTCTAGGCCTCCCACCCCTCCACCACTGAGGCTGCCCTTCCCTACCACCCAGAAACCAGACAGCAAGACCCTGAGAGAAAGACATAATCGGCAGAACTCTCAGATGTAAGAGAAGAAACCCAGGGCGCCTGGGTGGCTCAGTTGGTTGGGCGACTGCCTTCGGCTCAGGTCATGATCCTGGAGTCCCGGGATTGAGTCCCGCATCGGGCTCCCTGCTCAGCAGGGAGTCTGCTTCTCCTTCTGACCCTCCCCCCTCTCATGCTCTCTCTCTATCTCATTCTCTCTCTCAAATAAATAAATAAAATCTTTAAAAAAAAAAAAAGAGAAGAAACCCAGCTCAAACTAGGTAATATGTGGCTTGAGTCAGGGGAAATTAAAGAGAAGTGGCTGCCTTGGGTACAGGGAGATCCAGGGAGTCCAGAGATAACACCAGGATCCCCCCTCCAGCCCTCTGTCCTCTGAGCAGGCTATTTTTCTCAGACAAGCGCCTGCCTGTGGCATCGAAGATGCCACCAAGCCCCTGCAGGCTCCATGGTGTTCACCAAGGTGCAGGAGCTCAGGTGGAGAGAGACTCCCTCTCCCGAGATCCCCATCAATCCCCCTAAGAGAATTTTGATTGGCCCCACTTGGGTCATGCTCCCATTGACCAACTGACCACTGGTGGCAGACCCCTACTTCATGGACAGCCCACCAGGCCATATGCATGGGGTGGGGGGCATTTCCAGAAGGAAGCAACGAGGGACAGACAGAAAAGCAGCCGATGTCCACCGCACAAAAAGGATCCCTTCTCTCCCTCTGGTCCAAGGCCCACAAAGCCCCCATTTCCTGTAACAGGATGCCACATGGCAGGAATGTGAACTCACAGAAGAAGTCTGGGGAGACTTCTTCCTGGAGAGTCACCACAGATTCCAGTTGGAACCCACTTCCTTCCAGAATCTGAGCTCTTTCTCGCTGCCATCTCTTGCCAGGAAGGAGACCCCTATGGACGCTGCCTGGGTTCACTCAGCTGGAGGGCAGGCCTGGGGCTGGATTTTCTCACATGTTCTCTCCTTTCTCCCCAGGGCTTCTATTCCTGGTTCTTCAACACAGTCACCATGAAGTAAGTGCCTGAACTTTCTTTTTTTTTTTCAACTTTTTTTTTTAAGATTTTATTTCTTATTTGTCAGAGAGAGAACACGAGCAAGAGCAGGGGCAGGGGCAGGGGGAGTGGCAGCAGGGAGCCCGATGCGGAGCTCGAGCTTGATCCCAGGCCCCCAGGATCATGACCTGAGCAGAAGGCAGACACTTAAACTGACTGAGCCACTATGCAGGCGCCCCTTTGTGCCTGAACTTTCTGAGCTTGTGCTGGCAGCTGCCTTACTTGGGGGAAGATGGGGGTGGAGCCTGCTGCCCCGCAGGTCTGGGGCTGGACCTGAGTTCTGTGCCCCACCCCCCACTCCCCCTGACCACTTCAGCCCTGCCCAGGCAGAGCAGGCCCTCTGGGGTTCCGGGGGGGAGGGGGAGATGGGAACTGGACATAGCCCACAGCCCTCAGGAAGGCACCACTTAGTCACGCGTACAAAAACACTTCTATGAACTCCACCCTAGGAAAAAAGTTCTTCCTGCAGTGCTCTCTGCTTTATTTCTGTGAGCATCCTTCATCATACTGAAATGGGAAAGAACACAGTGGGCAGAAGGGCTCAGCCTTGATAACAGAGGGACAGCCCCTTGCCTCCCCCACCTCCTGGATCTCTTTAGGGCCGGACCCCAGTTGGCAGGGAGACAGACCCCAGGTCACCTGTTTCTCCTGATTCCCCCACACTTCAGCATTCTGACTTCCCGCTCCTGATTCCGCCCCGCTTCAGTTGGGCACCTTCCAGGGCTCTTCCAGCTCTCCGTGCCCCGACGGTGTGCACACGGCTCTGCCGCCACCTCATAGCCCTGCACATTCCTGGACACTCCCTAAATATCCCCCATCTGTCCTGCCCTGCCCATCTTCCAAGCCCCTCCTCCAGGGCCCTTTCTTGCCTGGTGCCTGCCTTAGGATGCAGCCTCGTGGCCCATCTGAGGCCACCTGCAGCAAGGGGCTGGACTGGGCCTGCTAACTTGCTTTCTTGGCAGAGCCTCCTAGAACTTCCTCCTGCACGCCCACCAGTCAAGGTCCTGGCTGGGAGCCTTCCTCCATTTTCCCAAGACCCCACCTCACCCCCAGGTGAGGGCGCCTCTCTTTCTCCAGACCTGCTGAGGGGGGCAAGGGCACTGTGCCTGGGCCCTGGGAACCCTGAGCTGGGCTTAGGACCATGAGCCTCTGGTGTCTGAGCTGCAACCCTGCTGATGGGGGAGTCCCTGTGGCCTTGCCCCCATCCCCTACCCCCCCACCCCAGGCTACCTTCATCATTCATCAGGGTCCACCGGAAGTGATACAGCTAGTTTGTGTGTGGTCCGGGGATCTTAGCCACACGCAGGGGAAGTGGAGGGGAAATGGTTTATCTCTTGGCACCTTCTCTGGTTTTGCTTTGGTAATTTTTAAGACATGCACAAGCTCACATTAAATATGTTTTCATTCAGAGAAACATGAAAGTCCACCTCCAGCCCTCCTCCGGAGACGCGATCCCTGTCAACAGTGTTAGGGAATCTTACTTTTTTTTCCCTTTAAACAAGCATTTACTGAAAAAAAAAAAAAAGTGGGTTTGTTTTTTTTTTTAAATGACCACTAGGGTGTATGATCATTTGGAGCTGGTGGCCTCAGGAGGCTGTCCGGGCTGGCTCTAGGTTCCTAGGTTTAGCAAAGTCATGAATGCTGGGCAGGGGCAGAGTGGCACGTTAGCCAGCCCTTTGCAGGGGTGAGAGGGAAGGAATCCCAGGGCGCCTGCGCCTGTCTGAGCTGACCATATCCTCAGTCCTGAGTAGCTTGAGGCTGACTTTCTGGATCTTCTCTGCCATCTGCTGACACGTTGATGGGTGTATTCAGGGTGGGGAAGAATGTGTCCGTGTTGCAGGAGAGAAGCGTAAGACTTCGGGTGGTAGGTGACTCTGTGGTGTGCGTGCAAATATGAAATAAAAGAGGCACATCGCTACATTGGTGCAAATCCGCGTGCAGCTGTTCAGGTGTGCGTGCCCGGACCTGCAGGTCAGGGGAGGTCAGTGTGCGCAGTGTGTGTGTCTGGGTGAGGATCCTCTTCCCCCTACCTGACTCCACCCAGAGGCTCCTCCATTGGGAGCACATCATCCGGGAAGGGAGGATGGCTGGCCGTTGCACGGTGCATCCTGCATCCTTTAGGAGCAGGGTCTAGAAGACAGCCTCACGCCGCTGAGACAGCTCAGTCCCTGAGCAGGGACAGGGACGCCAGAGTCCCCGGGCACAATGCCCAAGCAGTCTAGTTGGAGAGGCAAAGGTTAACAAGACTCACTCATAATAGGGAAGTTTTATTGCCGGACAAAGGGCATTTGGGGGAACAAGAAATTAATTCCAGCTAGGGGGTTCAGGGGAAGCAAGTTTTGAGCTAGGCCTTGAAAGATGGGAAGAATTTCCACACTAGGCCCAGTGGAGGGCCCATCACAAAGAAAGGACTGCATGAGTGAAGATTTGGGACAGAGATGGGCCGAAGCATCCAGAAATGGTCAGTCTGGTGTGGCTAGAAACAAGGATACATCTCAAGAGAGAGGCTAAAAGATTGGGCTAGAAGAATCAGCTAGGATCTTGACTGCCATGCTAAGAAACCTGGGCTTTGATCTAGAGGCAGTAAAGAGCTAATTCCTAATTTTGAGCAGGATACTCAGGGTGAGAATCTGTTTGTAGGCAGGAGTATGGGGGGGACTGGCAGTTGAGCAAGTCCAGAGGCAAGGTGAGCACCTAAGGAGGGTTTTCCAGTGTCCAGGTGAGAGGGGGTGCTGACCAAGGGAGGAGGCAGATGGCCTCCCATCTGGTCTCCAACTGGTTAAGAAAAGGAGTGATCCAAGTCTGGTTTCTGGGGAAGATGGTGACGCCACTAGTTGGATGCTGATGAGATACGAGGAGTTGGGGGAATGATGAATTATGGCTAGGGCAAACCCGCGAGTTGACCAGCAAGCTATTGAAAAACAGGGTTCGTTAAAGCTTTGGAGAAAGGCCGAGCAGGAGGGCGCGGCCTGGGAGATGGGTGCACAAGGTCATAGTTGAAATTGTGGGAGCAGATCGGTCACCCCAAATGGGAAGCAAGATCAAAAAAGAGTGTCGCAGGGGCAGGAGGAAGAGGCGGCGATCTTTAGGGCTGGCCTCCCTGAAGGCCTCGAGGGTGTGGCGGGCAGCCTGTGAGCTCTGAACTCCTGGTTGAGTGCAACGAGAGCACGAAGAGGGCGTGCACATCAGTGGACGTCAGTGATTTGGGTCTCCGTTGGGGGAACGGTTCCTGGGTAAGGTGTCTGTGAAGTTGAGGCAGAGGAAGAGGTGGGCGGGAGGAGGGAGGTGACGATATTGGCTGGAACTTGAGGGGAAGCAGGTCAGGGAATGGAGGCTTGAGGAGTTTCTTGTATTTCAGAGTAGCCAGTGTGCCCTTGAGCCCAGTGGTAGTTCCAAGATGTGGAGAGAGGTGGCTGTGAATTCGAAGATGAGAGAGGACAATGGATACAGTGGGTCTCCAGAAAGAGGAAATAGGAGGGAAGCGACTAGAGCCAAGAGGAGAATTAGTTGTGAGGAGGAGGGTGGTGGCTGGAACTTCCGGGCAGGGGGTCGGTGTCTCGGCTCCCTCCTGAGACTGGAGGCTCTCTCAGCCCCACCCTGTCAGAGGCTCACTCCTGTCAGGTGACCAGGTCTTGGCACCCAAGCCTGCAGCAGGACTCTCCCTTCGTTCCTGCTCCCCAGCACCCCGCCTTCTCACCAGTTCCCACCCACCCCATTCTTGGGATTTAATTCTCAAGTCCAGGGCAGGAAGTATTTTAACGGCTTGCAGTTAAAAAAAAAAAAAAATTGAGAGCTCTAAATAATTCCCTAAATGGGGATTATTGAAACGCCTTGAAGATATGCTCTTTATAGTATTGTTTAAAAATAAATCTGAATCCCTGGACTGGATGCTAGAAGTTGCATACTCCCTACAAGCCTGACCGGAGCGCAGGGGTGAGTAAACCCTGGGACGTCCACCAGCCGAGTGGGGAGGCCACCTTGGTGCTGGGTATGAACCAGCGCCCTGGAAATGGAGGCCACTATAACTGTTACCACTGTGCAGCCATGAAAACATTTACACAAAACGTGAGACAGTCAGAAAAGGCTTCAGATGAAAACCTAAGCAACACAACAATACATCCAATGCTGTTTATATTATAGTCACGAAATTCAACTGGCACAACGACAAAAAACTAAAGGCAATGGACCAAAGTGCTTCATGGTCATTATCTTAGGTTGGATGAGATTCTAGGGGAATGATTTTCTTCTCCTTTGTATTTCCCCAAAATCCTATAATAAGCGTGTGTTGCTTTTAAATTTCTTTTTGAAGTATAACACACATATGGACAAGCGCACAAAAATCAAGGTCCAGCTCAGTTGTAGCAAAGCAGATCAAGGATTAGAACTGCCAGCACTCCAGGAGCCCCCCTCCTGCTCCCTCCCAACCCCCTGTCACTTCCCCCTACCTCCCCCTCTCCAAAGACAACCCGTATCCTGACTTCTCTCTCCATAGTTCAGTATCGCCTATTTTTGAACTTTGTGTATGGAAACATTTGTATGTATTGTTTGTGCCTAGAGCTTTCACCCAACATTGTGTTTGTGAAGTTCAGCTGTGGTCTTTCATTTTTATCTCTGTACAGTATTTCTTTCTTTTTTTTTTTTTTAAGATTTTATTTATTTATTTGACAGAGAAAGACACAGCGAGAGAGGGAACACAAACGGGGAGTGGGAGAGGGAGAAGCAGACTCCCTGCCGAGCAGGGAGCCCGATGTGGACTCGATCCCGGGACTCCAGGATCATGACCTGAGCCGAAGGCAGTCGCTTAACCAACTGAGCCACCCAGGCGCCCTCTGTACAGTATTTCATTCTATATCTATATCATTACATATAGATCTCACATATATACATATACATATGTATCTCACACTCTTTTTTTTAAAGTAGACTCTGTGCCCAATGTGTGGCCTCAGCTCACACCCCCAGGATCTAGAGTCGCACGCTCCACTGACTGAGCCAGCCGGGCGCCCCTGTATCTCACAATTCTTGTGTCCGTTTCCACCTTTGGTAGACATTTAGGTTGTTTGGGGCTGTTAGAAATAATGCATCTGAGATTCTTACACGTGTCTCTTGATATACATGTGCATGTGCTTCCACTGGGAATAAAACGAGGCGCGGAGTTGCTGGGTCACAGGCTGTGCATGTAGTCAGTGTCCTTAGATAATACCAACTGTTGGCCAAAGCAGCGGTGCCAGAGTATGTACCCGTGCGTGGGGGAGAGCGCCCAGTGCCCCTGGACCCTCGCCGGCACTTGCTCTTGTCTTTCTAACTTTGGCCAATCTGGCCGTGTGGAGTGATATGTCATTGTGACCTTAAGAATTCTCTTTTAGGGGGCGCCTGGGTGGCTCAGTTGGTTAAGCGACTGCCTTTGGCTCAGGTCATGATCCTGGAGTCCCTGGATCGAGTCCCGCATTGGGCTCCCTGCTCAGCAAGGAGCTTGCTTCTCCCTCTAACCCTCCCCCCATCATGTACTCTCTCTCTCTCTCATTCTCACTCTCTCAAATAAATACATCTTAAAAAAAAAAAAGAATTCTCTTTTAGGGCGCCTGGGTGGCTCAGTCGGTTAAGCAGCTGCCTTCGGCTCAGGTCACGATCCTGGAGCCCCAGGATCGAGTCCCACATCGGGTTCCCTGCTCAGCGGGGAGTCTGCTTCTCCCTCTGACCTTCCCCCCTCTCATGCTCTCTCTCTCTCTCTCATTCTCTCTCTTTCAATAAATTAAAAAAAAAGAATTCCCTTTTAATTAACAAATTAAAAGAAACAACTTAAAAAAAAATCGGATGCCTCTCCATATCACTACTGGTTGGTCTGGTGCACGCCCCATAGAAAGCACTCAACACGAAGCAAGGAAAGATGGAATGACTGCATGATTTCTAAAGTGCCTCTGGATTCCCAAGCGTGTGTGTGTAACAGCTTCGACTTTGGATATGCCCGTGAAATTCAGTGAAATACATTTCAGGCATGATAGAGGCTTTAAGACAAAGGGTGATCATTCTAAAAAAAAATTAAAAATAAAAACTTGGGGGTAGGGTGACAATCTTCTCTTCCTTGCCCTCCTTCCAGTATACCTGTGGCCTCACAGGCTCCTGAGGAATGTCCTTGTCTGTGTGTCTCTTCCAGGAACGAGGATCTGATCAGCAAGTGTGGAGATGATGCCCGCATCTACATCATGTTCCAGTATCACCTCATCATCTTTGTGCTCATCCTCTGCATCCCCTCCTTGGGTATCATCTTGCCTGTCAACTACACCGGAACCGTTCTGGGTAGGCGGAGCTCAGTGTGCCCAGGGCCCTGGGCCCCCAGAGCAGAGGGGCAGCCCGGGAGACAGGACAGAGCGTGGGTCTCGAGTCTAGAAATCCAAAATTGAATTCCACTTCTCAAAATTAGTGATGTGAGCTGAGTCCACCCAAACTTCAGTTCTCCCACGTGGAGACTGGAGAGGAGACGTCCGTCGTCACGAGGTTGGCTCAGGACCTTGGTACAGCAGGCGTGCGATAGTAATTCAGCCTGGAACTGAAGGTTTATCGGCAGCCCCGCGCTACACCTGGCCAGGTGCTTGCGAGGCCTTTTTATGGCATGTGACCTACGGCAGAGATCCCTGAACTTGATCTCTCCCCACCTGCACGATGACCAGACACAGCCCTAGAAGTGCAAAACTGGTCTCCTAGGAAGTCTCGCTATGCTTGTTATAAAAGGGCAAGTCCTTTGGACAGACTGACATTGTGGGCTTGGGCTTCGAAGACAGAAAAATCTTGGTTCCCCAACTTTGACCCACATCTGCTTCCGAGAAAACACCTTCGCCCAATCTCGCAAATTATTTCATCTTATCTGCAGCAGATCACTCTCCCCGGGCGTCGGGTCCTCAACTGTCATGGGGATTGGGAGAGAATGCATGCCTGGTGCCCGGCTCGTAGTGAGCGCTCAGTGAATAACAGCCGGTATTTCACTTAGCAACGTGAGGAGGGGCAGGGCTGGAGGCTGTGTAGCTAGGTGGGGTCGTGTAGCGCCCACCATGCCCGGGTGGCAGCCAGTGGTACCCTGCTTCCTCACAGGGCTGTTTCTCCTCAGCCAGAGGTAGACTTCAGTTAATTCAAGGTAGCATGCGATGTCTGCGCCACCAAATACCGTCACCAGAGTCAGCAACTTCTATCTTTCCAAATTCTCTTCCTAAGAGCTAGTGTGTTGGTGATGATATATTGTATATAATGTATATGTTATATTAATACAGGATTTCTGGACACGTTTCATAACATTCAGAGGTGTCTACACCGACAAACTAATGCACTTTGCCAGAAGGATTTATTCTGTCCCAATGAGGCAACGTGACATTCTTGTGATTGTTGCCAGTGGTAACAGCCTTGCTGATTTCATCCCTCCACTCATGGCGGAGCCCTGGGCTCCTTCAGTAAGTGCTTACTGGTGGTGTCTGCCACGCTCCAGTTGGGCACTGGGGATGCCACACCAAGACTTGGTCTCACGTCACAGCCGTAGAGCCTCAACCAGTAGTCCCAGGGAGAAGAAGAGGCCTCTGCTGGCTTTCTTGGGAGTTGGAGGCAAGTTCTGGGGAACGAGAAGGAAGGGCAGGACATGGGCAAACATCTCCAGACCCCAGGCATGCATTCAGGAACCTTGAATTCAAGCAGCCCCCTCGACTCACTCAATCAAGGAACCAGCCTTGAGGACCTCCACTTTCTTCTCTTCCAGATTGGAATAGCCACTTTGGTCGGACCACCATCGTCAATGTCTCCATAGAGTAGGTACCTGATCCTCTTACCTCCCGTTCTACTGGCTGGGCATTGGTGGGGAGAGAAGGTCCAGCGTGTGGGTCGAAAATGTGGGCACTGCTTCGCTGCTAAGGCCTGGTTTCCTTGGGACCCATGTACTGAGCAGGAGGCCAGAAGTTGCATTCTCTTGGTGCCTCAGTGTCCCCATATCTGTAATAGGTAGAACCACCCAAACTGGCCACTCCAAAGACCTGGAAAGACAGTCCTGTTGGTTTACTACATCCAGCGCCCAAGTGGCAAAGACCCTGTAGCAAGCAGAGGCTTGAGCTATTCTTTCCTGCCCAAAAATAGTGCATGTCAACCCTCATCTAATGACTAACGCATAGACCCAATTCCCATACCCCCAGGGGGAGGTGGGGGGCTGAGGACCCATGTAACCCGGCTTCATGCCCCACCTCTGCTGTTAGCTGGCCCTGGGTCCGGGGCAGTGCCCTCCCACCCCGAGCTGCATTCCTAGTCTGGGGGGAAGCAGGGGAGGAACAAACGTTGGACGTGATTCGTGGATTTCAGCAGCAGCCAACACAACTGGTGGCTCAGTCAATGTGTACTGAGCCACATGTGGCCCTGCCGGTCCACGCTGAGAAAATAGGCCTGCTGGGGATCTTGGCCACATGTGGCCGACTTCCTGACAAAGCTGAAGGGGCAGGTCCAGCAGGTGTGAGTGGGGGTTCACCCATCCCTGCCCCACTTCCCCCTGCACCCTGCAATCCATCAAGCTTCCAAATCAGCAGGATGGGGCTATGGCATCCTTTTACCTCTCCTTCCAGGTGGCCCCTCCCCTGGTGCTGCCAACTCCGGAGCTCACCAGGTTCTCCCAGGCCAGCCACTGGTGTAAGGTGCCTACGCCTTCCCGACAAGATGTTAGTTTTAATAGGGCAGGAAAGACCTTCAACATCCATAAGTCCATACTGGCAGAGAGCTGGAGTGTTCCTCAGAGTCCAGAGAAACTTGCCCCCTCCGAGGACACCTAGCTGGATAGGGAATATTCGGTGAAATGTCAGGCACTGGGGCAAGTGTTGAGGAGAGATTTTGAAGCAAGGCAGCTTTCTCTTCTCAAACAACACCAAATAAGGTGGGTCCTATTTCTGAACAGTCCTCTTGGCCGGATGCCTTGGGACAGCATCGTACGAGCCCAAAGCCCTGGTGCCACCACTCTTCCTGTCCCAGGAGAGGTAGAGCGAATCCGCTGGGCCCTCCTCCCTCGGGGCCCGAGTAGGACCCCCCCATCCCTCGGCACTGAGGGCTGATGGCCCCCCCCACTTGGGCTGCCTGGCGGCTGTGGGAGCATGAGCTGGAGCCTCCAGCAGCCCGATATGGTGGTGAGGAGTCCCTGGGCGTCCTCTGCCCCAGGCTCACCTCCCAGTGCTGCCACGGCCGGGAGTGACCTCTGCCTCTGGCCCTCATTTCCCTATGGATAAAATGAAGATAGCCACAGTAGCACCCTCATAGGGTGTGAGAATCTGGTGAGAAAAGGTACAGAAAGCATCTAGTCCCACCCTGGGTCTGGCGTATAGTAAGCACTCAGTAAATGCTGGCCTGCGGTAGCTGGTGTGCCCCCCCGCCCTTCTTACCATGGCCATCCCCTTCCAAGGTGGCCAAGTGTCTGGAAGTACCAGAGGGCAGCAGGGGGAGACTGCCTGGGGTGGGAGAGGGTGGTCTCACCCCTCCTGTGTCTGGTTTCTGGCAGGAGTAAGGTCCTGTGGCTGCATAGCTGCTTCTCCTTCCTCTACTTCCTCATCAACCTCGTCTTTATGGCTCATCACTGTTTAGGGTTTGTGCCCAAGAAGAGCTACAAGGTGAGTAAGTGAAAAGAACTCCCGAGCTGCTCCCTCCCAGCCAGAGCCGGCCCCCGCTGGACCATTGCACTCCCGGCCCTCAGAGGCATCCCAGTTCGCACATTCTGCACACCTGTGGGGGGCAGTCTCACCGGAGCAGGGCAAGCCTCCTCCCCTTGGCCCGGTGAGTCATTACCTGGCACCTCGCACAGCTGTCCTGCTTGGTAAGCCACTGGAACGCTTCCACACCGGTTGGTAAACAGCTGCTCCCAGGGGCCTCCTACCCCTTGCCCTGCTGCCCGGCCCCTCTCTGAAGACCCCTGAGCCCCAGCCATCCACAAACTAAAAGGTTAACAAACCCCTGGACCGGCAGGCACTTCCATCCTAAGTACTCAGTGTCCCCTGCTGGGGAGTGCCCGAGGTCCTTGCCCTTCCACAGTCTCTGAGGTCAGAGAGCCCAGGGCCCGGCCCAGGTAGCCCCACTGTCCTGGTTTGGGTCACCCCACCTCCCAAGCGGCCCTAAGATAAGAGTCTGCACAGCATTCACTTATTTTGAAGGTGATCCTAGGAAAAACCACTAGAGGGTGGGGAAGTGGGATGGAAAAGAAAATGCAGGTAAGAGGGAGAGGTTAAGGAGCGACTCTCACTACCCTGGGAGTTGGGTAGAACAAGCACCCTAGATTTACCCTGCCTAGGGGAGCAGTCTGCACATTCCCACCAGCTCCCTGGCCATCACTGGTTGAGGCTGCATTCGAGGCTTTAACTCTTTACACCTTGCTGGCTAACATTGGCAGTCCAGGGTTTAATATGCACAGCTGCCCTTGGGGTGTAGAGATGAGGCTGAGGGGCTGCAGGTGGGCCTGGCAGTGCTGCCCACCCAAGCTAACACCCACACCCACACCTGCACCAGCACCCACATAGCCCCAGCCCCAGCCCCAGCTCCAGCCCAGCTCCAGCCCCAGCCCCAGCCCCAGCGCCAGCTCCAGCCCCAGCCCCAGCCCCAGCCTCAGCCCCAGCCCCAGCCCCAGCCCCAGCCCCAGCACCTGCAAGTGAGGGAGCATGCCGGCTGTCCTGGCTCTGGTGGGGAAGGAAAACAGTGACAACTAACATCCTTGGCTCTGTCCTCAGCCATTCAGAGCTTTAGTGGAGTAGGATCAGCTCCCTCGATGCCATCCGTCCTAACGGACTGATTCAGTCTACCCTACCCCAGAACGCAAATCCACATACCCCTGAAAGGTTACCCCAAATGCGTTTGGCCTGCAGGCACAGAGGCTTGGGCACCCTTGACCAGTCTGGACTCAGCTACTTCAGCTTTCCTTCTTGTCCCCAGAAGCTTCTGCTGAGACTCCTGTCTCTTGAAGCTCGGTTTACCAGATTGTCACCCTGAGGGGATGACTCAGGACGACGTTTCCCACTCACAGAACAAAATGTGAAGTTTGAGGGGCTTCCTCATCCCCTCCCCAGAGTCTCCTCACCTCCTAACTCCCTAACTCTCCTCACCTCCTATCTCCTCACCTCCTAACTCCCTAACTCCACCTCCCCTGCCCAGTCTCATGTTAGGGACGGCCCTACTTCACTGACGACAGCGCGGCCAGAATGATGGCGGGGATAGTCAGCACAAGAGCATGAGCACCGTCTGTCGGTCCTGGAGCTCTGGACCCCCTCCCTGGCTGGCCCTGTCTGCAGCTCCTGGCTCTTTCTCCCTTGACCTCAGCTGTCTGGCAGGGGGCCTGCAGCAGGCCCCAGAGAATAACAGAGATGTGGCTTGCCTGCCTGTAGCTGCCCACTGCCCACAGCCCACAGCCGTGCTGAAGTCAGGGATGCAGGCCAGGGAAGCGAGGGGGCAGCCTGTTGAGTAGTGGGCCTACTCCAGACAGTTCTGGGCCACCAAAGACCCAGACATCCGGGAGTCCTGTATAATCAGTCTTCTTTCTCCATTTGCCCTCCCCACCTAGGTCACAAGGACACTAATGATCACCTATGTCCCCACGGACATCCAAGACCCAGAAATCATCATTAAGCATTTTCAGTAAGTGGGTCAGAGTAGGCTGAAGCATGGATTGCCTCCTCCCGGTAACCCTGCCTACATCTTCATGTCGGTAGTAAGTTGGCATAGGATGGCAGAGCGAGAGACACCCCAGGTGGTAGCCCATCCTGGACTTGGCTCAGGAGTAGCCTTCCAGAATGGCAGAGGCTCTGGGGCCAGAGCAGGGTTTCTGAAGTCAAGGGCTTTCCTGCATGGTGAGGGGTATAATTTTCTTTCTTTCCCTCATTGCTCCAACCACAGAGCCCGGCGAGCTCCTGGACCACAGTTATCCAGAGCAGGTCATGTTGGGGCATCTTTTGTGACCCAAGTTCCTAGCCCAGGAGCTAATTATCTCTCATGGGCAGGAATTTCCAGTTCTGCCTGCTGGCCCTATTCTGGATCATCCGGGAAGGATGTGGCAAATCTCTGATTACCAGGGATCAACTCTGAAATTTGACCTTAGGAACGAGGAATAGAGTCTCCCATCCAAGAACCAGAGACCACAGGCAGCTGAGCTACCCGGCCCTGTGGGCTGTAGTTCTGGGTGGGGGTCGGGGTAGTATGGCCCATCCCCAGCACCACAGGCTGGTTCAGCCTCTGTGTCTGTGGCTACAGTGAGGCTTATCCGGGGTGCGTGGTGACCAGAGTCCACTTCTGCTATGACGTCAGGATGCTGATCGAGCTGGATGATCAGAGGTGAGTCGGCAGCAGGGCCTGTCTGGATCTGTGCTGGGGGGTGCAAGGGGAGGGTGTGGCGCTGCTGGCCCCCCGGACCACAAGATGCTTCCTCTCATGGCCCGCCCGTCGACAGGCGCCACGCGATGCGGGGCCGGCTCTACTACACTGCCAAGGCCAAGAAGAGCGGGAAGGTGATGATCAAGACCCACCCCTGCTCCCGCCTGTGCTTCTGCAAGTGCTGGACCTGCTTCAAGGAGGTACCTGGCCCGGGGAATCAAGGGACACGGCAGAGGAGGGGCTGGGGCACAGGGTCTCCAGCTCTGTCCGGGGCTCGGTACCCTCGGGCCCCATTCAGATCTGCTCTGGTGCTGTGACTCCTGGCTCCTCCCTCCCTTTCTGCCATGCCCTGCATCCCTGTGGAGAGTGTAGAGGAGCTGAAGCCTTTCTTGGATCCCCTCTGGAGCGATCCAGGGAGGCTTGCTCTTGCCCACTTCCAGTCTTGGGTGGGAGGACCAGAGAGAACATGGCAGACTGCTGTAGGCTGCCATGCCTCAGGCTTTCAAAGGGCGAGGACAGGAACATTTGAAGGCACTGGGCTCCATCTTCTCACCCAACCACTGTGGCTGGGAGGAGGCCACAGGGCAGGACTGAACTCTAGCCAGTCCAGAAAAAGAATCATCTCCATTTCCTGAAAATGCTGGAGACGCATTCTATCACTCCTCTGGAGTCCTGTCCAAGTCCAGAAGCATCCCCTAGCCCCCAGCTGTGCCTCATGTTCCCCTGATCTAAGAGCAGGGAGCTAATTTCAGAGTCATAGCCTTCTCCTGTTCTTGAGCTGGGATCTGGGAGCCCACTGGGATCCTGAGCTCTTTGCCAGGCTTCGAAGGGAGTTGGGAATGGAACCAAGGCCTCAGGCCCACCACCTGAGTGGAGAGAGGCCTTATGTCTCGGCGCAGCCTTCCTAGCACCCTGGCTTCTCCAGCTCTGAGGGCCAAATCTCACCCCAGGTAGATGCAGAGCAATATTACAGTGAGCTGGAGGAGCAGCTGACTGACGAGTTCAACGCTGAGCTCAACCGCGTTCGGCTGAAGCGTCTGGACCTGATCTTTGTCACCTTCCAGGACGCCAGGATGACGAAGCAGTGAGTGCCGGGGCCAGCGGCTTGCTGTGCCCAGCCCAGCCCTGAGAATGGGCTTCTGCTTCTCTGAAACCATCTTCTTTCTCCCCCATTCCAGCTAAGGGGAGATGAAAGAGAACCTCCCTCCAGTTTGCCATATTCTGACCACCCCTCAACCCCTCCATGCTCCTCACAGGCAGCCGCCATCTTGCTTTTCAGAGCATGTCTGCATCCATTTCCCCACAGCTGCCAGACTCAGCTTGTCTCCAGAGATACCCAGGCCCTTGGGCTCCCCATCCCCATATGTCCTTGCTTCAGCATGAAGGTGGTCAGAGTAGACATCTTGGTTCCTCTTCCAGGCCTTGACAAGAATGAATCCATTTTTTCCCCATTACACATCACCCCTTTCCTCACCACAAATGACAGAGTTAGGGTAGAGAAGCTCTACTTGCTATTTCTGCTCTCCTGCTGCAGGCCTCCCCTAATTCATAGCCTTACAGCCTCCTCCCTCCTCTGCCTCTGCCTCTGGCAGCTCTCCTTTGGTAGGCAGTGGATTAGATGCAATCGGGTATGTTCTGGAAGGATCCTTAGGATAGGATCAAATAGATGAGAACCCTGGCATCAGTCCCTTGAGGATTGTGGGGGCCCTCCTCTCTCTGAGGGAGCCTGATCATACACACCACTTTGTCCTCACCCACCCACACCCTACAGGTAGAACAGCCTAGAATTTAGTCAAATGCGATTGTGTGCAATTCGCAAGTCCCTTATACTCTCAAATTTTTTATCTGTCAAATTGGTTCGCTTAAAACTTCCCTGTCCACCTCCCAGAGGGTTAAGAAGGGATATGTGATCTATTTAGTATATATGTGCTATAAAACAGTATACCAATGTAAGACAATACTGCTTCTTTTCTTTTCTTTTTTTTTTAAAGATTTTATTAATTTGTCAGAGAGAAAGAGAGCACAAGCAGGGGGAGTGGCAGGCAGAGGGAGAAGCAGGCTCCTCACCAAGCAAGGAGCCCGATGTGGGGCTTGATCCCACACCTGGGGATCATGACCTCAGCTGAAAGCAGATGCTTAACCGACTGAGCCACCCAGGTGCCCCAGTACTGTTTCTTTTCTGAGACACTGTCACCCAGCAGAAAGGATCTGAGGTTTAATTACAGCAGAAATGTGAATAAGACCAAAGACTTCAGTGCCGGCACTTGCCCCTCTTTGGTTATGTCTTCAGGCATCCCAATTTAGTAATCTGTTCGACTGGGATTTCTATTCATTGCCAATCAGCACAGTGTCAGGCACACAAAAAGAACTCAGTTGGTAGCTATTAATACTAAGATGAGGCTGAAGTTAGTGCCTCCCCCGTCAACCTTGAGGAAAGAGCATGTCTTTGTGCTGTCCCTGCTGTCAAGGGGAAAAGACTTTAACTGAGAACCATGTGGTCCCCTCCCTTCCCAGGTAGTCCCTCCCACTGCTGCCCCTTTCCTCCAGGGACTAGGCTTTAGGAGCGACCTAACTGTAAGATCCTGGGAGGCATTCCCAAGGCTTCGAGAATCCCCAGGAAGTGGGGCCATCTGTAGGACCCTGGTGTGAGACCCCCTCCTAAGCCTGTTGTCCTCAGCCCGAGACCTCTGTCTCCTCCCCGCATCTCCGCAGCATCCGGGAAGATTATAAATACATCCAGTGCGGCGTGCACCCCCAGCAGTCTTCCGTGAGCACCATCGTCAAATCCTACTGCTGGAGGGTCGCCCTGGCCCCACACCCTCAAGACATCATTTGGTAAGCCCCCTGTGCTCCTCCTCTCTCCCTTTAGCTCCTCTGAGACTGAAGAAGGCAACAGGGTGGGAAAGGAATAGGGGCCTGTTCCCCTACTCTGTTGCCCACAGGGCTGGGCCCTGTCCTCTTCTGAGCACCACAGCCCCAGCCTACCCCCAAACCCAGCCCACCACCAGGGCCTTGACAAAGGACGTGACTGAGGGGCAGATCCAGGGCCCGGTGCGTGCAGGTCTGGGCCCCGGGGACTCAATTAGACCAGGGCAGCCTGGGTCTCCAGTTGGCATGCAGGAATCTGGATGTGGGCCCCATCTAAGGGCTGGGACCCGAGCTCCTTCCTAAATGCGTCTTCCTCCTCCATCCTCCCCAGGAAACACCTGTCTGTCCGCCGCTTCCATTGGTGGGCCCGCTTTATCGCAATCAACACCTTCCTCTTCTTCTTCTTCTTCTTCCTCACCACGCCCGCCATCATCATCAACACCATCGACATGTACAACGTCACCCGCCCCATTGAGAAGCTGCAGGTGCTACCTCTGCTCGGGCCAGACGTGGGGGCCCCTGGGAAATGAGGGAAGGATGGGATGGGGGGCCCCTGGAACATGGCTCCCGTGCACCTGCCAACATGTGGCCAGTGTGACAGCTCTGTTCTCCCCACTTTCAAGAGCTAGGGGTCCCTCGTTTGAGGGAGACGGCTGAGGGTGGCGAAGAGTGAGGTCAGTTCCAATGCAGCCATCCAGGAGAACGGGGACCTCCACCTCCCTCACTCCAGGCTGGGAGTGCCAGGGCTTGGGGGGCCATCCCTGAACGTAGAGGCTGCTTCGTCCTGACAGGGGACTGCAGAGGAACTGGACTGGCCCCTCCCATTTCCAAATCCTGTAGCCTCCAGGCTGTCGTAACGGGCCTGGAAGGCCTCCTCTTCCATATGACCTCCACCCCTATCCAGCGACACACGCATGCCCATGCACGCATGCACACACGCACACATACGCACATGCACGTGCACAATACACATGCACGCACATGCACACGCATGCACGCGCACGCACGCACACGCACACACACGCACAGCCAAGCCGCACCACTTCTGCTGCTTGCTTCTGACCCCCCTTGTCAGCTTCACAGTAGGCCCCAGGGGCACCACAGCTCCCCTAGGGATTCTTCCTTCACACCTGCCCCCTTCTCTAGCACCTTTCACATGACATCACGTGAAAGGGAGTGTCTTCTCTCTGAGCTGAGAGAGGTCAGTGACAGCAGCTGGCTCTGGCCCGAGGGCGAAGTCCCCAGGGACAGCCCAGGCTGCCCCTCCAGGGACCTCAGCATAGAAGACCATGCCCCTTGAGGCACCACTTGACCTTGGCGTGTCAGCCTCTGCCTGCCCCAGCCAGGCAGACTGCTAGCCAGCAAGGCTGACCAGGAAGGCCAGGTCCACTGCACAGCCTCGGAAACCAAACCTGCTCTGGGACTAAGTGGGGGGAGAAGAGGCCAGAGGTGTGGGAGAGGCAGGGGTGGCCTGAGAGGGGCAGGGGCGCTGCTTATACTGATGTCTCTCCACCCTTCCCCGCTCTACCCCCACAGAACCCAGTCATAACCCAGTTCTTCCCCTCCCTGATGCTGTGGGCATTTACAGTGATCATGCCTCTGATTGTCTACCTCTCCGCCTTCTTAGAGGCCCACTGGACCAGGTGAGAAGGGGGCCTCCTCCCCCAGCCCTGCTCTTTGCCCCGGCCCCGGCCCCTTCCCGTGCCCACTGCCCCACAAGCCTGGTGCTTGGGGCCTCCCATCCAGCCTGGGGAATAGAATTGACATGGGTTTTGATAACCAAAACCATCCCAAAAGACTAAGATATATACATATATATATATATATATTTTTTTTTTTTTTTTTGAAAGAGGGGACTGAGTTGTCTCTGGGCCTCTGGCCTCAGGAATACTGAGATGGGGCTACCATCTCAGGCACATTCAGGCCCAAACCAAGCGCTCCTTGGGCTGCTCTGTCAGCCTCCAGCCACGCACTGAGGCTCAGGATCCCTCCTTTTGCCTGAAGGCTGTGTGGGTCTCAAAAGTGATTTCCTGCACTAGAAGTTCCTACCATCTGACCAGGCAGTAAGCCAAGAGGTTTGTCCTAACAGAAACCCTTACTGGTCTTTTCTCTGGCCAAGAACATGGCTTATGTAGATTACTGAAACTCTGCAGGGATCCTGAGCCTCGTTGGTAATGTCCCTCTAACAAAGATACCAAGCACACAGCACCTGTGTGCCCTTCCCCCCATCCTGTGCCCCAAGCTGACGCGGCTGGCCAAGGCTGCCGCCCCTGCCCTCCCAGCGACCACACAGCTCCCAGTGCTCTGTGTGGGGGGCACTGGTAGGCACTGGCCAACCCTTTTCTAGGCCAGGTCGCTGTCTCTGTTTTCCATCCATTCTGTAGTTAGGCCTCTGGTTCTTATCACATGTTTGTTTGTTCTCTTCTAGATCAAGCCAGAATCTGATCATCGTGAACAAGTGTTACATCTTTCTGGTGTTCATGGTGATTATTCTGCCCTCAATGGGACTGACCAGGTACCTCCCCTCCAAGTATCCCTCTCTCAGACAGGCTCACCCTAGAGTTGGAACCTCCTCTTTCAGATACTGTAGGCCTACTGTGGTCGCTACAAATCCATTCCTCAAATGACAGTCCAGTGCCGGTCATGAGCCTAGCATGAGCCAGGTATCCTGTGAACCCTAAGGGGTCAGCCATGAACTCTGCCTTCAAAGAGCTTATCATCCAGCTGGGGCAAGAAGCCATGTCTATCAGCTAACTGACAGCCCCAGGTGGGAAAAACGCAGCCAATGTGCAGTGGAAATTCAGAAGAGGGAGAGAGCCCTGTGGGAAAAATGGCTGGCAAAGATTTGCTAGAAGAGGCGGCCTTGAGATGAGAGGCCAAAGTGTTCGGGGCAGGGGTGGCCCAGCATTAAGAAGGCAGAGAGGCAGTATGGACTGACCAGCTGGAATACTAGAATGCCAGAGTCTCTAGGGATTGAGCCGGGGAGGACAGAGGGAGGCAAGCCAGGCCCAAGAGGGACTGAACCCCAAGCCTCCGCTCATAGATTCATTAACTAAAGGGCGTACCGTGTTCTTGCTTCTAGTTTGGATGTCTTTTTCCGGTGGCTCTTTGACATCTACTACTTGGAGCAGGCGTCCATCAGGTTTCAGTGAGTACTAGAGCATGTGCCCCAGGAGTGCCCCCGTGTACGCTGGGGCTCCCAGGGGTCCCTGCCAGGTAGACACATGTCGTCTTCATTAGCTCACACAGGTAGAGATGAATGCCTGCAAAGACTCTCATTAAGCAGACTCTTAACCTTTCCCGGGCCCGGGGCCCATTTGGCAATCTGGTAAAGCCCAGGGATCCCTTCTCTGAATGAAGTTTTGAAAATAATTGTAAATTTACAGGAAATTGCCCCCACACTGTCCTGTGTACCCTTCATCCAGTTCCCCCTCTGGTAACATCTTGCACAACTATAATGCTGAATCCCAACCAGGAGACTGACATTATACAATCCACAGAGCTTATTCAGATTCTGCCAGTTTTATATACACTCTGAATAGATGTCTTTAAATGCACGAAATACCTGGATTACAAAGAAAACCAATTATACTGAAATATTGCTATCAAAATATTGTAAAAAGTACATTTGTAATAAAATCTTTATTCGCACGTTTAATAAGAGGACAATGCATTTTAAATACAAGCAAACTAAAGTTACATTTTATTGTTTTAGACGCATCAGTGTGAACCCTGAGGCTACTGAGCCAGCAGAACATTCAGCGGGGGGGCACGGAGGGATCTTTGACGAAGCAACACGCGCGTCATGTTGGGCATCCAGCCAATTTTGATTTTGTTTTGGTATTAGGTTACAAATGTTAAAAAATCCCAGGTTTTCAAAGATGTAATGTTGCATATGATGTGCAAGCTTTCAAGCTTGCTTTATAGGGCAAGGACCAGAATTCTCTAAGGTTTCTGCAATTGAACTATACTTGTGCTAAGTTGGACTCTTTTATTCTAAGATGAATGAGTTCATCTTTGGTTAGGTCAGTATCTTCGATACAGTTTATGTATGAGAGAGAAGAGAGTTGTAGGTCCATGCCTCAATGTTGATGCCTTCAAGAAAGAATAGTTTTTGAAGGAGTTTTGAAATATATCCAGGGAGCTCACAGATTTCTCCTTTCAAAGTTGATAGAATTGTGTAGATGGGGACACGACGGGCAACAGAGATGCCTGGGTCACCAACGTGAGGACAGGCAGTGTGGCCATTCGTTCAGCTGGCTGAACGACTCCTAGCTGAAGTTGGTCAGCTAGGTCAAGCACACACCTGCGGACAGGAACATTTCATTCACGTTAAGTTAGCGCATCTAATTTAGCTGCATGTTTAATAACTACCATCATTTTGAAGTGATGGTAAGTGCAAAGGTATTGTCAGATATCACCACTAACTGCAGTGGGCTATGAAAATACCTTTAAGATTTTATTTATTTATTTGAGAGAGAGAGCTAGCGAGAGAGAGAGCAGGAGCAGTGGGGAGCCTGTGGAGCAGGGAGCCTGATGTGGGGCTCGATCCCAGGACCCTGGGATCATGATCTGAGCCGAAGGCAGAAGCTTAACCAACTGAGCCACCCAGGCGCCCCAAGAAAATATCTGATTGCAACTGGTGACTGGGTCATAGCCAGAGCTGATGTTGCTGTGATTTGTTGCCCACGTTCTTAACGGAAAGAAGTGGTACATTGCAGTTAGAAGCTCATGAATGTCAAGACACGTGTCTCCTTCATTTGCTCACATGCAAGGTCACAGACCCCCAAGCTTCTCCCCATGGACTCTCTGGGGTCTGTGGGTCCTGCTCAAGCACCCCTGCTTTAGATCAAGCCAGAGAGTGTATTTCCCAAAACACCCACACTTGATGTAGACCAGCCCCATCCCTGCTCAGAAGGGCGTGCATTAACCTAAATTGGGCTGGGGGCACATGTGTATATGAAGCTTACTCTTCCCATCTCCACCCCCACCCTCCACCCCCCGATCTCCACGCCCACCCTCCACCCCTCTCCCCATCTCCACCCCCCACCTCCCCGCCCCCCCTCCCGTCTCCATCCCCATCTCCACACCCCTCCCAACGTCCCGGCCCTTTCCTTCTCCCTCTGGCTTCTGTGCTGTCTCCCACTGTCCGCACGGCCAGGTGCGTGTTCCTGCCGGACAACGGCGCCTTCTTCGTCAACTATGTGATCACGGCGGCTTTGCTGGGCACGGGCATGGAGCTGTTGCGCCTGGGGTCCCTCTTCCTGTACAGCACCCGCCTCTTCTTCTCCAGGTCGGAGCCAGAGAGAGTCCACATCAGAAAGGTGGGGGCCGGGCCCTTCCCTGCGCACAGCTCTTCCCTTGGGGGAGGGTGTCAGGAGGGAAGCCTGCTAGGGGCATGAGGAAGCCGAGGTGAGACGCGAGGTGGGCTGGGGGTGGCAGGGAGCCCGCCTCCAGGCCTGAGGCAAGGGGACCAGGCCACCTCAAGTGACCCCCACCTTCCGCCCCAGAGCCAGGCCATGGACTTCCAATATGGGCGTGAGTATGCGTGGATGATGAATGTCTTCAGCGTGGTGGTGGCATACAGCATCACCTGCCCTATCATCGTCCCTTTCGGTGAGGCTTCCCTCGGGCACCCCCAGGGCTGCGCACCCTCAGGCCGGGAGGAGGGGTTGAGCCCCCCACCCTCAGAGTATGAGGAGGCCGGGCGGGGACAGACTGTCAGCAGAGCAGGCAGGGGCCGGGGCAGGTCAGGGGAGGTTGGATGGCTGTTCACGCAGGACGTTTGTTGAAGGAATGACCCTTCACCCAACTGGCAGAACAGACTCTGGGGGCTCAAGGGAAACTGGGGTCCCGGAAGTCAGCGCCACAGGGCTCCCAAGGCCCGACCTTGGCCCTCGCTGCCCGGAAAGACCTGGATCTGGCTTCTGCGGCCGGGGGGTCCTGGCTGTGGACGCAGCCCCTGAGTGTGCGCCCCCTGCCCCGGCCCCGCAGGGCTACTCTACCTGTGCATGAAGCACATCACGGACCGCTACAACATGTACTACTCCTACGCGCCCACCAAGCTCAACGAGCAGATCCACATGGCCGCGGTCTACCAGGCCATTTTCGCACCGCTCCTGGGTCTGTTCTGGATGCTCTTCTTCTCCATCCTGCGATTAGGTGGGTCCCAGGCCTGCCTGGCCTTCCTGCCCCTGCCTGCTCCCCACTGCTGCCTAAAGCCCTCAGCAGCACCTCTGCTCTGTGCAAGCAGAGAAGGCCCTGGGGGAGCGAGGGTTGCTCACGGATTGCAGCAACCCAGGTGGCTTCTTGAGGCCTGTTAGGGCTCGCGCCAGAGTCCCAGCAGACCCCTGAGGCTAAGGGGAGGGCTTGGACCAACACGGTACGGTATGCACTTTGGTTTACGACCCTCAGAGCAAGAAACGCCACACTCCTTCATTCTAACTCAGGGCTGGCAGGAATGAAATATTAGCTCTTGGGCTCAATTCCCGTGACATCCCCCTTGGGATCCTAGGGATGCCTGGTCTTCCAGATTGCCTAAAAACTGGAGGAGGCTTCGGGGCCTGCCCCAGGGGCCAGCTTTTCCCCTGCTCTTGGCTACACAGAGCTGCTGTCCCTGTCCCTGTGGACCACATGCGAGCCATGCCCTCTGAGGCAGGAAGCTCCCACTGACCTGCGCATCCTCTCTGCCACCAGATGGCTTCCTGCCTTCTCCCCACACTGGTCTTCCCTCAGGGACCCTGGACCTTCATCATCTCAGCGGACTGGAGAAAGGAAACTGTATTTTCTTACTGTCTTGTCCCGGCGGCCGCTGGAAACAGCTCCGCTCCCAGTTACTTCTGTGCATCACCCATCTATCAGCCGTCTCCCCGTTTCTTATCCCCCCGCCTTTCCCTGCCACCTAGCGGACTTCATTTATTAAAAATAATTTTTCTCCGAAGTATGAAAGACTATACATTTATTATCAAGATCTGAATGCCCTGTCCTCTCCCCTGGAGCCTGTCTTTTGCGCTCAGACCTCATTCTGTGTGCACAGTCTGGGGGAGACGGCAGAGCAGGAGGGGCTTTTTGGTTTATTCTTGCTTTTCAAAATCATGATTTCCATTTCATAACATTCAGTCCCGTATCCTGAGTTTTTTCACTCAACATAGCATTCTGAGCAATTTCCTGTGTTACTGAAATTCTGTTTGAGCACGGGCCTTTGAATTAATTCTACCCATTTCCGTCAGTTCTCCATGGCTGGATACCGAAGCTGTTGGCCATTTTTGCTTTTATAGGAACACAATGACCAGCATCATTGTGGGTTAGCCTCTGACTGTAAAGATTGATTTTTTTTTAAAGATTTTATTTATTTATTTGAATGAGAGAGATTACGAGCAAGGGGGGAAGGGTAGAGGGAGAAGCAGACTCCCTGCGGAGCAGGGAGCCCGACGCGGGGCTCGATCCCAGGACCCTGGGATCATGACCTGAGCTGAAGGCAGATGCTTAACCGACTGAGCCACCCAGGCGCCCTGTAAAGATTGATTTTTAATCTTTACCTCAGAAGAAAACTGGTGTCATAAAAAAGTTACCAAATATCCCCGAGCGAAATGTACCTGACCTGAATTCTGGCTCGCTCTCCAGGGCCGTTAGCACAGGTGAGGGCCGGCGCGGGAGCTTGCAGGGACAGGCGTGGGTCAGAGACTGTATTTGGGGGCTATAGTTGGGGCCACTGCATGAGTGAGTCACCTGGAGCTACTGCCCCGGGACTGTGATGTGGGACGGAAACTGACGGGTGGAGAAGGACATGTCTCACGGGCACTTGAGTGGATACTTAAGGCAATTAAATTTTTGCATATCCATAAGATGCCAAATTCCAAACTGGTCCCATAGCACTGAGGGATGATGTCATGGGCCAGGTGCGTTGACTCCAGTTGCTAGGGGGAGAACTGGGGCAGGGGCCTCTCTGCCTTGGACTCGAAGCGTCCACAGAGGTGCTGAGGGGGACCCCAAGGACCCCACATCTCGGCTGGCAGACTACTGCCCACAGCTCCAGTCCTCAAGCACCAAACCCCACGGCCTGTTCTTCTCCTTGGCAGGTACGCTCCACACCATCACCTTCTTCTCCCTTTCCACGCTCATCATTTCCATGGTCATCGCCTTCGTTAGCACTCTTCTGGGGAAGCTCCAGGGGGTATCTGACTATGAGGTGAGTTACCCTTCCTTTCCTCCGTTCGTTCTCACTGGCCCCCGGGCCACGGCTCTAGGCTACCTCTCAACCTGCATACCCACGGTGCCACAGAGATGAAAGGTTCTTGCCTTTCCCGATGATGGGGTGTGCAAACTCAGGGTGCATGTGTGTGTGCCCTTGCGTGGCCCAGGCACCGGCCCCCTTGAGTGGTGGGGAGATTTAAAAGACAGCTGTCCCCTCCTCCTCTCCCCTCTGGCACCTCCTCCAAACAGCGGGCTGCTGGCCCATCCCTCCCTCCTACAGTGCGAGCCTGTCCAGCCACCGAGCTGTGAGTACCAGTCCAAGGAAGGAGGCTTGAGAGAGAGAGGATGAAGGGCGGAAGGGTGGGTGCGGAGAAGGACGATGCCCTGGGGGAGGGGGTTAGTTATCATACTTTTTAGCAATCCCAGTCTGTTGAACTTGAGGCGAGGCTCTCTGGGCCCTGTGACCCCTTGGGCTCTTTGCCAGTCGTTAGAGAAGGGAGCCAGTCCCTGCCTGCCGAGACCCAGGCCAACAATGCTGTGTGCCCTCCGTGGGCATCTCCCAAAGTGGCACATCTGTGCGGACATGCTAGAATGATTTCTGGGGACTAAAACATTTTTTTTAATTTTTCATGGTTACCCATTTTTCTATTGGTTCACATTCATTTATATTTCTGCTTATGCCAACGAATGCAGGTTTTCTGTCTATAATAGTAAATTTAAATGACTGTATATAAAGAAAAGGAAGGAAGTTAATTTAAAGTTCTGGTATCCTGCTGAGTGAAAGGAGGGAGCCTCTTGGAAGAGGATCCTTTTACTTTTAGTGGCCCTGCATCTGGGGGCCCTGGGCTTAGGCCCCCACTGCACTCTCTGCCTGGCCCCGCCTCCATCCCTGGCTCGAGTGCCATGAGGAACCAAAGTGGACAATGCCTCTGGCTCTGTCTTCCCAATCCAACAATGCCATGCGACCTGGTGGCCCAGGTGTCCACTCTAGAGAAGGGAAATGGCAGGGGATCTAAACCATGATGTCGGACTGGTCTCAGAAGGAGAACCCCCAGGAGGAAAGAAGAGACAATTGAAGTCAAGCCTTTACGAGAGTCCGAGCAAGCTCATATTTGAATCCCAATGCCAACTCTCCTTACTTTCCCCCCATTATGGTTCTTGGGGATGGAATATTCAGAAGGGCAACCAGCATCCCGGTCCTCTTTCTGTCCCCCCGGGCTGCAGCCCAGGGCTGCAGTTCTGGGAAAACAGAAGATGGCATTGAGCACCAAGTGCAGATTTGGGGAGGGAGGGAGCAGAGGGTGGACACCCCCATTCTGTGACCCTCTACATCTCTGCCCACTGCTGCAGCCCGAGGAGGAGATGGAGACGGTGTTTGACATGGAGCCCAGCAGCACCTCCTCCACGCCCACCTCCCTTGTGAGTCACTGCCTTCACCCCGGGGGACAGGTCAGGAGGGGGGTACCTGCAGGGGTGGGCTTCTCCAGCAGCAGTGTGGGGGGGCACCGGCATGTAGTGCCCACCTCGGGGGTTGGGGAGGAGACGGGCGCCCCTGGGCTCCCTCCCCTGACACAGCAGGACTTGGCCCAGGTCAAATTGCTGCCGTGGCCGTGGCTGAAGAGTTGGGAAGATGGAAGAGGCAAGACATACTCTAAAAGGAACTCAAAGAGGAAGAGAAAGGTCAGGGCGGGCCCAGCCACAGCGAGATCAGTCATGTAGACACAGGGACGTGCTGGGGCTCGGCCTCCGAGGGCACAGATGCCAGGCAGAGAGGCGCGCAGAGCTGCAGGGAGCTATTGGAGGCCTGCGCCGAGTGAGCCCACCAGCTCGTGGAGAGACAAGGCCAAGGCAGAATGCAGGGGCCCAGCAGGCTGGGCGTTGGCTCCCTCACCGTGGCTCAGCCTGGAGGGGCCCGAGTGCTCACCCACATCCCTGCCACCAGTGTGGATGCAGGGCCACCGATGCCTGCTCTGAGCTGGGTGCCCCGATGCCAGGGCGCCTTGGAGGAGCACTGAAGAAGGGCACCAGCCAGCCTGGGCACTCAGGGAAGGCTTCCCGGAGGAGGGATCATCTAATTCGACTCTAGGAATGGGAGTAGGAGTTGCTAGGTGGAATAGGATGTGGGGGAAGAGCATTCAAGGAAGAGGATCAGCCTGTGCAAAGGCCCAGAAGAGAGAATCTGGAGCGTTTGGGCACTGGAAGACAGCTCTCGACGTGGTGGAAATGCAGAGTGGGCAGCAGAGCCCTGGGGGGGAGGGGGGGAAGGAGGGGCTCTTTGGTCGCCGCAGAGTTGGGGAAAAGTGCACAGACACAACGATGGGGGACATGCCCACCCCAGTGCACAGAGCTGCAGGTCCTCCTCACCTTGGGAAAAAACCCTACAGAGAGGGGCAGATTTCCTCTGGGAAGTGGTGGGGAGAAGGGACGTTGGTGTTGGAGAGTCTACAAAGCTTTCAAAGCAGGGGCCTCTTTTCACATAGCACATCTCTCTGGGGGCCCCAAGACGACCCCTCTGGGATCCTCTTAGGAACCTGACACTTTGCCATTCTCGCTCCTAATCTTTATGATATGATACACCCACACAGTAAGGGGTCTTTATCCTTATTTTACAAATAGGGAAACTGAGGCTCAAAACGGTCAATTAATTTAGGCCCCAGGGCATTACTGAGCAAGGCAGTGGACGAACAAAGTTTGAACCAGGTCTGTCGAATTCTGAAGCCTGAGCTTAAAAAAAAAAAAATCACTGGAATTGATTTTCTTAATCTTTGATGATAACCACAGTAGTATATGAACATTGCAGATAATTATGGGGAAAAAACAGAGAAGCAAAAACAAGAAAATAAAAAGTTCATATTCCCACGACCCAGAGAAGACTACTAATAACTTAGTGTCTATTCTCCCAGGCATATATATAATTTTTGCTAAAATGAAATGATACTGTTCATACTGTTTTATAATCTGCATTTTTAGTTAACAATCTCCACCTTTCCATGTACATAAATTTCTATGTCTTCAAATACTCAGCCCATACTCAAGTTGTCCTAAGTGTTCCAGAAATATCTTTCACAAAGCATATCCAAGCCAAGATCCAGCCCAGGCTCTGTGCTAGATGAATCCGGTCCCGGCATGTGTCTCTTGTAGTTTCTCACAGTCTCTTCTTTATGGCCTGTCAGAGAGACCCAGCCAGTGGTCCTGCAGAATTTCCCACCTTCTGGGTTTTTCTGGCTATTTCTTCATGATGTCTTGCAGCAGGTTCCACTATCTCCTTCCCTGAAAACTAGAAGTTCAGTCCAAAGGCTGGAGAGATTCCGATTCAGCCCTAGGGGCTAAAACGCATCCCAGGCAGTGCCCTGCATACACCAGGAGACACAGACTACCCCATTTTTTCCCACTAAGGATGCTGGTTACTCCCAGATGAGGGGGATGACAGCAGCCTCTTCTGTTGTTCATTTACCATTTTGCCCCTTAGGACCAGAAGGTTTATATGGGGTTTACTTTGGAATGCTACAAATATCTAGATTCTTCTGCAGGAAAAGTGTTCCCTCATCAACCAGGGCTCTTTAGTTTCACTGACATGAATTCCTACAGGAAAGATTTAATGCTATTCCATAATTACCTATTTTCAAAATAAGGAGTTGGTTTAAAAGCCATTCAAATGATGACAAACAGCTCTGTCCCTCGTACTTCCTGTTTTTCTATTCCGCAGCCCTCCCAGGCATTCCCAGGACCATTCCTGCATTTGACAGGTCACATGGCCAGGACCTCAGGAGCAATCTCCGTTTCAAATCCTGATTCACAGGCCAGCCGATGTCATACCCCAGGGGAGGTGTGGATGCACCTCTTACGCTGTATTAAGAGGTGCACTAGCTTAGGGATGGGGGTCTCTCCAGACCCCAGCGTAGGGGAGCCTCGCGTTGTCTCCCCGCCAGGTTCAGCCTGACCTGGCACCAAGAATGAATGGAACCTTAGTGAAGGAGCAGTGGGCTAGGGGCTAGGAGGCCTGCGCTGACCCACCCTCGGAGTCCGAGTTGCTCTTTGAATGATCGGCAGCACCTCAGCAGGTGGTCCGGCCAGGCCCTGGGCTGCTGGGGGAGAAGGAAGGATCCGTGGCTCGAGAGGGGCAGAGGCTCCGGGGGTAGGGCGTGAGTGCGAGGGTGTGCCCAGGGCCCAACCCCAGGTGTGACCTCACCCCTGTCTCCCCTCTCTGTCCCAGATGTACGTGGCCACTGTGCTGCAGGAGCCGGAGATGAACCTGTCCCCCGCCTCCTCCCCCGCTCGGCACACCTACGGCACCATGAACAGACAGCCGGAGGAGGGAGAAGAGGAGAATGGCGTGAGGGCCTTTGCACAGGAGCTGGGCTCCGCCCAGTTCCAGGAAGGGCTGGAACTGGACGGCCAGAGCCAGTACCACTGACCAGGACCCGAGGCCTCCACCTGGCGACTCCACGGGACCGGCGGCCAGGGGAGGGCCCAGCAGGGGGAGGCGGGAGGGCCATCCGGACCTCCCCACGGCCTCCTGCAGACTTTGGGAAGGCCCCAACGGAGACATCTGCGCCCGGCTGTTGGCCACACGGAGGCCCCGCCCTGCTGACCAGTTCGAGTGGGAGGTGCTGGGCAGCGCAGAGGGACCCGGGATGGGAGAGTGCTCCTGAGGCTGCAGGCGGGCACCACATCTCGGGAAAGGTAGCTGAAGCCCTGGGCACAGAGACTGCAGGCGGAGGGACCTTCGGGTCAGAGTGGAGATGTGCGTAAAGGAGGGGGCGGAAAGACGCCCACTGAAGACTCTCCAGGGTCTCTGCCACCCTTTTACCAGCTGCCCTGCCAAGGAGCTTCCACGGCTCCCCCGACCCCGGCCCCCAGCCCGACTCTGATCCCGCCCCTGTGGTCTGAGGAAGCACAGGTGTGTGTGCTGGGCCTGATCAAGCACATCCCCTGCGAAGGGATCACCCGGAGCAAGGGGCAGCTGAGACCCTTCCTAGTCCTCTTGCCCCTCGGCGGACATCCCCGGGAGCAGCAGGGTAGAGACCTTCTCCTTCCTATTCTTGCGAGGGCAGCTGGGACATGATCCCTCGGGGCTCATTAAACGGGACCTGTGTGCATTTTGATGAAGGCAACCTTGGCTGGTTACTACCAGGTGGGAGGGGCAGAGGCAGAATTCATGGAGAGGGGTCTTCTCCCCAGATGCTGGGGGATGGGAAACCAGATACAGCTCCCCAAGCCCCAGGCCTTAATGAGAGGACCCTCAAGGTCAAGGATGTGGCCACTGAAAGTTGTTGCTGCCTCACACCCACCTGAGTGCCTGGGCCCCCAGCATAACGAAGGTGGGCAGCAGCTTAGGGTAAGAAGCCGAAGGCACGGGCCATTCCCTGGCCTCCCGAGCAGGACCCTTCCTGTCTTGGGGCCACCTGCACCCTGGACTGAAGGCCACTCAAGTGGCCTCCAGTATGGTCCTGGCCCAGACACTGCAGACACCCTGCCGGGCATGGGGTGGGGGTGGGAGCTGTGTCTTCCACAGAGAAGCCTTTTCTGGTAGAGTAAGGCCACCTTCCCAGGGCGGCCACCACTCAAGACCTGCAGGAACCGAATCCTGAGTAGGAACCCCGCTGGTGACACCCAGCACCTTTGCCATGGTCAGAAGGGTGCAGACCTTTGCCTCTGAGGACAGGTGCCCATCAGGACCACCCGGCTGCACAGCAGGGGAGGACACAGAAAAGGGCTGGCTGAGGCCTCAGTGGACCAGAAGGAGCCAAGTCAAAAGGGGTCTGCGTGCTCTAGAGCTCTCCTGAGCTCCCTCCTCCAAGGGTCTGGGTCCCTGCAGCCCACCTGCCGGAGGTCGGCCCCAGGCTCACCTCACCTGAGCCTTTCCCACCAGGTCCCAGGCACATGGGTGCCCCTGAACTCAGACCACCTGGGGCTCACCCCTGCTCCACCTGTGCCCACATCTCAGCTGCAGAAGCTCCAGGCTTCACTTCAAAATAGCACCCGAGAGGCAAACATTGCCATACTCCCAGGGCTTGGCCCAGACCTTGCTGTGAGGGATCTTTCCAGAGAGCTTGAGTCAGCTCAGGAGGTGGCAGTCTCTCCCACTCCTTGTCCAGCTAGGAAGGAAATTATGCCCAGCCAGTCCCTCATGATCCCAGGCCCCTCCTAGCATTTCACCAGCCAACAAAGAGAAGGGTCCTTTCCAGAGCAGTGGTCCGGGCCCCAACAGGGAGCTCTGCCCTTGCCATGGGGAGGTGGCCGGCTCCGGGCCCTCCCCGGCCCCCGGGGGGTATGTTTGGTGTGCGTGTGGCTTTCCTGCCAGAAGTTGGCCTGCAGACTCTCCTTCACTGGGCACTACTTGCCTGGCGCCTGCCCCCCATCCCCGCAGCCCCTGCTGGACTATTCCTGCTGCTTCTGCCACTGTCCGTCCTCTGTCCCCTGCCCACCCAGCAGCCTCTGGATGCTGCATGTGGAAAGGGCCCCAGCAGATTACATGGCAGCATGGCTGGGGGCTTGCCCCTCTGCATTTGGGCCAAGTGCAGTTGGTTCTGAGAGAAGACTGTGCGAATGTTGGGAAAGTTCTAGAATCCTTTCACTTCTCAACTCTTTCTGGAGACGCCCTCCCCCGCTCCCAGCTGCTCAACCTTCATGGTCACTGTGAAGGCAGGGTGGGCATGCTCTGGCTCCTTTCATACCACATCCAGGCGCCCTCTCCCGGCACCTCCCCTCAGGCCTGCCCTCTCAGCCCACACTTGTCTCACCCACTGGCCTCCGCCCACCACCGTCTGAGCCCATCCCCCAGCCCACCTCCCAGCTGTCCTTCCCCAGCCTTCCACTGAAGCACAGCCTCTCAGACTTGATTCTTTCTGGAGGGGGCTGCCTCTGAGGGAACCCAGGATTGCCTAGAGCCTCTAAGAAGCGCCCCCACTGGGTCAAGAGTACCTCCATGCCTGCCTGCCTCTTCCTCAGATGCTTCTGGAAGCAAAGTGCCTATCAGCAGCATTGCATCTTCTGGGGCCCCCCAGTGTGGGGTGTGGACTTCCCTTGGCCACCACTACTAAAGGAATGTGCCAGAATGCCGAACCTTCTTGTTATTAATGCTATGACCGTGCCTTGAATAAACAAGTCCTCCCAACCTCTGCTGGCTTGTGCCTCTGCGTCTGGACTGGCCCAGCAGGGTCTCCCCCCCTCCTGGAAGGAGCCAGAGCTGCTAAGGGATGAACCTCCCTGAGGTTGCCAGGCTGGAGCATCAGACCTTGCTTCATGCCTTCAGTCCCCAAGGCCTTCCCAGGCCCCTGTCCTTGCAGGGGAAGACCCGACAAGCGCTGCCCGGTCTGCTGGAGGGACGGGGGAATCTGCCTCACTCATTCTGCTGCGGGTGCTCCTGGGCGGGAGTAGAGGACTCCCCAGTCGGGGAGCCAACCATGGAGCCGCCGAGCAGCCTCCCCGGGCAGCAGAAGCCCCAGGGTGAGTGCTGGCCCCCCTGAGTGGGCCGTTGGCTAGACGAGCTGCTGGGCCTGAAAAGATGAAGATTTCAGGGGGAGGCCACCAGAACAAGTGGCAGACAGGGCTCAGGTCTGCGCCGGCCTTGGGAGGCAGCACGAGGCAGGGGGAAGTGGGGGAGAGGCTGGGCCTTGGGGCGGTGGGGCTGCCAGGTCAGGCCTGAATGGGATACGAAACACCCTCTCGCAAAGACTAGTTAGGTCTGCGGTTGTACTCGAAGTTGGGGGAAAATTCCCTGCTTGTAGGTGGGGAGGTGTCCTGGCCTAGGAGATCAAAGTTCTGGCCTTCCTGGAGCAGCTCCAGGCCCCTAGGACGGTCCTGAAATCAGGGGAAGGAGGACAGCTGCTCTGCTTTACTACTGAGTGGAGCAGACTCAGCCGGGGGGACAGAGGGAGCGGGGCCGCAGGGGGAGGCCTCCTCCCTCACCTTTCCCTGGGAAGACAGGACAGTCTCGGGGTGGGCTGATGGCTGCTGTCAGGCCAGGGACCTTTTCCTGGGATCTTCAAAGCCTTGCCACAACAGCTGCCTCTCAGGCTCTCCTCGACAGCCTCCAGGGTCCCCAGATCACAGGCCCTGGGCCATTCCTTGGTTCAGCGGACACTTCAGGGGCTTTGCTCAGGGAAAGACAGACAAAGAAGCTGCAGAGGCCGGGCTATAGCCCCAGCCACATCAAGTCCGAAAAGGAGGGTGGGTTGGTCCTTCTGCTCTGTATCAGTGGGCCAACAGGACTGGAGGCCTAGAAGGTCCTTAGAGCGGGGCTGGGAGGAGGACTGTGGCACAGGCCAAGAGGGAGGCCCAGGCCCCGGATCGGACAGGGCTGTGCCCACCGGGGCCCCAGAGCCCCTGACTGCACTCCGGGCCGCGCTTCGCAGGGTTGCGGAAGAAGCAGGAGGGCACTGGGCTCTGGAAGCCTCTGCCTGGAGGCCAAACTTTGGGGTGGTTTTGGGCTCCTCCACGGCTGGCTCCCCACCACCTAATCCCGTCGTCGTCATGCTGGGAGCTCAGGTCTGTCCCGAACACTCCGAGCTGGCCAGAGCTGGGTTTCTGAGTCGGCTCTGGGGCAGGCCCTGGGGGAGCTGGGGAAGCTGGTTTACAGGACGGCCCCTGGGCCCGGACAGTCCGGCAGATCTCCAGCCACAAATGCTGTGGTTCTCCATCCTGGCTGCAGGTGAGAGTCTCCTGGGAGATTTTAAACAATCCCATCCTCCACGCCCCATCCCCAAACAACCCAAAATTTCTGGGATGGGGCCCAGTCACCCGTATTTTACAAAAGCCCCCCAGGTGACTCTATTGTCCGGGAGGGTTGAGAGGGCAAGGCGCCTGTGGACAAGGAAAACAATCACAGCCTGACACCCCCCAGAAGAGGGGGAGCTGGTCTTGGCACCTCACGCTGTGTCTCGCCTTGGGGAGTGTGGGCCTGCAGCCCGTACCTAAGTGCAAAGCCACAGGCTGGCAAGGCCTCCAGGGAGCTCAAATGTCAGGTGCGGGCAGGTCATCAGCAGGCTCAAACGTTTGTCTTCTGTCTCTAAAGCGATTAATACCTAGCACCAGCGCAACTTCCATTATAATCATCTTACTTTATAATGAGGACTGCTGTTTGGGCTGGAGAGAGGCACACGGGCCCTCAAGGATCACTTCTGGCTACCATGTCCCCATCAGCAAGCCTGAAGAATCACCGCTGCTCTCCCCTCTAAACACAGAGCCCAAAGTGGCTTTCACGGCAGCCTTCTCACTGGGGTTGCAAGAGATTGTAAGTGCAATAAGCCAACGTACATGGCAGATGTCAGCAGGGTCAAGTGCTTTGAAGAAGGGTGGGGAATGACTGCAGATGGGGAGGATCTGGAAGGAGCTGTTCTGTGGATGAGACATGGGGGCGCGCATGGGCTGCATGGAGGGGGTGCAGGGCAGATCTAGAGGGATCCCGGGCAGGGGGTGGCCGGAGCGTGCAGCAGTGGGAGGCCGTCTGGGAGGGCAGAAGGACCCTGGGCTTTACTCCAGCGACGTGGAGGCTACTGGAGGATTCCGAATGGGGGAGAGTTGTGATCACCTTAGGCCCCGAGGCAAGGTGGAGGAGAAATCCCGTCGGGGCTCTGCTGGGGGCATCCAGTGAGAGGCCATGGTAGCTCAGACAAGAATGGGGCAGGGAATGAGGAGAGAGATGGAGAAGTTCAGAACAGGTCTGAGGACTCGTGGACGGATTAGATGGGGGATCTGAGAGAAAGCAAGGAAGTGTGGATGGCTCCCAGTCCTTCTGCCTGAATAGCTGGGTAAACCGGTTTACCAAGGCAGAGGTTGCTGGAAGGAGCAGTTCGGGGAAGATACCAGGCTCTACTTTGGTGGTGTTACACTTGAAATGCCTAGTAAGGACGTTGGGCAGGGGGCTAGATACGAGTCTAGAGCAGGGGGCGTTAGGCTGGAGATGAGACCTGGAGTCATCAGCATCTGGGGTGTTTAAATCACAGGACCAGCCGGGACCTGCGCAGGAGGCCAGAGGAGGTCCAGGGAAGATGGGAGGGGAATCTGCAGGGAGAACGAGGAACGAGCACTGAGGAAGGAGGAAAACCAGGAGTCCCTGGCATCTGGAATCCAAGGGAAAAAAAGGACCCAGAAAGCAAGCAGGGAGCTCCCAGCGCTAACCACACTTGACAGTGATAACGGGGCACAGCTCAAAGATGCCCCGAGAAAGCATCAGCCAAGTCAGAACGCTGGAGATGCCACTGGACAAGTGAGCTGGTTTCTCCCACAAATCAAAAGCCTGGGACAGGGGCGGGCTGAGAATGAGAAGGTTAAGAGACCCAGCCAGAAGCAATGTGTGGTCCTTGACTGAACAAACCACCTGCAAAAGACATTGGGGGAACCTGGAAGAAGCCCGGGCATTAGGCGATGCTGAGAGATCCTGCTCATCTTGGCAGGTATGTTGATGGCGTGGATTAAGGCGGAAAAGGTATCAGCCACACATGCCCATGGAAGACTTTACGGTGAAAGAGCACAAAGTCTTAGATTCAGCAGGGGCGCCTGGCTGGCTCGGTTGGTTAACCGTCTGCCTTTGGCTCGGGTCATGATCCCGGGGTCCTGGAGCCTGCTTCTCCCTCTCCCTCTGCCTCTCCCCCAAAACGAGGCTCCAGCTGGGAGCTAGGGAGGCCCTGGTGGCACCAGCAATATCGGTCTTGGCTAAGAAAACTGAAGGCTCAGGGCAAGGGCAGGGGGCCGGGTGCAACCATTCACAGCCCGGCTCCAGGGCCCCACAAGCCTGCTCACGCAAGGCCCACTCTTGATGCTGCTGCCCATCCCCCTGTCCCTGGCTGGGTCCCTACCCTCATCTGCCCCATCCTCCTGACCACACACACACTCACACACACTCACACATGCTCATACTTGCTCTTCAACTCCAGTGTACACCCCAGGTAAACCCATTTAATCTCCTTAAAAAAGCCCACTCTGGGATTGGCACCTGCCCATCCAGGGAGGTTCTAGAAGCTTTCCTCAGAGACCTATGACTCTTTGGTGCCTTTTCCTGCTGTCCTGGCACCTGGCCCACTCCTCTCCCTGGCCTCACCTTGTCCCCCAGGAGGTGGGCTCCCAGACTCCTGACCAGTGAACTGCTTCAGCCCGTGGATTAGTGTGGGTGTGTGTTGTAACAAAACAACCCCAAATGTATAATGACACAAACACAACAGAAGTTTGTGTCTCTTTCCTATAAAATTCAAAATGGGTGAGTCCTCGTTCCACAGGATGGAGAAGTTCCTGGGTCCTACCAGGCACTTCTGATTAGTGGGTGCTCTCCTCCAAGCGGCAATTCATGGACCCAGGCTCCTTCTACCTTGTGGCTCTGCCACCTTCAACACACGGCCCTCAAGGTCACTGTAAGATCTGCGTCAGGCTGGTGGGGGGATGACAGAGCACAGAGGAGCATGCAGGAGTTTTAGGGGGTCAGGTCTAGAAGTGGTGCACATGTCCACACATTCCATTGGCCAGAACTCGGTCACATGCCCCACTAATTGCAAAGGAGGCTGGGAAATGTAGTCTGGCTGTGTGCCCAAGACGACGAACTGAGTTTGGTACCCTGCCAGCCAGTTTCCATCACAGACCCCTAGCTCCATCTCCGCCACCGGCTTCTGGCCTTCCCCGAGCCTCCCCTTTCTTTTATACCCGCCCTGGCCTTGGCCCTCCTGACCCCATCCTCCCACCCTGCCCTAAGTCCCCTGCCCTGCAGCTTCATCTGGCCACAAGCCAACACCCAAGAAAGGACCAGTCCCGACAGGTCAGAGAGGCACACAGAACAGGTTTATTCCTCATGAGTTTATACAACCACGGCACGGAGCAGAAGGTAAAAGTGCAGACAGCTCGGGGCGAGGGCAGAGGGCCTCCCCTGTCACACTCTCTTCTATCCAGCAGCCTACATCCAGGCATATACCAGGTATTGAACGTGGGGAGCTGTGGGACCCACAGTCCACATGAGCAGCGGCAGAAAGGAGGCTGGGGGGAGATAAGCCCCAGCCCTGCTGGAGGGGGTGGTGAGGAACAGCCACCAGAACTCAGGCCTCTCTGGAATGAAATCACCCCTCCTTCCTTGCACTCCCCCCCGCCGCCGCGCCCCCCGCCCCCGGCTGGCTAGCTGGTTCCTGCAGAGAGTGGTCCTAGTGGTACTAAAGGAGCTCCCAGCGGCAGCCTGAATGGGGGAACAGGAACAGGACACAGCAAAAGAAAAAGTACATGGCAGGGGCATCTGAGACCCAGATGAGGTCAGCTCTCCCGTCCTCAGCGGCTCCCTTGATTACCTGCTCCCACTACCTAGGATTCCACCCTGAAGGCTAACAAAGTCCCTCCTCTTTACTTGTGAAAGGCAGATGCCCCTGGGAGAGAAAAGCATGGAAGGCAGGCGAAATGGGAAGGGGCCCGAAGCTCTGCCTCCCACTCCCCTGCTTGGCCCGGGCCCACCTGACGAGGGTGGGCGACAAGCACCCATGCTCTCCGAGCTCTCCACCTTCCCAGCGCCATGCCACCTCTGTGGCCAAACACTGCCCCTCTCCTAGCAGAGGCGGGATGCCAGAGGGAAAAGAAGGAAGGCAGGGAAGAGGCTCCTAGGGGTCGGGGAAATCCAGAAGCCCCTTCCTGAAGGAAAAGCCACCCTCATCTCACTTGGAGGTGAGGGGGACGGAGACCCAGTCCTGCTCTATCACCTCTCCCAGACGGCCAAGGGGACAAGGACCAAGATGAGGGGGGCCTAAGGGAGCCTGGGCTACCACAGACACAGAGCAACAGACACACAGACCGATGGGGGCCGCCAGCTGGAGGCTGCCGGGCAGGGGCCGCCTCTTACTCGCCATCCCAGCCTCGACTCATGGCCTGTACCACGGCTGCGTAGAGCTGGCTCCAGGCGGCCCGCACGGCTGGTGTGAACGCGGGGCCCAGGCACTTCTCCAGCATGTAGAGCAGGGACTCACCCACCGTCTGTAGAGGCAAGTGGCACCTTGTCATTCCCGAAGGCGGGAAGGCATCGCTCCATTCCACAGGTGAGGAAACTGAGGCCCGGACCTTTCTTCTCTCCTGCACAGGGTCCATGCTTCCCGAGCAGGATTCTGCCCCAATCCTTGGGTACCACATGGGACCCAACTTTCCCCTTCAATGTGAGGCTTCATAGTGAACGAAGCATTTCACTCTACTCCCAGCCTTGCAGTCACCCCATGACTGGGGCCAAGGCCTTGCCTGGGAACCCCAGCTCAGAGCAAGCAAAGTCATTGCCCCCAGGCCTCCGTTTCCTCCTCTCCAAGGCAACACTCACAGTGTTAAGAGCCCACACTCTGCAACTAGACACACCTGAGTTCACTTGCTGATTCCGCCATTTATGAGCTGTGGGGCCTTGAGCAGGTTTTGTGACCTCTCTGAGCCTCAGTGGCTTCATCAGTAAAACGGGGAAGGTAAAAGTTCCAACTCGTCAGATTGCTGGGACAAGCAAATGAGATCAACCCAGAAAGCTCTTAGCACAGCATCTGTACACAGTAAGCCTTCAAGAATAATAATGGCTCTCATTTGTTATTGTCAGAACAAAATATGGTTTACTTATTCCACAAATAATTACCGGACATCCACTAAAGACTAGGCACCGTACGGGTGCTCGAGATAGAGAGGACAAGACTAACTTGGTCCCTTCCTCGGGGCGCTTACCATCTGGCAAGGTGAGTGGACTCGGGTAGACTTGTCACGTCAGCGGCCCCCAGTGAGCCACACCTCGAGGATTCACGCCCCCTGAGTGGGGTCCCTCCTCCCTGAGCCGTCACCAGGAGGGATGCAAGCAGGGGCCGGGGCTCTGCCCTCTGGGGACTCAGCTGCCACTCTGCAGAGGAGCTCAGCAAGGCCCCCGCATAATGAGACACCACAGGGAAAGAGACCCTGAAGGATGACGGGCCGCCTTGGATGCAGCAGCCCCAGGTGAGCTCCCGGCTGAGTGCCTCCCGCCCCACCACAGGCAACGAAACCACTGCCCACACTGAACCCAGAGAAATGAGAAACCGTTTGCTTGGGATGGTTTTACACACAGCGATAGGAAACTGAGCAGACTGGCCAATCCCAGAGGCTCTTTAACTTTCCATGGTTCTAAGAGAAGCCACACCAGGGAAGAAAAATTGGAGGCTCAGAGAGGTCAAGGCACTGCCAGGGCTCACACAGCACGGCAGTAAAGGCTGCAGACCCCCAGCCCCAGTCATCTGAGGGTATGGGAATGGGGAGAAAGAACAGATGGACAGGGAGGACCAGGAGAGTGGTGGCCTAGGGTCAGGAAGCGCCCCTTTACCCACCGAGAAGGAGCTGAGCTTCACACCCACTGCACGGTGCTTCTTGCCCAGGCCAGCAAGGTACTCCTCCAGCGAGGACAGGTCCTCTACATTGGTCACTGCAGTGTCAATCACGAGCATCACCTGCCAAGGCCAAGGTAGCAGTGAACCCGAGAGGCCAGAGCAATCCCACCTACTCACAACTACAGTCCAGAACCGGGGGGGTCCCAGCCAGGAGTAAGAGAGGTCAAGCAGGACCCTCAGTTTTCCAGGATCAGAAATGCAAGGCCACGGGGCTCAGCTGGTGGAGTGTGCGACTCTTGTTCTCAGGGTTGTAAGTTCCAGCCCCACGCTGGGCGCAGAGATTACTTTAAAAAATAAAAGAAAATCTGAAAAAAAAAAGAAAAGAAATGCAAGGCAATCCCTGTCTACATACAGTAGGCACTCAACATGTGGCCAAACTGCCAATGTTATACTGTGAAGGCAGCTCCTCTCCTCTGAGGGTCCCAAAGCCCTAAACATGGCAGCGGGACGGTGCTGTCTGCCCCGGACAAGGAGAAACTGAGGCACTGTGAGAGTCACTAGCCTCTAAGGGAACCCCAGCTTGGTTGTCATAGGCAGATGGCGCCTGGTGGATCAGGGCCAACAGCACCCTCAGGAGCTGGGGACGGCGCTGAGGGCAAGGGTGGAGCAGGGACCAGCTGGCTGAGGCTCCGCCCGGCTCAGCACAGAGGGCAAGGAGCAGACACCTCTGGCATGGGGGGCAGCAGAAGGGGAATGAGAGCAGGCCAGGGCGGAAGTAACTTCCCCTAGCCGAGCCTCCCGTTCTCTGCCAGGAGGGCGTCCTGCTGGATCTCCGGGCCGCTTCACCTCCGCCTCACCTTCCTGATGTGGTCCAGGAACTCGGGGGACGACAGGCAGTCCTTGGGGCTGGAGAACTGGCGACAGTTGTACTGGAAGAGCGGCAGCAGGTCGGGCTCCAGGTCAAACAGCCTGCGGCGGGGAGGCCCAGGCGTCAGCCCTGCGGTCCCTGCACGCCCCAGCCGGCCCCATGAGCCCCGGCGGCCCAGCGGCCGTGCGGTGGGGGCGGGGGTGGGGAGGCAGGGAGGCAGCTGGAAGCCGGGACACACCCTCCCGCCTGCCATTGGCCCCTCTCCCGCCGGCTTCAAGGGGCACCCTGAAAAGAGCAATGAGTCCCGAGGCCTCTCACAGGGCCGGGCATAGAGCAGACCCTCCATAAACGGTTCAGAGGGCTGCGACAGGGAGGGGTCCTCAACTAGGAAAGCCCTTCTCTCTCTTTTCTCTTCTCTGTCTCTGTCTCTGTCTCTCTCTCTCCCTTCCACTCTTGGGTCAGAACCTCCTAGTCTCATCATGTCTGTAGGGACTTGGGCCAGTGATGATAACGGTACTATTAAGAACTCCTTACACTTACTGGACACTGAGTACTTTACATGTGGTTCACTTACGTATCCCTCACAATCCTAAGCAGTAGATAGAACTGTTATCCCAGTCTTATTGAGGAGGAAACACAAGCCCAGAGAGTTTAAGTAACCTACCTACGGTCACACAGCTTGGAAGTAGCAGAACCACAGAGGGTCACTAAGCCCACAGAGAAAACAGTGGCACAAGCAGAAGCTCTCAGTCCCTCCTGAGAAGGGCTCGTTGGGCTTTTGTGTAGCCCTACAAATGTATTCCCCCTTTGTCTGAGGAGGAGGTTTTGCAAAATCCTCCTCAGAAGTTCTGGGCTGGCTTTGGGAGCTGAAGCTCCTGAGAAACCATGGTGACAGAGCGCTGCCTCTGGGGATGGCAGAGGGGTTACCTAGAGGCCCTCAAGGTAAGCTTGGAGACTGGCCTCCCTTCCCCTTGGGGTCTGCGCACCGCCTCACACCTCTCTCCAGCGGGGAGACATGGGGGTCTGTCATCCCTTCGCTGGTGGTTGTCTGGTCCTAGCCCGGTCCTTTCCTCGGAAAGGTTTATCCTTCTGTTGGCTTGCTGGCAGTGTGCACCCCCAGGGCCTGGACCGTGCCCTCCCTCCCGGAGCCCCGGAGCCCCGGCACAGCCTCCCCGCACGAGCCCTCGGGGCATCCCCTTCAGGCACCACCCAAGGACCGAACACTCAGGAGCAGAGCCAGGGAGGGGGCGCAGCGCGGGGACCAGCGCCTGCTGGCCAGAGTGTAAGGAGATCCGCCGGGGAGGACCCCCGCCCACCCCCGGGGAGTCGCCGCAAGACGCGCCCACCGCCGGTGGAAGGCGGGGGGAAGCGCAGAAGGGGCTGCGCCACCCGTCGCCGCGCCCGCTCCTCTGGCGCACATCTGGAGGCGCCCCGGCGCCCGGGCAGCGGGCCAACCTTCCCTCCCCTGGCGCGGGCCCAGCCGCCGGGAACCCATTCCGGGCGAGGCACCCCGCCACCCGCACCCCCGGGGCGCTCGGGGAGCCCTCACCTGGCGAACAGCACGGTGCCGTGCTCCAGCGGGCTGCGGCTCACCGCCCGCCAGCTCTGCCGGATCAGCTCGGGCTCCGGGAGCTCCATGCCGGCCCGGGGACGCGCGGGGCGCGAGGCTGGGACCCTCGGGGCGCGGGCACCGTCACCGCACGTGCCGCGCCATCTCCGCGGCGACGCGGGCCACTCTGCACCCCCTACGGCCCCCCGCCCCCTCCCCGCCCCAGGTGGAGGCGCCCCGCCGTGCCCGCCCGGCTGGCGCTTCCGGGGACCCCGCTCCGGCCGCTGCGCCCTGCGCCCCGCCGCTCCGACAGCGCCCCGCCCCGCGCCGCCCGGCCCCGGGCGCTTTAAAGCAACCGCGGCCCCCGCCCCCCTCCGCCCGTCAAGGCGCTCATCTCTGGGCAACTGGCTGTGCCAGGGACGACCTGGTGGCCGGGGAAACGGCTGGGCTTCAGAGCCTCACAGAAATCGTCGAGCCTCTCTGGGCCTCAGGTTTTTCATCCCGAAACTGGTGAGGATTTCGCCACTTGCCGGTTAGGGCACCAACCGAACTTGATCGCCTTAGGTAGGCTCTGCATGTGCCACCTCTCCGCAAGCTTCCCTCACCTGCTACTGGAGGCATTAGAGTTTGCCACCCCCTTGGCACAGGTTCTCCTTCCTCCCGCCCCGACGTGGGACCAGGGGATGCGAGCACCTGCCTGTGGGACCAGGCTGGGCTGGAGAGGCCCTCTGCCCTACTCTGGGTCTGACTGAAGCATCCCCCACCCCCGTCCCTGCACAGTGGGGGCCACCAGAGGTCTCAACCTTAGGGACAGGGCCAGGACCACGGCCATTTCCAGCCAGGCCTGGGGGTTCTCGAGACAGCATCTTAACAATCTGTGAGCTCCAGTTCTGGCCCCAGCTCTGCTTGGCCGGGGCCAGGTCTAGGGTGCAGCAGCTCTGACAGCTGCAGTGCCTGGCCATCGAGGGAGTTAGGGTTCAGCATTCTATTCCACGATTTTCAATAGACTTCTAAAATTTTTAAATAGAAGTACTATTTTGTTCTTTAAATTGAAGTTCAGGTAGTAGAGTCTCATTCAGGGTATGAAGTTGACCACCTGTCAGGCCTAAGCCTATTTCTCTCTCTCTCTCTCTCACTTTTTTAAGGGGGTGGAGGAGGGGCAGAGGGAGAGAAGCCGACTCCCCGCTGAGCAAGGAGCCCCACACCCGGCTAGAGCCCAGGACCCTGAGATCATGACCTGAGCCAAAAATCAAGTTGGAGGCTTAACCTACTGAGCCCCCCAGGTGCCCCAAAGCCTTTCTCTTTCAAGCATGAAAGTTCCTCCGGCCCCAGCCCAGTGCTAGTGCCCCAGGCTTTGGAGAGCCAAACCTTCATTTAACCTTCATTATTTCCAGTCTCTGAGCCTAGCTCCTCTCAGCCTCCCTCCTCTCTTTCAGTGTCCTTAGTAAAGGGGTCGGGTAGTGGGGTCTTTAGGGGCCTTTCAGCCCACCTCCTTTGGTTCCTTGGATACAAGACGGTATTCAGGCCAGTGTTCATGAACAGGCTGAGGTTCCATGCCCAGGAGTTTGGAGTACACCTTATTCCTTTCTTCCCCATCTCCCCACACATCTCTGGGGTCTCTGGGCTGAGCAGGAGAGCAAGGGTAAGGCAGCCTGCCTTGTGTCTGAAAAGTCCAAGATCCCCAAGTAAGAGCACAAAGGAACTGGGGGCAAAAGGGAGAGGAAAGCTAGGTTACTTGGAGACTAGATTTCTCATTCGGTATCCATGGCCCTGCAGCCAGGTCAGCAGGTCACAGGGCGAAGGCCACATGGGTCTCTGGGTGACTTTCACCTTTCAGTGCCCAGATGCCCTGTGTAGGCCACCTGGCTTATCTAAGGCTTCCCACCCCACCAGTGTGCACTTCCTGGCAAGAGTCTACACTGTGGGGGTGCCTGGGTGGCTCAGTCATTGAGCGTCTGCCTTCGGCTCGGGTCATGATCCCAGATTCCTGGGATCGAGCCCCGCATCGGGCTCCCTGCTCAGCGGGATGCCTGTTTCTCCCTCTCCCACTCCTCCTGCTTGTGTTCCCTCTCTCGCTGTCTCTGTCAAATAAATAAAATCTTAAAAAAAAAAAGAGTCTACACTGGGGACCTTCTTGCTTCCTTTCTCCTTTTGACAGGGTCTGGGTCTGATAAGTTAATGGCAGTTAATGGCTTTAGCTGGTGAGTGGTGGAGTCAGCACTCACTTGGTCTCAAGCCAGGGGGAGGGGGCTGAGTGTGCTGTAATCTCTACTTCCCTGGAAAAAAAGGCCTGAGAACCTGGCTGGGCCTATGCAGGACCAGCGGGAAGGGAGGGTGTTCCAACCAGGAGACGGAGGGTCTGAGTCCATATTTGAGGGCTGAAGAAGTCACAGGATCTCCCCTCGTTGCCTGGCATCTGCCCAGGACTTGGGCAGCAGGTTCTAGAGGAGGAGAGTTGAATGCTGTTCTAGAGCCCGTGGTGTCACTGAGGTGGAGTTGTCGACAATAACAGAGCCAGCATCCACTGAGCACTCCTGTCCTGACTCTTTACAAGGATCTTTACATCATTCACTCTTCATCCTCACAAGACCTCTATCAAGTAGGTACCATTTGTTATAATCTGGTTACACTGTTGAGGAAACAGAAGCCCAGGGGTTTGGTCACGCGCCCCAGATCACATAGTTGTAAGCGGTGGGGCCACGATTTGCCCTCAAGTCTGACTCCAGCCCATTCTCTAGGCCTCTGTGCTCCACGGCCTCCTTCACTTTGATGGACTGTGACCAAGAGCTATAGTTGAGACCAAGCCAAGGTCACTGGGTCTAGGTCAGGGGTGTCCTGGAGCTGGCTCTTCGGTGGCTTCAGAGAGCCAGCTGGGCACATCTATCTTTCCAAATTCTTGTGTAGTGACATCAGGACGGTAGCCCGAAATGGGCCATAGTGGGAGTATTTACACTGTGGAAATTGGCAAGTGCTATCAGGGCTTGTTTTCCTCCCCGAAGACCACTGGGCTGGGTGCAGCAGCAAATGCCAGCCCCCGGATGAGCTGTGGATGCATTAAGCAGCACGTACAAAGGAACATGCTAAATCTGGACACCTCTGAGCTACGTCCAGGCCTTCTCCCAAGGGATCCAGGGTTGCCAGGTTGTTCTGGGAAGGTGCTTCTAGCCCCAGGACCAAGCTGGAGCAGCAGAAAAGCCCAACTTGGTGCCCAGGCCTGGCCCTGCTGTGGACTAATCACAGGAGTTTAGGCAAATAACGTAATCTCTCATGGGTAGAATGGAGACAAACCAGCACCGACTTCACTGTGCCTTCATGAGGATTAGGTGTTACAGAGGTGTGGGCGCTTGGTAAGCTGTGTCAGTCAAGAAGAAGTGTTTGGTCCTTTTCTAACTTGCCTAGACACGGCATTTTCCATCCCTGCAGATCTCCATAAGCCCCTCCCCACCCCCTCCAGCCACTCTGGTCCCAAGGCGGGGTGGGGGGGGCTGGGGGGGCAGGCCGCCCCCACTTCACAGAGCAGTGCTACTCCTCTCCTCCCCTGCTTACCGCCAACACACATCAGCTCTCGCGTCCTTTGGACCCTTAACATCACTCCCAATGACGGAAGACCCCTGCCAGGATGGGGCCTCTGGTGAGCACAATGGAAGCTGCTACAAGGCTGGGCAACACAGCTGCCTCAGTGGCGGACAACTGCTACTCCCTCACGCTCCTTGCCCTACTGTGTGGCGGGTTACAAGAGAAAAAAGGTCCAGCTTCCTACTTATTTTGGAATAAGTTAAAATAAATTAAAAGAACAACCAACATTACTCAAGTAAGCTTGTAAGTGGGAGGCCCAAATGCCCCTTGGGGTAACAAGGCTCACCTGCCCAGCCAGAAGCCCAGGGCTTCTCCTCGAATTAGAATGGCCTCAGACACTGAGACACAGTGGAATGGTTCTTGCGCTCAAAACATCCCTTCTTTCTGGGAACCCAAGGGAAAGTCAGATTCAATTAAGGACAAGAAGAACACCATGGCATTCAAAATAAGAGCTATTTATTACAAAAGTAAATGGCCTCTGATTATCTGTGGAAACTTTTTATATATATAAAATTGTGGCCCAAAAAGCTGGCTGGAGGTTGGGCTAACAAACATCTTCTTCCTCCACCAGCAAGTTTGTGGGGCATGTCACATTTCCGCCAATTCCTGGGCACTGGAGCCCACATTCAGAGCCCCACCTTGATCGCCCCTCTCCTCAGTGTCTTCCACTGACCAAACCTGAGCACTGGAAGCTGCATCAACCCATATGGCCTTGTCCTCAGAGAAGTGTCTGCTAGTCTGGGCTAAGAGGAAGAGGAGGGAGTGAGCCAACAATTCTTCTCTCATCCTTGGAACGCAGTATTAAGAGAGGAACCCTTTGTCCCCAGTGTGGCCAAATTAGGAGGGAGCCATGGGCAGGAAGCTGGCTGGGCTTTCTCCTTCCTCACACTCACTCAGAGTGGCTGCCTCTCTGCTCCTTGGGAGTGCCTCCCTTCCAACAAGTCCCTAGTAGGAAATAAGAAGGTGCAAGGGGACACCAGTCACCTCCCAGTTGTCACGGGGTCATGGTTCTTGGCTGAGGGGCAAGCACAGACTCTTCATTCTCCCTCCAGAAAAACCCACCCAGATGGCTACCCCCAACCAGCTTAGAAGAAACCAACTCCATCTTTGGGGAGGACAGACTGGTGCGGTAGAAGGGGTGAGCAGAAGTTCTCTATCCCTGCTCTCCTTCCCTTCCAGAAACGCAATTAAGCCCATAGCCCAGACTCAGCACACAGGCAGCACTTCCTGCCAGGGGAAGTCAAAAGGGGTTGCAGCCCTGGGAGAGGGAGGTCATCATACCCCAGATCTAATTAACAAACCTGCCTTGCTTTTGACATTGCTGCATTTCCTCTATTAACATTAATGATGGCTGGTCTGAATGGCTAAGGATGGCCAGAAGCTTCCCTCCCCACTGCCCAGTAGGTAGCACAGCCTGTCCCTGGGCCCAATTTCCAGTCTCCGTGGCAACCGCCTCTCGAAGATGCTCTAAAGAGCTCTGACCCTGTCAGAAGTGGTGGGGGCTACAGAGGAGGGAAGATGAAGTGTGGCAGAGCCTCATCATTAAACCTGGAAGCATCACAGTCCTCTGAGACAAAATATTCTGTCATGCACCGGCAGGAGGGAGGCAGCCTGAAGAGCAGGCCCGGGGCTGGTTAGGTTCTGACCCAAGGGTTTTCTTAATCTCTTCCATTTGGGAAGGAAGTGAAAGGAACAGCTCTGAGCTTCTTGCTTGGGCTTTAAAGTGGTAGAGAGTAGAAGCTTTGCTGCATTTCTAGGTGCTCTAGGTCTTTGGGAGAAAGAGATCGGTGGAACAGTGACACAGAGAAAGGGAAATGAAATGCATCCAGGGCAGCAGGGAAGACTAGAGAAGTAAAAGTGGGAAACACCTCCTGAGTGACAGGAACATCAACCCAGACAGGCCCACTGGGACCCCAGCCTGGCACCACAGGTCCCTGCCCTGCTGCCCACCAGCCTCAGCAGCTAAGGGGCCCCAAAGGTTCCCCCAACCATGGGGAGAATGCATCTGTCCCACCTTGTAGCCAGGTTGGATGCAGACGGAAAAGGACATAGCAAGAAACCACCTCTGGCACGCAGGGCCTGGGAACAGAGCAGCCAGGGATAGGACGCCATTCCTCCCACCAGTCATCATGTGGTGTTCTCAGAGAGCAAGGAACCAAGGGCTGGTGAGTGCTCGGCTGCCTCACTCCAGAGCCCAGTCTTCTGTGCACACTGCAGGGAGTGCAGCCACCTGCTGCCCCAGAGACCTCCCAGCAGCTGCCCTCCTCCCCACACTGGGAAGCAGCTGGGAGGCCCTCCAGCTCAGGGGCGCTCAGCTCTATTTGTTTGTGGGGAGAAGGCCGGCACAGCTTTGATGGCCCCATCTGCTCCGCCCTTGGTGATATCCCAAAGTGGGGCCAGTGAGCTCAGCCTTGTTGGAGGTCAGAGAATTTTTGATGGCTCTTGCTTTCAAGCCAAATCCAGTGTGAAAGAAATACCAGAAAATACTACTATAGCCCTGGACTATTTCTTACAGTTTATGACACTCAGCTGTCTACAGTCACGGTCTGTATTCCACAGGTGTATGGAAAAACGAACCCTCCCACTCCCACACACTCACGCCCATTCTCTCACACACTCATCCTTATGTTGCACACTCGGGGAAACGGGCCTGAGAGATGTCCGCTGTTGCTGAGCCATTCCCAGCGGTGGGATCTCTGCAGATAGCGCTGCAGCTCTCCCTAGTGCTGGGCTAAATTCCAGGTATGCTCCCAGAGCTTGGTCCTGGCAGGCAGCAGAATTCCTCAGGCTCCTCGGGCAGCTTTGCCCACAGCTGGGAGGGTCTGGCTGCACAGCTGGCTGTCCCCAGAAAGTTCCTGGATTCTGGCTGGAGTAGCAGTAGCCTCAAAAGTCCCATGATTCAAGCCACCTTAGTCCTGCCATGGGACTTCGGGGGTCCTGGGCTAGGGGACCGACCATCCCATAAGCCAGAGGGTGGAAGAGGTAGAAGCTGTGAGAGAAAATCCAGAGGGAGGCGGTTGGCACCCAGCGCTTCAGCAGGGGCAAGGAGCCCCATGGATCTTTGAAAATTTAGTAGCCCCTACTGGAGCTTAGCAGCTCTTCTCCACCTATAAGACCCACCCCTCGTCACAATGTCTGTGTTCACCATGTGGGCACACTGTAGTCCGAGAGCTTAGCAGATGGCGGCTTAATGAGAAAGAAGGAAAGGGCTCCTCCCAGGAGGCCCGGGAGAGAGACCAGTCCCGGGGTCTGGCCATGGCTGTTTGGCTCAGAGTATTTGTTAAAATGTGCGTGTGCCCTCAGATCATAGGCCCACCATTTCCTGTTCACACTTTAATGCTGCCTCCCTGGCCCCTAAAGGCCAGTGACTCTCAATAGGGGATCTGTGAGACTGGCAAGGAGGGGGGGTTGGTGAGGCTTGCCAAACAACACCCTCCTTCCAGTTATTCTGAGCCACACCCCACACCCCTCTCCCCACCCTCTCCCTCACTCCAACCCCTCCAGGGCTGTCCAGTGGGGGGGCCAAGGTGACTAAAGAGAGGCAGCCGGTGTGCTGGGGTGATACAAAAGCTGGGACCTACTGGCAAAAAAAAAAAAGAATGCACAGTTAGCCGCAGGTTTCTCCTATCTGGGTCCACATTGGGGTCACCTGGGGAGCACAGAAAACCGGCTCAATTGAGTGGGAGCCTCCGGGGATGGGGCCCGGGGCGTGCTTTAAAAGCACCCCAGGGGATTCTAAGATGCATCAAAGGCAGAGGCAGGGAGCAGCAATGCAAGGGGTAGGGGCTACTCACCTGTAGGCAGTTCCCAGGAGCAGGCTCAGGAGTCCCACCGCATATATGCCCCTGGCCAGGGAAGAGGAGGGCAGACTCCAGGCACAGAGCCGCAGGAGAGTATCCCACAGAATCCCTAGGAGAAAGAAGAAAGACAGACCTAGTCTGTCAGAGGATGACTTCCTGGGATGCAGCAGAGAGGAGCTACCCAGGTCAGGAAGCAGCGAGACTCCCCCTCGGTGCTTATCCCCCACCCTTCTCACCCAAGTCCAGGTAGGCGGTGCTGACCTGTCAACATGCTGGAGAAGAGCATGGCTGGGAAGTAGTGGTGGAAGTAGAGGATCCGGCCCATCAGGAAGAATGGGAAGTAATGGAGCATCCAGCCGAGCAGGAGCTGACCACCTCCTTGCAGCAGGACCTGGGACAGCCCTGGGCCCCAAGCAGCACAGCTTGGTCAGCAGCCAGGGAGGGGGCAGAGACCCCTGGCTCTCAACCAGCTCTGCCCCTTCCTTGCTGGGTGACTAGACTAAGCCACGTGCCCTTACTGGGCCTGCCTCCCTCATCTGGAGGCCACTAAGCAAGGTGCTAAGCAAGCCTCTGGCAGCTGGACAAGATGAGCAGCTGGCCCTTGAGAGCCTTGCTCACCGCCTGCTTGGAGAGGCCTCAGCACCCACGCAGCAGGAGGCAGCCCAGCCTCTAAAGAAACCAAGATGCAGCACGGCCCCCAGACAGCTGCCCCCACCCCACGGCCTTTGCTGCCGCCCAGATCTTTGCAGTGGCAGACAGGGCAGAGGTGAAGTCAGAGATGAGAATGGAGGGCAGAGAGGGGGTCTAGGGCCATGGCTGTTCACAAGGGAGCTGCACATGGCAAAAAGAGCCTGCAAGACCATCTCAGGGGCTGTGGTCCCTACTCCGCTAGAGGACAGGGCCATGGAACAGAGAGCGACAGAGGAGAAAAGGTGGGCAGTTCTATACAGAGCATAGAGGTTCAAGTGAGGGCTCTAAAGTCAGACCACTTGGGTCTGAACCTCAGCTCTACATTTACTAGTATATGTCCTGGATAAGTCTCTTCTCTTTGTGCCTTTGCTTCCTAAGCCATAAAATGGGGCTAAGAATGTTCTACTCTACAGGGCTGCTGGGAGCATGGAGTGTTTAACATAGTACTGGGCATTTGGTGACTGAGCTTTAAAAAGCAAAGGAGAAGGGAAAGAGGGGGGTGAGGGCAGAACGGCCCATCGGCAGTGCAGGCTCCGGCCAGCTGCTAGGTCAGGGGAGGGAGAGCCCAAGGGACCGACCTTCAATCTCTGCAGGCAGGCGTGCCCCTCTCTGCACAGCTACAGCCATGATGCTCCCCAAGAGGAGATAGAGGGCAATGCTCAACAGATTCAGCCACCAAACCACCTGCATGGGAAAGAGGATGGGCGGGTGAGAGGAGAGCCACAGGCCCCCAAGGATCCAGGCTGAGGGCCCACACAGGGAATGTGCTAGGCACTCACCGGGTTGCCGAGCAGATACACGCGGAAGTCTGTGTCATTGATCCCTGAGAAGCGCAGGCCCTGCGGGGCAGAGGACACCCTGCTGATCCAGGGCCCAGTGCATCCCAGCCACACGTGCTCCGGCGGGGAGGAAGACCAGTTACCTTCCACAGACAGGGAGCCTGGGCAGGAGGCCGATTCTATGTGAGCTCGCTGGGAAGGCCGGGTCAGAATCAGGACAGAAAACAGAGCCCTGTCTCTGGCCACCTCATGCCAGGTAAGGCCTTGCCCAGTTGCCCCACCCCACCCTCACCAAGTCTCAACGGTCTCTTCTTTGGCTCCATTTCCTGGGAGCGGCTCTAGCCTTGAGCCCTACCTGATAGTTGACAGGCCAGTGCCAGGGCTTGGATGTGAACTCATTGTCCTTGGGTTTGAGGCCATTGTTCCCCTGCAGGAAAATGGCAAAAAAGAAGCTAGTCAAGGCAAAGATCTAGAGAGCTGACAGAAATGTGAGGAATGGGCATCTCTGACAGATAGCCAACTGTCAAGAGAAACCTCCCCCGTCTCCCTCCGTTGTGGGGAAGAATCTGGTGCTTGTTCTCAGTCACTGTCCACCTGTTTATGACTGCCTTACTTCTACCAACACACAAGCTTCCACTGCCACCAGGGACAGTCCATTCAGACCCACTATGCTTGAGAGAAAAAAGGACTTGTTTCCTGTGAGCACAAAACATCCATCCATCTTCCAGACCAAGTAGAAGTGTCAAGAGGGCTAGTGGGAGATACAAAATCAGGCTGGCTTACCTGTTCCCTCTGGAGGCCAATTTCAAACACAAAACCAAAACCAAACACTCTGATGGGTTCCTGAACTTGGAAAAAGTTACTTTAGTCCAGTATTTCTCAACTTTTTTTTTTTTTGATTCTTGCCCCTCCTGGGACTTTTTAGACTTTTTTTTCCTAAATGCCTCCCATCACATTTTAATACCACAGCTATACTGTAAATGTGTTTACATATTGGTTGACTACCTACATTAAAAAGTTACAGGTTTTTTGCCCTCCAAGAATACATTTTATCCACTGGGAGTGATATTAACCCTGTTCAGAGTGCACACTCTCGCCTGAAGGACCCTGACTCAGCCCCTTTAATCCAGCAGCCAAGACTGTCCAACACCTTGTCTCTACGCGCCAAAATTAGGGCTTTTCAAAAACAAAGAAAAGATCAGGACCCTGGATACTAAGCACCAGGACTGGTGTCAGCCTCATTATCAGAACAAATTGAGAAGGTACTTCCCAAGAAGAGGAGTGAGGTGTTACGAGTTAGGTCAGGATCTCTCCACTGAAGGGCCTCAGAATGAAGAATGGATCATCCTGGGCCCCAGAGGAGCTGCTAAGAGAAATTGATTTCTCCAAACCACTGCAGTTCAGTCCCAGACTCGGGGACTCCAGCCAGAGCTATAACCAACCAGGGGCATCCTATTCACTTTGTTAATCTCAGAAATACAGCTCCTTTACTAATCCAAGAAATGGAAGGAAGGAAAAGTCTGTAACCATTACAGGCCTATGCATTTATACATCGTTCTCTATGCTTAAAATCCAGAGTGGGCTCATTCCTTCTGACCTCAGCAGGCAAGGCAGCCTTCTCTGTACAGGACTCAGACCCTCCACTCAGTGGGCAGAAAAGCCCTCTCCCATGCAGTTTCTGTCATCTGGACTATTTTGACCACTCTCCCCACCCTGACTCTATTTCGGTTGAATAAGAACGTTCCCTGATGCCCTTTTATTCTTTGGCTCTACCTCTTAGATAATGAAAGAAGAAACGAGACTATTTAGACTTAGTCTTAAAATTCTACCCAGACATAGAATGATATTTTGACTGACAGGCACGTATTCAAAAGAGCTATGTCATCAGGCCACAGTGACAGCTACAAGCAGGGAGTCGGGGAAGAAGTGACCCGGAGATCACTTAATGTCAAGTCATCACCTCCCAATGTGCAGAAATGACAAAATTTGAATTTTTTTATCTAATCTGGTGAAATAAGTCAACTATATTTACTGAGTACTGCTTACATAATCACTTCCAGGAAAGTCCACTTGACAACTGCTCAGCAGGGGACAAATAACAGGCACTACACCTCTCTGCACCCCTGTGGGTGGAGTGATCATCACATACTGGCTGAAGATACAGTGATTCCTAAACACCTTTCCTGCAGGACACTGGCTTTCCATAAACCAGAGGAAAGGCGTCCCCCCTACACATCAACACTGCAGCAGGCTTTCTGTACAGCACAGGGGAGAAGTTAAGCTAGTGGGTAGAACTTTCTCAATTTAAAGATCTCCTCTGTCAATTGTTCTTAAACCACTGAGGTTAGGACTGCTGTCAGATACTAATGATGGGGAATACCAACAATGAGTCTTACAAAACCTTCAAAAGACTCAACCACGCCCCTAAACAGTCCCCGTGTCTGGGAACATGCGTGGGCTCATGGTGGGAATTTTATGCTGCAGATAAACAACTTTTGATCAGATCAGCTATTCATCCTAATTCATTCTAATTTCATATGATGGAATGAACTATTACTGTCTCAAGGACTTCAACCAAGAACACTCTAGTTTTCCAGGGCTCTGCCATTGGAACGGATCTGAGAATCACTTAGAAGCAGAAGAGTGTGGCGGTAGGCAGCACTGACTCTGCGAGCCTGCCAGCCCGGCTTTGAAGGCTGGAGCCACCTCTTCCATTTCGTTCTGGGACCCTGGGCAAGTTGTTTAACCTCTCTGTGCCTCGATTCCCTCATCTGTAAAGTGGGGACCATATCCCTGCAGGACTGTGATAACTACAGAATAAGTTAGTGCAGCACCGTGCATAGAGTGGCGCCGGGCACATAAGAGCTACGTAAGTGTGCACTGATGTCTGTTGTCCTCACCATCATCATCACCGTCATCATTCTGTGATAAGGGAAATGCCTTCGAAGACCAAGTAAACCAGAAGCGAAGACCCTTTCAAAGTCCTCCACCAGGGGACAGTGGATCTATACCATAGCTACTGATCTGTGATGCAAGTTTGTGGACGGCCAAGAGTTCATAGAGAAGCCTTCCAGTGAGAGGGGGCCACAGTACCCAGATCATCACCATGTGGGACTCCAGCAAGATCTCAGGAAAAGTGGGCTGCAGCACGTCCAGGCTGATGTTTGGCACTAGACAAAGAAAGGACAGAGAAGAAAACCTTGGTCACACGCACATTCTCACAGCCGTCCAGGGTACTAACACCATGCCTGGAATCCGAGTGTAGCTTTCCTGACACGCTGGCTAACAAGTAAGTTAGAGTGTTGAAGAGACAGAAGGAAGCTTGGCCCAATTCTTGATCATCCCTTCAGCTTGTGCAAAGCCCTCATGAGGCATCTGGAGAAATACAAAGGCAACAGGCGACGGGGCCTGTCCCCAGCGTTGCCACTGCTCTCGGCACCATCACCCTTTGTTATGGTCCAGGCTCGAATGCTAGGCCGGTCTGTGAGGACAGGGACCAAGTCCACCTCATTCACCCCAGGGGCCCCTAGGCTTCCCACTGTACTCACTAAAGAGTTGTTTAATTAGTTAATTAATTAGCTGGGTGGCTAAATTAGGTAGTAAGAATGAAATGGAAAACACAGAGAGGGGAAATGAAGCAGAAGCTTAAAAGGGGTGGTTGAGGAGGACAAATGATGGATCCAAAGACGACTGAGTTGAAGATGATACTGATGTAGAAACATCAAATTGGAGCCTGGGAGTACAGATATGAGGGCTCAGATCCAGGGCTGTGGCCACCGCTTTCTATAAAAGTGTTGGCTGGCTGTGGGGAGGGGCGGAGCACTACACAGGGGCATAAAGGGAAAGCACCAGCCTGCTCTAAGCCTTGAGGGTGGGAGATACCCATGGTGCAGGGGACAGAAAAGCCCAGGAGGAGACCAGACAGGTGGATCCACATTGCAGGCGGCAAGGAGAAGTGTCAGCTCCAGCAAGAAGCAAAGAAAATGGGACAAGGAAACTAGCTCTGGCCCACCGCAAGGTCACTGGTCACTTTTGGGGAAGTTTAAGGAGGATGGGAAGTTGACATGGTTGGGAAGAAAAAGGAGCTACCTGTCGAGACAACTCGTATGAAGAGACTAGGTTCAAAAAAGGCAGGAAATGACAAGGAGATACAGTGGCAGCAGAATCTATGAAGGTTGATTTTTCTAACGTTAAGAGTTACTTATAAATGTTTCCAGGAAGTAATCTCACTCACATTTGGGATTGATATGGTCTTCCACATTCCAGATAGAGTTGAGGGTTTCCTTTAGGTATGGGGTGCAAGTAACTTCCAACTGTTCCCAGCCCCTGTGAAAAGCAGTCACAGAGGTCTCTCAGAAGACGTGAAACTCACCAGAGAGTTGCGCGGTCGAATCTTTAAATTTATAGAACCCTGCTCTTTTCAACCCAGTGGCCACGCTTTTTGCAACCTCACTCTTTTATATCCCATGACTATCCTAGGAGGAGTCCAGCATAGAGTATTCCACTTCAGAAAGGCCCAGAGCATTTACAAGGTCCAAGACAGATGAACAACTATTCTGTTCAACTCTCAGAACACATAAAATACCAAAAGAACTCTGGAGTCCTGTGCTCTGTAACACACGTGATGCCTTTTCTCCCTCCACCTACCACTAAAATAAGAAAACATGAGGTGAACATTGACAACTGGGAAACAGAAACTTCTGGTATACTCTTTGTAGTGTGAAAGGAGAAGCATGAGCCTCAATTGGGACATCAAAACCCCAGAGACTCACCACTTGGGCAAGACCTTTCCCGAGGAGCCCAGGACACAACCTGTGACCAGATGGATGAGGCGAATGCGACTTCTCAGCACTTTGATCCGGTTTCCAAATTTTCTGTTTACAACCTCAATCCGCCAGAAATCATTTGAATCTCCTGTCCCATTCTGCCATGTAAATCAAGGAAAAAATACAAAGAAAGTAAGATGACTTTAGAGAAGACATGTCAGGAAAGGGAGATGGCCACCCTTCCGATGACACCATGTTACAAAGGTCAAAGACAAAACAGGCCTCAGTGGATGAGGTGGGAAGGGGAACAAGGGGGCCGGAGAAACACCCCAAGTGATGGACAATTCCCCCAGCGCTCACTAACACAACTAAGAAAAAGTAGTGTTAACTCCTACAGCCTGCAGTCCAATTCTTCACTTCAAAGGACTAGAGTTTAAATTCTAAACATATGTCTTTGCTCTTAAACCAAACTCAAGACATCAACCTGAGCCAACAGAAATAGATTTGGGCCATTTGTACCCATTACTTGGCCATCTGGACACTCACTCATCTAAGCCAGAAAGATTTAGCCTGCAGATTATATTTTGGAAATTAAGACACTTGTGTCTAATTCTCCTCAGGAGATGCGCACAAGAAAAAGACAAGCAATGGCTCTGGTACTGTGGGATGAGCAAACAGAAGGAGGTTTGGGAAGTCCACCTTAAGGAACCCAGGATCTTTACTGATGCACCAAAGCCCCTGCAAGGGAACATAAGATAGTCCTAAGTCTAGCTGCCCTGTGTAGTTGTTTTGTTTCCAAATCACTCCCCAAGCCATAAGTACCCATAGAGCTGCTTCTTCTATTAACTGCATCACCCACGCTACTAAAAAATCCAAAAGCAATGTGGTTAACATCCCCCTGCAGAACAGGGAAGTAATCCTTAAAAATAAAGCCAATGAGGATTTGGGATCTGGCAAAGAATAAACATATATTCACCTAGGATCACATTGTGGGTCCATGGCTTCTATGTCCAATGTGATTTAAAAAGGGACCCAAATAGTATTCATATGTGACATTTATTAAGTGTCAGAACATAAAAATGGCATGGTTATTATGGGAGAAGAGAGATGGAGACAAATAGACTCCCAGGCTGCTTTTCCCACAGCAAGCCTAGCCAAAAAGTTCCCAGTGTTAATAGAGTCCCTGGGTAGCCCGTCATCCTTAGGAACATTCCAGAATTCCAGGGAGGAGTGTTCTGTCACATGGCCCTGAACCAGGCCCCACAACTTTTTACAGCCTGCTCACACTCCAGTTGCTCACTTACTATGCCATAGCCAGTGACCTGATAGTGCTTCCGGGTCAGGGGGGCCTCATGATAGTGACTGTGCAGGTTCCGAGAAGTCCTAGAAGTTAAGCGAGAGAAACACCATTATCCTGGAGCAAAGAGACATGCAATGTCTCCTCTTTTACTAAGAATATTCAGAGTCCTCTGTTAGTGCAAAAAAAAATTAGAATCTGAACTATGAAATCCAACATATCAGGAACATCTTGCCTATTTACTCACAAGAAACATCCAGAGAGTCAGAGAATTGTCCAAACCAGCATGGACAGATGGTAGGAGTCCTGGACTCCATGCCAAGAAAGGGGTTAACTTCAGCAGTGGGGGGAATGACTTACCACATTTGGTGGCTTTGAAGCACTTAGCTTGCCTGACTCATGAGGCAGCTTTGGGGAGAAGAAATTAAAATTTGTAATCTACGCACGCCTAAGCCAGGTAAGCCTCCTCCCTCCCATTTACTCTTCCTGCCCTCATCACCAGTTTTATAATGTGGGGATCTGTGGGGGAAGGGAGGGATTAATTTGGCTTTTATTTACTTTGTGCCTTTTATAGTAATTCTTACTTTTATCCACAATAATAAGTGTTCTTTATAAAAATTCTGGAAATTTCCAAAAATAAAACTTAATAAATAATAAATAACTTTTGTCAATAAAACAAAATGAAATTTATTAAATAATAGTAAAGAATAAAAAGTAAAAAGTATCCATGATTATACTAGAAAAAAACACTGCTTATAGCTTTTCTCTATATATAATCCCTGATTTTTAAAAAATTCCACACCTGATGATTCCACTATACAAAATTTTTGCAGAGCTGCTTCTGATATTGTTCCTGTTCACTCTTGCACATGGTGCCCTATTTCCTTGTGTGCTTAGTTATTTTTTACTATGTACTATTCACTGTCACTGAAAAACTATTTATGGGAATGGATGGCAATCTCTTTCCCAAAAAAGGATTTACATCTGCTTTTAGCCAGGCACTTAGGAAATATTACCAGTCTAGGATTATGTTCATTTAAATTCATGGCCTAAAGATTTTGAGACCATCCAGATGAAATTAATTTGGGCCACAAATCCATGTGAGGATCAATTGGTAGTTATAACTTTTCAGGAACCAGAAATAGCCCCTCCTCACCCCCACCCCCCTTCTCAAGCCCTTTGGGGTTTCAAGTTTGGGGAAGGATCACTTAATAAATTTACCACTTTGGGTGAGCCTAGAGCTTTGAATTTACAACTCTTTCTCTCAAGGGGCAGTCAAAACCAAAGATCGAAACTCAAGATTGTGGGATCAAGGCAGAAGTGGCTGCAGCATCCCACTTATTTCTCTGGATTTCCCCTCACCCCCCAGTTTTACTTAGATTTTTGGCCTGCTAACTCACTACTGCCTTGTCAGCTCTTTGATGCTTTAAGATGTTTTCATATTATTCCAGCATTTGTAGTCATTTTCAGTGAGAACATTGCTTAAATAAACCAGCTTGCCATATTCTCAGAAACACACTTCTATATCTTCCTAAAGGCAGCCACTTGAGAAGAAGCGTTGGGTAACTCAAAGATTTTTTTTCCTCTGGAAAAAGGGAAATTGAACAGTACCTTCAAAGTTCAAAGCTCCCCAAAGCCAAAACAGGCAAACAAAAGTGGCTTGCTTATTTCACAAGACTTCATAAAATTGCCTTCCCATTCTAGCACAGCAGTCTTGCTCCATTTACTAGAGCCGCATCCAAATCTGAGTTCTGTTTATTTCCAGTTTAGAAGAACTCCTTACCTTTGGTGCCCATACCACTCACTTATCCAAATACTTATCCAAGCAAATTTACTTACTCTTTGTGTTCTAGCCGAATGATGTCTCCATGTCTTACAAACTCTACTGGGAATGAAGGGTCCAGGGGATCTGCTAAGAAGAAACAAGCATTGATATCTGAAATCATTCACTCATTAGGCTAGTATGAATCGAGGGTCTACAGGTAAAGAGTTACAGTATAATACGGTAGGTGCTAGAGGTACAGACAGAGTGCTGGGAGGACAAAGAGAAAGGGCCCCTCACTGTCTCAAGGAAGGGTGTCTCAGAGATATGCTTGAAAAGACCCTACAAAGAGGGGAGAATTTTGTCAGGTCAACAAGTGGGGCCAGATGTATGAAAGAACAAAACGCATTTGACCGATAGCAAATGGTTTCATATGAGAGGGTAGGGTGTGGTGGGGAGGGGAACGGGAAAGACTGTGGGAATAGATGAGTGTGTGAACAAGTAGGGCCAGACGGTGCATGCCAGGCTAGGAAAGGTGGTCTTTATCTGACAGGCCCCGAAGGCTCCACAGAAGGGTTTTTAAGCTGGGAAGTCAAATAATAAGATTTTCCTTTCTAGTAAAAACATAGTCTTCCAAAAACTAATGCCATGTAAATGACCATATGCGCTCTCCTCAGAGTCCAGTGTTAAACCCTCAAGTTTTGTCAGTCATTATCTTGTCTCTGGCAACACACATGCTAAGTGTGAGGCGAAGAAAATGATGACGTGACAAAAGAAAGGGACCACATCATCTGGAAACCAAGTCAGATCAGGTCTAGCAAGGCAATGACAATGGAAAAGGAGCTGGCAGTAATCAGCAACACAAAAAGATCCTAGCAAACTTCTTCCCATTGAGACATTAACACTCAAGGTCAGGAAAGAGAAATGTGCCAGAACAAATCACTAGTTTTTAAGAGAATTAGAGAACTCAAGTGTAGACATGCCCATTCCTATGTGGACCTTAAGGTCTCTGAAAAAGATTAATCAGCGAAGGTGACAAATCAAGTAAGTCGATGGGAGGGAAGTTTCATTTTACATGGATGTGACGGGGAGGGGCGTTTTTAGCCATCAAGAACACAAAGACCTAAATAAATAAAATCACAAATGAGAGAGGAGAAGTAACAACCAACACCACAGAAATATAATCAATCATAAGAGAATATTATGAAAAACTATATGCCAACAAATTGGACAACCTAGAAGAAATGGATAAATTCCTAGAAACATACAAACAAAGACCTTAGTCTGTATGGCTCCCACTTCCCAAAGTGTTTATAGCTCTCCGTCTTCACACAGAGCCTTAGTTCCTTGGGTGAAATGCAACCACCTTAACCTAGAAGCCACATCGAATAACAGATCAGAGATGTTCAAAGATTTGGTCCATGCCCACATAACCTTAGAAGTAAAGCAGTGTTAGGACACCTAGGTGGCTCAGTCAGTTAAGCATCTGCCTTCGGCTCAGGTCATGATCCCAGGGTCCTGGGATCGAGTCCTGCATCGGGCTCCCTGCTCAGCAGGGAGACTGCTTCTCCCTCCGCCTGCTCTGCCTGCCGCTCTCCCTGCTTGTGCTCTCTCTCTCTGACAAATAAATAAAATCTTTAAAAAAAATTTTTTTTAATTAAAAAAAAAAGAAGTAAAGCAGTCTTGCCTCATAACCCCTCATTGTGATGGGCCACTTATGTTTGTCCTATTGGATGTAAACAATCAATACCGGTATTATAAAGGTATTGAAACAGACTCTGACAAATGGTGTCCTAACGTATATTACTGAGGCAAAGACAGTGGTTGCATACACCACATTTCTAGTCTCAAGACCGCAGCAAGAAGAGGTGGGGAAAGGAACAAAGAAGGTGGATTTAGGTGAGCAGCCACCCACTGCCACACAAAAGCTCGGGAGCAGCTGACTCAAGAAAGGCGGAGAGCCAGGTGGGGTTTACTGAGGAGTCCCAGAGAATGCCTGTGACATAGGACAGTCAGCAGGGGCTCAGAGGTGAGCGGAAGATGCCCTCTGTTCTCTTCTCAGCTAGAGCAGAAGGCACGGCCTGCAAGTAGCCAGCTCCCTGACCAAAGAAAGACCTGGATAGAACCCATGTCATAAAGCCGCGAGAGCCCACCAGGTGTAGAGCAGCTTTGCCCAGGCCAACCAGGGCGCTGGCCAGCAGCTGTTGAGCGAGGGCCCAAGCACCAGGCCAGAAAAGCCCAGCTACAAGCTCTGAGATCTACAACTGACTGGTGCAGTCCAGGGGTGACCAGTGGGCAGCAATACTCTGTCACAGCAAGACAACTTGAGCTTCACCATATGCTGGGGTCTGAAAGGCTTAGTGTGCTCTCCTTAGAAACGAGAGTAGTCACCGTTTGCCCTCAGCTGGGGCCACTCAGCCAGCCCCTGGCAGCATGTCCAGGTAACCAGTCTGAATTAAGTCTGAGCCCTGGCCGGGCCCTCTGGCTTCAACATGACAGCTATTAGGAGTGAGATCTTATCTGTCTTGCTCACTGCTTACCTCCTGTGTTGACAACAGTGCTTGGAACATGGTAGGTGCTCAATAAATAGCTGTTGAAAGACTAACTGAGACCAGTAAAGGTATTGCCAAACCATGCTCAGGAATGCCCATCTCTGTACCATTTGAAGGCATGAGGAATGTTAAAAATGGCTCAGAGTAAGCCATAATGCAAGAAACATCAGTTCCCTACCACATTACCTGCGTTTGTGTTATGTTTCTTGATAATCCACAGGTTGTTGTAGTCCTTGTGCAGATAGGTGGTGACCTGGGTGGGGGAGGAGTTGGGAGGGAGAATACCATCAATATCAGCATAGCCACAGGACAATCCACAGCAAACCAACATTGCTTAAGCCTCTTTCAGAATCCTCAGCCACCAACCCGAGGGGCCACGCTGCCAAGGGGGGTTCAGAAGTAGCACTGGTGAGATTCTCTCCTTCCATCTGCATTTAGAGGTTTCTCCCACAAGAGCCTTTTTGATTGGTCTCAATATCTTTCTGCATCTTTTTTTTTTTTTTAAGATTTTATTTATTTATTTGACAGAGAGAGACACAGCAATAGAGGGAACACAAACAGGGGGAGTGGGAGAGGGAGAAGCAAGCTTCCCGCCCAGCACAAAGCCCGATGCGGGGCTCGATGCAGGGCTCGATCCCAGGACCCTGGGATCATGACCCAAGCCTAAGGCAGACGCTTAACGACTGAGCCACCCAGGTGCCCCTCTTTCTGCATCTTCTCTTTAAAGTTTCAGCCTCCTAGAGGAGGAACCATGATACCTTGCGCAACATAGTCTCCAGCACACAAAGAGGATTTAGTGCATTTTAAAAAATTTTTATATATTGGGGCGCCTGGGTGGCTCAGTCTTTAAGCGTCTGCCTTCGGCTTGGGTCATGATCCCAGGGTCCTGGGATCGAGCCCCGCATTGGGCTCCCTGCTCAGCAGGAAGCCTGCTTCTCCCTCTCTCACTCCCCCTACTTGTGTTCCCTCTCTCACTCTCTCTCTGTCAAATGAATAAATAAAATCTTTAAAAAAATTTTTTTTAATTAATTAATTTATTTATTTAAGAGAGAGACAGAGAGCGCGAGCTGGGGGAGGGGCACAGGGAGAAGGAGAGAGAGGATGAATCCCAAGTAGGCTTTACGCTCAGTTGTGGAGCCTGATGTGGGGCTCGATCTCAGAAACCTGAGATCATGACCTGAGCCGAAACCAAGAATCAGACTCTTAACCAACTGAGCCACCAGGCACCCCGATTTAGTGTATTTTACAAAGTAATTAAGACCATGCCTCAAATTTTCTAAGTGAAAAATTCATGCCTTATTCTCTAGAATGTGGCCAAATGAAATTAAATAGCTCCATAAATATCTCGTCCTAGAAACTTGAGGTTTTAGCCCATAGCCATTTCATAGACACTGATTTTTAAAAAATTAAATGTGTGTGTGTGTATGCATGTGAACATGCATGTCATGCTGTGATGAATCTAATAGCAAAAATTTAGAAACAGAATAAACGTCCAATAATAAAGGAACAGCTCACATGATGATATGTCCACAGGACAGAATATTACACAGCCACAGAAAATGTTTCTGAGCATTTTTTACCAGCATAGGAAAAGGCTTATAAAATGCTGATGCTGAAAATGGCTGCCATTTATCACCAGGTACTGTTCTAAGCACTGGGGAAGACTTCTCTCTCTGCTGTAGGTACTATGGTTGTCCCCACCTTACTTACAAGGAAACTAAGGTTGAGTAATTTGCTCAAAGTCACCACAGCCTATCAGTGGAGAGACAGGATTCAAACCAAGGCAGCTAACTCCAATGCTCCCAGGATAGAGACTATACACATACAATTATGCCAATTATATAAACAAGAACACAAATACCCGGAAACAATAAAAATACATACAAAGTGAGTTTTTATGACTCCAATTGGACAAAACATGACTGATTTACTTGCAAAGAGATTTGGAATCAACATTTAGGGAAAAAATTATGTATGTATTATGGCTCCTTTGTTTCAGTGGCTTTTACTTTCTCAGAAAAAAATCAGGAATGATGGTATTAAGAATATACAAGGAACTGGGACACCTGGGTGGCTCAGTCGGTTAAGTGTCAAACTCTTGATCTCTGCTCAGGTCTCAATCTCAGGGTCATGAGTTCAAGCCCCACACTGGAGCCCAGCTCCAAGCCCAGCTTTTTTGCCAAGTAAAAATACTGGTCATTTTGCCAGAAGAGAAACATCACTCCAAGCCTCTCAGCACAATAGCCTGCCCTGCAGCCTGCACGCCTCCCCTCTCCTCTCCTCCCTGGCACAGCAGCTGAGACCTGGGGCCTCACCACTCCTCAGAAGCAATCCCTTTTAGCGACGAGGCCCCCTTTACTGTCGTTTAAAGGCCTCTTTCTTAAAGGCCCCCACCTTTTCTGAGGCTTTTGCAGCACCTGAACTGCTGAGCACCATCCTCCTGGGGATGCTGTCTGCCCTGTGCTCTCCTCCCACCTCCCTGTTCATGCCCTCCTTCTCAGCCTCTTCTACCAGTGCCCCTGGGAGCATCTTCGCCACTGCCTAAGTGCTGCTGCCCCCCAGGGCTCCTTCACTGGCTCTCCTCCCTCTGCACACCCTTCCTGGGCAATGCCACCCATCCCACTGTGTCATTGACACCCATATGCTACACACTCAGATCTCCTTCCTGATACAAGCCCCAAATCTACAATACACAAAGGAAACTCTCTCATCTCCAGAGCTACTCTTCCTCCTGCATTTCTGACTATGGTGGAATAGCATTATCACACATACACCTCGATCTCCAACCTACAGACCTAGATATAGCTAGGCCCTGACAGCCACCAGTGATGGGGCCCTGACACTGACCTGTGAAGTGTTTCCTGAATCAATTCCCACCCTATTCATGGTCTTTGCCTCTATTCACCATCCTCTGTCATGATTATTGCCTCCCAACTCATTTCTTGACTCCAATCTGCCCCTCCTTTCAATCTATCACTATTTCTTTCTAACCTAAAAATCTAATCACATCTTATCATGCCTTCATAAATCTCAACGCCTCACCAATGCCCATAGAACAAAGTCAAATCTACTGTAACATGGAAGGCCTCTGCACAGCCTGGCCTCCCCAACCTCTCCAACCTCTCCAACATCCTGCTTCTCCCTCTCAGGCATTGTCCGCCACAGCCACACCCGACACTCGTGGACACGGACACAGACACAGTGTCGCTCACTCATTCAGGGAATACTCATGGCTAATCCCCCAGGGTGCACGTCACATGTATCGCTTCATACTTTTAATCTGCAACTACCCTATGGTGGAGAAGGGCACTATTTATTTTCCCTAATTTAAAGATGAAGATACTGAAGCAGAGAAAGGTCAAGTAACTTGTTCAAAGTCATACTCTGGTGGAACCAGGATTCAGACCCAGATAACACAGTCTGGTTTCCAGGTCTGTGTTTACAGCCACAACACTTGACCATCATCCATGTCAAGCCAAGCACTGTGCCGGGCACTTGAGCCTTCCAAGAGCTAGCAATCAAGTAGCAAAGAGACAGGAGGAAGGAAGCACTCACAATTCAATGTGAAAAGGGTAACTGCAGAGGCTTACAAATCGTGCCAGGCAAGCCCCTCATGAGAGAGGCACGTACCCGGTATTGAGTAGAGGTGGGTCACGGTAATCAGAGGGAACACTTGCACTGAAGCCTAAAGAAGCTGGAGTCACCCAGAGGAAAGAGAAGCAGGGTGCAGGAGTAAGACCGTTTCAAGCAGGGAGGACAGCGCAGGTAAAGGGCGGGAGCAAGAAAGAGAAGCGTGGGTTCCGGCCCGGCCGACAGCTTGGTGTTGCCGCAGTACAGAAAGTACAAGAAGCTCGCTGACCTGCTGCTGGCGGGCGCCGACGCCCTCGGGGTAGAGGTGCCTGTGGGAGTGGAGATAGCCGATGGCCATCCGCAGGTTCTTCACGGTGATCACGGAGCCATAGGCCAGATCTGGGAGGAAGGAACGGTGGAGGGTGTGAGTTGGCCCGTGACTAGGAGGGGCCTCTGAAGCCACAGGACTCACTAAGCCTCTAACAGATGGCACTGGGCCCAGCACCGCCTAAAGCGAGACGCACAGGTACCTTCTCACTCCCACGGCGTCAGCTCAAGTGGGAGTTCACTACAGGGTCTCACTGGTGCCCTCACCTCCCTTCCCTCCTCAGGACTTCAGAAGAAGCACTGGTATTAACAGTGGCATTATCAAAGCACTATTTGTAATAGCAAAAGATTAGAAACTGCCCATCCTTCAAAGTCTATACATACATTAAACACAATAAAGAAAGAAAGAAGCATTTCATGTCTTACCTAGAATATTCTTTTTTTTTTTTTGCATATAAAGTGCTTTAATTGGAACAGAACACTGCATCTTTCCAACAAATTTGTAAGGCAGAAACCAGATTACAGGTGAGGATACTGAGGCCCAGAGGTCCCTTAGAGTCTTGTCAGTGAAGGCCGCTGCTAAGTGGCAGTTGATCTCAGCTCCAGAGACCAACCTGCTAAGCCCTGGCCTCTGTGGGCTGTCATTGGCTTCTGGGCCAGCCTCTGCTTCTGCAAGTCAGAGCTTTCTTCACCTTAGAATATTCTTCAAGATAGATATAATGTTATGATAGACTGTTAAGATAATTTACATTTTTGTGAAATCCTTTTGAGCCTTTTGAATCTAATACTATATAAAGTAGTTGTTCAGTGGTGGTTGGGTTTGTTTAATTCTGAATTTAAAAAAAAAGAGTAAACCGTTTACCCAAGAACATCCCCTCTGCCTGCAGGCCCTGGGTAACTGAGAAGCCTCTTTCTTCCTTACTGTCCTTCTTCTCAGTCCCCTGTAATCTGGCTGCCCTGCCATTCTCGAGTCCACTGAAACCTGTCTCGCTCCATCATGGATAGGCTACTCCGGTCTTCCTTTGTTTGTTCATTTGGTCAACAGATCGTACCAATTACACAGTGGATCCAAAGCTGGAGGGGGCCTGGCTGTGGCCCTGGGAGAGCCCAGTCTTAAGGAAGATGGCTGCACACACCGATGAGCACAGGACAGTGGGCAAATGCACCAGCAAAGGTGTGACAACGTGTGACATGGTGGGAGCCCAGTGCAGAGTAGGATGAATTCTCATGCAAAGAGTAAGAAGAGGCTGGCTTGACGGAAGAGATCACAGTGAGCTAGGCCTTTTAAATAACAAGTAGGCATTTGCAAAACCCCACAGCTCCTCTTCTATGTTCTCACGCAGGCCAACATATGCAGCCCCTCACACTGCTGACCACCTTTGCTTCTGGAAATGCTTTGTTCCCCCTTCTCAACCCACACTCCCTCATGGACTGTCCTCTGCAGCCTCCTTCCCTAACCCCCTCCCTCCTGCACTCCCAAGTGACCTGACTTCAGCCAGCCCAGTTCTCATTCTCTCTCTCCAGGTTCCTTACAGGTCACAGCCACCGCCATGGTACCGCTTCCCCCTTTAGCTGGCTGACTGATTCGTCCTCTGAAAACATCAGCTGCCCCGTTGCATGGATTTCCCCAAGCATCTCAAAGTCAACCTCTCTACAGTGGAACCAGTATCTGCCTTTCTAAACCAACTTTTTAACCTGCTTTCCTATTTCTCATTCTATGCACAGTCTTGGCGGGCCCCCTGTGTCCTACACACTGTGCAAGGCACTGGAGAGACTAGAAGGCATCATTGTGCCTCCCAGAAACAATTACCTGGGCTCAAGTCCTCAGTGACATCTTTCCTCTTCTCCTTCCATGTCTAATCTCGCTTGTCCCTGCCCATCTGCACCACCCCTGTGGCTGCTACCATGATGCCCAGCTCAAGTACCCGGAAGAGCTTTCCAGAGGGGAGCCCCTGCCTCCAGTCCCACCCCCTCCCTAGCCGTCTTGCGCTTTGCCATCAGTGTCGCCTCCCTACGGCCCCAGCCTTCCTGTCCTCCTTCCTGCTCAGAGGCCTCCGCTGGGTCTCCACTGCCTGTTTAATGAAGTCAAACACCTCACCCAAACATTTCAAACCCTCATAATCTGGGCCCAACCTATCCTTTCAGCCTTATCTTCTAGTACTTTTCTGGGGATAATTTGTACCTTACATTGTGCCCTGTTCTTGGCCTTGATCTTGCTGTCCCCTCTGCCCTATATGCCCTCTCCTCCCTCTCCATCTGTTCGAATCTACCCATTCTTCCAGGGCTAGACTCCACGGCATCTCACTCTGTGTACCTCTGATGCCCTCCAACTCCCTAGCAGAAGTGATCTCCTGCACCCTTTGATTCCAGAGCTCTGTGTTTCCTCTTTATAACACTTAACACACACGGTCACCAGATCCTCTACTCTGGAAGGGATCCACTTACAGTCTTCAATATGGCTAACATGCGCTCCATTATGATCTGTGAATAAGGACGGGATGTGAGTCACAGAATATGATGGTGGAAACTGACCATTAGCACCAGAGGGCCTTGTCCTTTCACCAGATTTCCTCTGGTTGCCTTCCCATGGAGCTGACTTAGATGCTTCCGCAGCACAAGGGAGAAGTTATTCTTTACAGTCAAAGAGACTGCTACTCAGGGCTGCACGTCCTGTGTCCCAAGTCACTCTTTTGAGGGCTCATACCAGGTCTAACTGGATGTTTCTCCCAGTTTGCCATCTACAGGCTATCATACTTTTCTTTTCCAATTCACCCACCCAGACAGGCTTCTGCCCTTCTACCTTCATAAAGGCCAGGAGATACTCACGTTCGGGGATGGAAGCATTGTGAAGGTTGTTGCCTGAAAGCCGGGCCTGGAAGGCAGAACTGAAGAAGCCATCGCCAGGACCACTGTGGGGAAAGGAGCAGAAGACAGACAAGGTACTGGAGAGAAACTCTAATTTCCTGGGAACTCTAGGAAGAGCCTTGTGCAACTAGTTTAAAAGAAGACAACCAGAGGGGCAGTGTGGTATCATGGGACAGACACAGGTGATGGAGTTGGAGAAACAGGGGTCCAAATCTCAACTCGGCCACTTACTAGCTAGGTGGTGACCTTCAGAAGTACCTAACTTTGCTTAGCCTCAGTTCTCATTTATAAATTGGGGATTTAAAAAAAATCAAAAGAACTCAAAAACAATCATGATGAAAACGAGATAATATGTACAAAATGCTGACACTTGGTCGCTACTCGTTAAATGTGAGCCTCGGCTAGTGTTGCTGCGATTGTCACCCTCCTCCAACTGCACACCTTATTCTGCCCATCCCTGTGAAGCACAGGGACTCTGCTTAGGGATAAGGGGCAGTTTGGCTATTAGGAAGTTCTCCTCTTCCTTCAGGCCAGGGTGCTGGCTTTTCTGAGCTCTTTGGATATCCAAAAGACAACACAGGAGGAAATGAACAGATAAAACCCACCAGGTCCCTCGAACATCCCAACCACAGACCCAGGAAATCACACACCCCACCTACAGGCTGAGAGGCAAGAGGAAGATGGGAAGCAAGAGGCTGGAAAGGCTCTGCTGTACCTTTTGTTCAACACCATGAAGTGAACAGCATAAGTGGCCATGTAAAGAGTCAGCGGCAACACTATGAGGCACAGGATGCGAGCGGTCAGGTGTTTCCCCACAGTCACCTGCAAACAGAGCCAGTTCGGGGTGCTGGGCATATGGGGCTTTATTCTACCTTATACCTTCTATGCGCGTTACATGTAACTTTTTATGCATAAGTCAAAATCACAAAAAATTGAAAAACTAAGAGCCAACAAGAAAAAATACATGGAAACCCTAGCCTTTCCATGACACCCCACCACCCCAGCGCTGCAGGGTGGTGAACATGGGCCAGCCCTCTGCTGCCTGTGCAGGTCCTCACCCAGGACCCCAGACCATCCCTGCATCTTCAGCCTCATCACTCATCAGTCCCTTCTATATTCCAGTCACACTGAGCTCCGCGCATGGTCCCCACGCTTCCTGTACTGTGTGCCAGCCCCATCCGTCACACGCATAAGTGTTCCTGATCTGCATCTCAGGCCTCGGCTCCACGCCCCCCCCGAAACCTTCCTGGACCACTTGACCTGGGCTCGTGCCCTCCACTGTGCCCTCACAGCACTTTTTGGCTGGACTGTAATCACCTGTTTACTTATTTCTCTCTCTCCACTGTCTCTGGAGGGCAGGAATCCTTGTTTTTTTCATCTGCATATTCCATGTTTCAGACTGAAAGGGTAGTCTGTCTATATTTTCTGAGCGAATAAATGAACTTATCGAGACTTTGGTTCAGAGGTGATGGTGAAGCCTTGTGGCAAAGTAGTTCAGGTCTGGAGTCAGCCTCCTCTAAGTCTGAATCCTACATCTACCTTTTACTTGTATGGTCTGGGACACATTATTACCTCTCTGGGTCTGGACTTCCGCATTTGTAAAGAGAAGGTAATTAACTACCTACCTCACAGGACTGTTAGGAGAGGTAAATGAGCCAGTGAAGGTGAAGCACTTTGCAAAGTGCCTAGCACAGAATCAGCTCTTAGTAAATAACACTTTAATAAACTCTAAAGGCCTTTCCTGGCCTCCAAATCTGGAGACCCTGGGTCAGAGAAGGAAAATGGTGAGTTCAGAAAGTCACCCTACCCATTTTACTGAAGATCCCATGCAGCTAGTGTCGGCCATATATTTGGCATTGAGCCCAGCTGGACAGACTACGTGACTGGGTAGTTTGTAGAACATTTAAAAAACATCGCAGAAACAAATGCCAAAAGAAAATGCCAAGGATGTTAGTTCATCCTCTCCCTTTAAACCTCTCTAGCCTCCAAGCATGGCCTCCTTCCTGTTGTCATGCTGCCTACAGACAGGGGCCGGAGCCAGCCCACCTCAGGCCAGAATACAGCCACGCCACCACCTGCCGCAGAGGCGGAGAAAGGCCACTGGCTCTGCTGAGCAATACCAAGGAGCAAAGACATTTCTACAAGCACTTGGGTTCTCACCACTGAAAGACTGAGGTCTCCAAACAGGTGCCAAAGGTCTGAAATGGTGTTCCACCCCACTTGCAGGATGATAAAGAGGCCAACAAACTTGACCCCTAAAGCACCAGCCAGATTAATGCCAGTCAGGCTGAGCCAGAACCACCAGGGGGCAGAGAAGGGCCTGAAAACCAACAAGACACAGAGTTCAGTTTGGCAGTGGAACCAAACTCAAAAACGAGAGCAGCAGTGGGGAAGGGCAGAGGTTCTGTGACCCTGAGAGGCCATGGCCTGCCCTCTTTCTTGAGGGCTCCTAACCTCAGGAGACCATGGCGTGGCTCCAGGGAGCATGTGGTTATGGAACTCCCAAAACCGCAGGAAGCAGCGTGAGAGTGAGTAGGACATTTTTCTGGGAGAGGGGCCATAGCTTTCCTGGCTAAGTACAGGGCTCAAATTAAGCAAGAGGCTTACTGTTCAGGTGGAAGGAAAAGGCAAATCCAGAGCAGCCTACCGGATTAAGTCAGCCCTCTCTCTCCTGGGGGTCGCCTGTGGCCCTTGGGAAGCCGGCAATTATTGAGTGCTTACTATGTGTCAGGCGCTGTTCCGAGCACTTGATTTGTATAAACGCTTTAACCTTCACTACAACTCCACAGAGGTAGGTCCTACTATTATCCCCTTCTCCCACAGGAGGAAATCGAGGTACAGAGAGGGCAAGCAGTACAGCTAGCATGCGGGAGAGCATAGTCCTAACCCTGGCAGTCGGTTCCGAGGTTTGCTCCCCTTACAGCACCCAGTGCTCAGTGCTGCAATTTCCCCATTAGCTGGCTGCCTCCTCTGGAGGAGTGAAGGCCCCTGAACTGCGAGACTTACGTACCTCCATGCCTCCGGCTCCTAGCACAGGACCTGGCACATAGTATGTATTCAAGAAATGGCAGGTGGAGGTGGGCGTGGTAGGGGGAGCTGACCACCCAAAGTCAGGGAGAGATGGTAGTCACTGGATCCGGCTTTATTGGCATAATGTAATTTAATGAGCCTGGCCATGGTGAAACCAAGCTGACTCCTAGAAAAGCCTAGGCAGAGCCAGCTCTTTTGGTTTGAATAGAATGAATGACCTACTCTACTCTCTCAGAGGCAAAAGGAGGATCTGCAAAAGACCATTCTGGAAGAAGACCAGGCCCTCCAGAACAGCTTTAGAACTGACCCGGGCCTGCAGAGATCCTCTTGACTGGCATGGACTGCTTAAGCCAACCTTTTATATAAATTATTCCCGTCAATAGGTCAGGAGTGGATGCAACCACTGAGGGCAGGGAGACAAATAGCTCCCAGGCAGTTTCTGTCCTGGTTCCCTCCCCTCTAGGACAGAGAATGTGAAGGATAAAGTTATCCTGGGATCCCTAACCAGCGCTGGTGCCAAGGGGTAGCTTAGAAGATGGTGGGCTGGGAAGGCATGAGGACTCTTCCATAATATCCACAAACCCCTACCCAAATCCACCCATTAGAATATTCTTTAAAAAGATCATTGATATTTTTTTAGTCTTACGCAAAACAAAAAAAAGTATGTCTAGAAAACATATTAAAATCTATTTTTATGATCTAAAATGGACAATCTAAGTTTAAAAAAAAAAGTATGCTTGCCTTAAGTGCAGCTTCCAAACAAGTCCTATAGGCACCCACCCTGTCCCTGGCTACAGAAATTCCAGAGTTGCCATAGCTTCTGACCCCCAACGCCCAGCCCGCAGAGATGGTGTTTCTGACCTGTCAGCACAGGAGTTGTACTTGACCATGCTCAGCATGGCAGCCATGATGAAGAACATCAAGATGGGGTCAAGGAGGATATACTGGGACAGAGTAAGGCATCCTGTATCTGAAAAACATGAGTTCAGCAGTCAAAAAGGGAATCAGAGATGGGCCCGCTGAGAACCAAACACCCCAACAATAAGAAATAGTGCCCCTTATACTCAATTGCATGTAAGCATTTATACAGTCAAGACCAGATGAGCCACTGAGTCATCAGGGAGGTGGAAGGCCATAGCTTTGGGGTACATCAAAGCTCAGGGATAGGAAACTATATCTCACACTCCTTTCAGGCCAGTGACCCAAGGAACAACCATATCATTCAATCAGATAGAGCAGTCCTGAGACGAGGGCTCTTCCTCATTTCCACCACCAAAATGGGAGTTCTGCCACCTGCTTATATAGCCAGACTACCCATACCTAGGATAGAGTCTTAGCATTTTACGTGAAGTCTCTGTTGGAAGCGGATTCTCCGCAAAGGCACCCAAGTGATTGTTCTTCAAACAAAATTTGATTACATCAAGCCACTGCTTGTGAAGCTTCCAATGTCTTGCCATCTCACTCAGACTAACCAAGTCCTAATGACGACTGCCAAAGCCGGCATGGTGTCCCTCCCCAAACAACCTCCTCCACCAACACCCTCTGCCTCACTCACTCCACTCTGGCGACACTTGGCCTCCTTGCTGTTCCCTGAATCCACCAAATGCCGCCTTGCACCAGGACCACTGCAGATGCTGTTCCCTCTGCCTGAACACGCTTCACTCAGATCTCTGCATGGCTTAATCTTCTGCTTCACTCAGGCCACCCTACCCACAAGAGAATCCCTCCCCGTTACTCTCTCCCTTACTCTACTCTATTTTCTACATTGCACTATGGCTTATGTTGTTACATTTCAGACTTACAATCTACTTGCTTATTTATCATCCGCCGTACTAGCATATAAGCTCCATGACAGCACAGTGTCTCATCAGCATATCCTCTGAGGCCCAGAAAAGTGGCCTGGCACAGAGGAGATGCTTGAAAAACAGTTGTGGAATAAAAAAAAGAATAAATGAAGAGGATTAATAACTGAAAAGGGAAATTAAAGACACAAGGAAAAAGCCACCAATCGTCTACAGAGAGGCCCTATAATCTTGCAACATATTTGTCAAAACAAAGCCAGAATTACACCTGAAATACCCACCTAACTTGGCCTGGACTTCTTTAAATGTTAAGTTCTATGAGGTCATGAATTCACTTTAATAAAAATCAGAATAGCACAGAATCAAATTCTACAGATCAACTCTCATTTATCCAGCGGGGAATTACCCACAGAAAATAAAGTTCCCATTTTGCTATTTCCTGCCACCCAGCTACTTCTGAGACATCTGCCCTTCCATTCAGCTGAAATCAGTTTAAGGAGTGCAAACTTATAGTAACCTGAGAGACCTTGATAGTAGCCTGAGAGAAGCAGAATTAGAATCACAAGCCTCCTTCAAATATACACATGCACACACACAAATTTATCTTCTTATTCACACCAAACTCAAATGTGGATAACCTGGAGATAATCTATTCTTTGGGATTATATACGTGAGCACTACCCTCTAATAATATAAAGGTTTGCTACACACAACTATTTTTATATGTAATATCACTGGTGAAGAAAATAAGATTTGTAATACATTTACCCAATCCTAAAGTTACTTAACCACTGGGCCCATGGATAGGATCCTTAAATGTATTGATTTCCAACTACACTCATAATGTAGCAATTTCCTAAGAAACATGGGTATAAGACAACTTACCAAAAGTGAGGAGGGCAGCGGTGAGCAGTGCTGCGGGGAGGGACTTGGACAGCTCCAATACAGTGAGGTAGGCAAAGGGAACCAGCAAGGAACCGAGGAAAGCACAGAACTATGGAAGGAAAAGAGAAGCAGTCAAACAGCCAGCTAAGCTAAGCATCAGAGACCTACTTGACTTGGCACAAACTAATGTTTAAAATGGAGGACCCTTGGTGCAGGCATGACTTGGTGACCTGAAATCACCTAGAATATCTATAAACAAGAAAGGGATGGTGTGACAGTGAATCATCAAATCAAGCAACATATATGTGCCCATTGAGCATCACCTCGAACACGGACACGAAATCAGCAAAATTCAGTCAAGGAGGTGTGTGCAGGATGGCAGATGGTTTCAGGTAGGGGACTCTGAGGTTGGACTGCCCCATCAACTGCTAGCTGTGACTAAAACAGTACATCTCTGAATCTCAGCCTCCCCGTCTGTGTCATATGAAAAATTAGAGTTCCTGCCTCAGAGAGTTTTCTCTGGAGATTAAATGGGCTAGTTTTATTAGCACACACAGAGTACTCAATAAACATTAGCTTCTACTACAAAACTGTGGGTACAAGTAGAGAAAGACCTCTCTATGGTGTTTTAATATTCTAGAGAATTCTATTATTATTTCTGTTATTTCTCCCTTGGCTCTTTCCTTCAATCACAGCAGAAATCACTCTTTAATCTACAGGTTGCATTTTAATTCTGGAAAAAAAAAATTATCTGACTCTTCAGTATCTGGAGAGTTGTTTTTTGTTTTGTTTTGTTTGGAACCACCAGCTCTCTCTCTACCTCCCTACCCTGTCCATCACAAGTAAATAGACAAGCCCAGGGAAATGGAAATTCTCACATTTGGGTTGTCACTTTTTGTCAATTGAAAGCAATGTGTCCTCAATGGACTCTGAGAAACAAACTGAGGGTTCTAGAGGGGAGGGGGTTGGGGGGATGGGTTAGCCTGGTGATGGGTATTAAAGAGGGCACGTTCTGCATGGAGCACTGGGTGTTATATGCAAACAATGAATCATGGAACACTACATCAAAAACTAATGATGTAATGTATGGTGATTAACATAACGTAATAATAATAATAAAAAAAGAAAGCAATGTATCCTAGTGTGAAAGAGAACACGGCTGTTATATTTGACCTTGTCGATTTCCACAGCAAGCCCACAGTGAGTCAGGCCTCTATCCAATTACATATGCTATGTGTTGTTCAAAAGTCATTAGGAAGACACAGAACCACTTTAGAATATGAACTCGAGGGTTGGGGTAATCCTTATTTAATACAGTATAATATGACCATGCAAATTACCCAATGATTAGCTCAAATAAGCACACAGCATTTATCTAAAGTGCTTTGAGCCCCTTAAGGAAAGGAGCTTATAAATAAATGCAACCTGCTCTGAGAGCTCCATGTCCAAAGTCAGATTTTGCAGGTTTCATTTAGCTACAGATAAGGGGTCCCCACAGAGTTGGGTACTTAGGCCTGGCGATGCTCTATCAAGGCTGGTGCTGCAACTCGGGGCAAACATATATAGCCTCTTCTACAAGACTGGAAAATCCCTTTTGGGTGCCTGAAACCTTCATGGGGAAAGAAGCAGGGACCTGGTGTCAGGAGTATGGGATGCTGAGATCTTAAGGGCCCTCAGAGGTAGGCAATCCTCCAGCAGTTGTGGCCATGGAGAGGAATGACGTGTGGCCTGCCAATGTGCCGAGGCCAACGTCAGGGGGATGCAGGAGCCTCCTGGCTGCCCGGGTCCTAGGCTGCTCTCCAACCTGAAGTCTGAAGCCTCACGTGGGCTGGGCAATAGGTGACAGTGTGTGCTTGCTCCTACCCATGAGATCTCTGTATTATCTGTGGCCTCCCCTCCCCTTCTTACCTACCGCAGTTCTGAATCTCTACACCTAAATCTCTACTACAGGATGTGGGTCCAATCATCCTCCCCTCCCACTGCCACCCAAAGTCCCTTTGTCTACACCTGCCACCACTCCAGGGCTTCCAATTATAACTTCTGACTGAGTGTAGCCCCAGGGTTCAGTCTAGAGTAAGTCAGGAAGCCTTACTCCTCTCATTCCCATGTAGTTGTGATGTTCATATTTGTCCCCAGGCTTCTGGAACAAAAAAGTCCCGTCATACCCACTCAGGTAGCCAGCAAGACCTATCAGCATCTGAGGAGAGAAGGAGAACAAACAAAAAGATGATGAGAGACCTTTAAGATTCCTCTGTCCCCTAAACTTCCTTCCAGCTGCACCCAGACTTTGGCTTCCCTTGATAACTGTCCATAGGAGTTGCCAATGTGACATTTTCTCCTGCAGCTGTTGCAGAGCAAAGAATCTTTTGTCTACAGAGCTCTTTGCTTGAAACAAATCCTCTCTTGTGTTAACGCCAAGTTCTTGGGAATAGTGCAGACTGAATACTTAGGAAGAAAATATCCCACAATTTGAAGGGCTCTCTCATTCAACCTTCTTTCATTTGCTATGAAATAAAACATGACAGCCCATGGGGGAGGCCATGGGCAGGGGCTGATTCCTGGGAGACTGACCTCTGAAAGGAAGATGAGGTTCCAAGTCAGAATGAGGAGGGGGAAAAATGGCCAAGGAGTTCCACACCAGCAATAGGCAGAAGGGAAGAAGTGGGGGAGGGGGGGAGGATGCTAAGACAGACACATTTCCCCAGAGGAGAAAAGTCCCAGGGGAAAATACACCAAAAGGCCAGAGACCAGTTTCTCCTATTTCCAATATTTCAAAGGAGGGCAGCCTTGGCACATTCCAAACCAGAACAAATCAACTATTACACTAAGACTGAGATTTGTGAATCCTTCAAAACGTTCAAGATCAGCTTCTTCATTTCTATCTTTTCATCTTTCAACAGTGTAAAAGTCTCTTTTCCACACAAGCAATCAGAAGCTGCTAAGCCATAAAAACTGTCAGCAAATACCAAGCATTTTTAACAGCCCCAGGCTGCCCTGCCCAGACTCCTGTGCTCCAGTTAAGTTGTGTGGAGGGACAGAATATACTGGCTGTATTAAGAAAGCCCCTCCCTGCAACACTGCTTGTGGGGCTTGGGTTTGGACCACGAACCAGCTCACTTTTTACTATAAGTAGCTCTAACCAAAGTCACTCTTTATAGTTCCACGTCAAGGAACAGAGGTCAAAATTCAACAGTAAATGATTATAAAGCCTTGTTTAAAAAAAAAAAATCCTAGGGATCAGAAGTTAATGTAACTAATTTAACATAAAGTAAGAGAAGGTATTGAAAAGACAGGGCCATCCAAATACCTAGATTAACAAAAACTGACAGGTGACAAACAAATGCACGCCCCTTCCCACCCGGGATCTCAGAGAACAAATTTGCCTGGTGCTGGTATAAATTCCCAGACTGCTTGGCTGGTCCGGTAGAGTGAAAAAATGCACTGATGGTTTGCATCTCAGCTCTCTGATTGCCGGCAATACTTATTAATGTCTGAGCTACAAGTAATAAAATCTCCCTTGCGGTGGCGGGGGAGGGCTGTGAGGATCAGAGACAGTACAATAGGTTAAACACCTGGCACTATGCCAAGCCCTTACCAGGCACTTGAAATTCAGTTCCCTCTCCGTTCTCTTAAGATTAAAAGTAGCCCTGAGCCCTAATTTTCTAACTAATTGATCAAATCAATAAGAAAAGGAACTTACTAGAATAGGCAAATTCATAGAAAACAAAATAATGACTAATAAACATATGAAAAAATGTTCAATCCAACTCATAAAGACATGCAAATGAAAACAGTGACACACCATTTTTATTCTCAAATTGGCAAAGTTTTGAAAAGTATTATCACACCAGTGCTGCCAATGGTGTGGGGGAAGCAAGAACCCTCATACACTGTCGGTGGGAATATATATTATTACAATATTTTTGCAGAAAAACATAGCAATATCTACCACAAATCTAAATGTGTATATCCTTAGATTCTTTAGTTTGGCTGCTAAGAACCTTTTAGATACACCTGCACAACGATGAAAAGATAAATGTGCAAGGATGTTCATTGCAAAATCTTTTGTAATGGCTGAAAATTGAAATTAACATAAATGTCTACCAATTAAAGATGGGTAAAATAATTTATGGCACATCTGTATAATGGAATAATATATAGCCATTAAAATGCATGGAGCACAACAGTCATAAAAAAGGCTGAGATCATGCCATCTGAGACAGCATGGATGGACCTAGAGGGTATTATGCTAAGCTAGACTGAGAAGGCAAACACCATATGATTCCACTCATAAATGGAATCTTTAAAAAAATGAATAAGCAAACAAAAACAGAATCAGAACGATAAATATTGAGTACAAACTGTAGTCACTAGAGGGAAAGGGGTGGGGGATGGGCAGCATGGGTGAAGGGGAGTAGGAGATACAGGCTTCCATTTATGGAATGAGTAAGTCACGGAAATAGAAAGCACAGCATAAGGACTGCAGTCAGTGACATCGGAGCAGCGATGGAACAGGACAGATGGCAGCTACACTTGCGGCGAGCACAGCATAACATAGAAACTTGCCCAATCACCATGGTGTACACCTGAAACTAATGTAACATCGTGTGTCAACAATACGCAAATTAAAAAAGTAATAAATAAAATAAATTTTTTAAAAATGGAGTACATTTGGAGGCGCCTGGGTGGCTCAGTTGGTTAAGCGGCTGCCTTCGGCTCAGGTCATGATCCTGGAGTCCCGGGATCGAGTCCCACATCGGGCTCCCTGCTCGGCAAGGAGTCTGCTTCTCCCTCTGACCCTCCCCCTCTCATGTGCTCTCTCTCTCTCTTTCTCTCTCTTTCAAATAAATAAATAAAATCTTTAAAAAAAAATGGAGTACATTTTTACGTGCTAATGTGGAAAGAAGTTAAGATATATCATGTTTAAAATATAAGCTGCTGAACAATTTTAGTCTGGTCCTATTTGTATATAAAAGTTGTTCATGTGCATGTCTATAAATATACTCACATATCTGTATAAAGAATTTCTTTTTTTTTTTAAGATTTTATTTATTTATTTGTCAGAGAGAGAGAGAGCACAGAGAAAGAGAAAGAGAGAGAGAGAGAGAGAGAGAGAGAGCACGAGCGGGGGGAGGGGCAGAGGAAGAAGCAGGCTCCGTGCTGAGCAAAGAGCCCCATGTGGTACTCGATCCCAGGACCCTGGGATCACGACCTGAGCCAAAGGCAGATGCTTAACCGACTAGCCACCCAGGCGCCCTGTAGAGAGAATTTTTTTTTTTTTAAGATTTAATTTATTCATTTGACAGAGAGAGAGATAGAGAGCAAGCACGAGTACAAGCAGGCAGAGTGGCCGGCAGATGGAGAAGCAGGCTCCCCGCTGAGCAGGGAGCCTGACACGGGCTCGATCCCAGGACCCTGGGATCATGACCTGAGCCAAAGGCAGACACTTAACCGACTGAGCTACCCAGGCACCCTGTATAAAGAATTTCTCTTCTTTTCCAACCAGGGCCCAGCAGAATGGCTCACACGAAGAAGGGTGGTGAGAAGAAGGGCCGTTCTGCCATCAACAAGGTAGTGACCAGAGAATACACCATCAACACTCACAAGCGCAGCCACGGAGTGGGTGTCAAGAAGTGTGCCCCTCGGGCACTCAGAGAGATCTGGAAATTTGCCACGAAGGAGATGGGAACTCCAGGTGTGCGCATTGACACCAGGCTCAAGAAAGCTGTCTGGGCCAAAGGAATAAGGAATGTTCCATACCATATCCGTGTGCGGTTGTCCAGAAAACGTAACGAGGATGAAGATTCACCAAACAAGCTCTACACACTGGTTACCTATGTACCTGTCACCACCTTCAAAAATCTACAGACAGTTAATGTGGATGAGAACTAATCGCTGATTGTCAAATAAAGGTATAAAACTGAAAAAAAAAAAGAATTTCTAAGAAAACATATATAAGAAACTAATAGAAATGCGGGGAGAGGTAGCTCTTGACCTTTGACTTCCTTCTGTGCTGATCAAAGGAAGCGGGGGGAGGGGCAGAGGAAGGTCATGCCATCTGAGTATTATCCTCGTTTCACTCTGCGCAGGCATTCTATTTCCTCCAGGATTGGGGGCCGGTGTGGAATGACAGCTAGAAGCCTCAGTACTGCAGGAGAAAACTCCCATTCACAACTTCAAGGGGCTTTCTGATTCTTTGACTGGCTTGGCCTTAGAACCTATGAAAGCTACTGTGTTCATCACTCTCTTTCAATCAGGTAAAGCACAGGACCATCAGGAGATAAATTAGGGGGGCAGACGGACCGAACTCCCCAGGGGCAGCCTTAGAAAGAAGCCTCACATTTTTCCCTGCCCAGAGGGACCAGATATGAGCCAGGGGAGGCTTAAGTAAAAAAACATCAGCCAGTGTTCCACATGCATGTCTTCACTGTGCTGAGCACTAGGGGACTCCAAACATAGACAGGCAATCCCCAGCTGAAAGACTGGGCTGGTTTTCCTAGGAAAAAAAAAAATCTCCTCCACCAGGGGTCCTGGTTCCCGGGGTTGGTTAGTGCAAACATTCAACACATTCTATTGCTTATTCCTACGGTGGTTAACAGATATCATCCAAGTCGGGGGGCAAGGCAAGTATCATGAGGCAGTGTGATATAAGGGTTAAGAGAGTAGACGTTAAACCAGCCTGCACCTTGACTCTGCCATTTACTAGCTTTCTTCCCTATGGCAAACTTCTTTTCCTCTCTGTGCCCCAGTTTCCCCACTGGCAAAATGGGGATACAACAGTACCTACTTCACAGGTTATTCTGAGGATTACATAAGATAATATACCAAAAGTGACAAGAACAGACTAAGTTTTCAATTGCTCTGATTTTTATTGCTGTTATCTTATAAAGGAGACCAGAGAGGCATAATATTTTCTACTCCAGCTCTGGGCTCAGAGCTAATTTTGAAATAGGTCACTATCCCACCTCCCTCTGCACCCCTCTCTGGTCCCTATCTAATGCTCTCGTGCCCCCAAGCCCACCTGTCACAGACCACCACCCCTGTCTCCCATCACCTCTGCCTTCATCCCCAACTACTCCATGCTCCAGGATCACACCTCCACTTCCTAACGGACCAATTCTTGTCCCTTTGGTGCCAAAGATCTCAGCCTCCATTAGGAAGATAGGGCTGATCCATTAGCCTTCTCAGAGGTCGTTGTTTTCAGAGAAGTAAAATGAATTCTCACTGTGGGATTTCTAATTGTAAAACATGTGAGAGGTACAGGTCAAAGAATGTACCTGCTGGGAGTGGGAAGGGGGAAAAGGAGTTTTGCTCCCCTATAGACAATCAGCTCCTCTTAGCAATCTCTGCTTTGTGCAACATATTCCTTCTCTCCACTGTTTACTTTTTTGAATTGAGATAAAATTCATATACATAAGATTCACCATTTTAAAGTGTACAATTCAGTGGTTTTTAGTATATTCACAAGGTTGTGCCACCATCACCTCTACCTAATTCCAGAACATTTCATCACCCCAAGACAAATTCCCTACCTATTTGCAATCACTCCCCGATCCTCCTTCCCCACCAGACCCTGGCTACTACTAATCTAGTTTCTGTTTCTATGGATTTGCCTATTCTGGACATTCCATATAAATGGAATCATACACTATTGTGGCCTATTGTGTCTGACATCTTTCACTTTGCATAATGTTTACAAGACTCATCCATGTTGTAGCATGTATCAACACTTCATTCCTTTTTTATGGCTGAATAATATTCCATCATATAGATATACCATATTTTGTATATCCATCCATTGGTTGATGGACTCCCTTTCCATTTCTGGGCCCAGAGAACTCCTCAAAACATCAAAGATTTTCCACATAAGCAGCTGGCCTGGAATGTCAGGGTTTCTTTCCACAAGCCCAAGATTTAAATCCAAAATTGAGACTTTGCTCCAACCCTTTAAAGAGAGCTGTCAGTCACCACATTGCTCACCTTTCCCAGAGGTGGGTGCACATCGAAGAAAAAGGTGCGGTTGATGTAATAGCTTCCCATTTTTCCAAAGTGAGTCTCATCCCAACTAAAGGAAAAACAGAAAGAGAAATGAGAATTTTTAAATTATCATACAGTCTGGGGTGGCTGGGTGGCTCAGTCCATTAAGCGTCTGCCTTCGGCGCACGTCATGATCCCAGGGTCCTGAGATCGAGCCCCACATCGGACTCCCTGCTAGAGTCTGCTTATTCCTCCCCCTCTGCCCTTTGCCCCGCTTGTGCTCTCTCTCTCTCATTGTCTCAAATAAATAAAGTCTTAAAAATATATAAATAATCATACAATCCAAATAGCCATAATAAAGCATGGTTAAAATTACAGTTAAAGCCAAAGACTATGGGGCACCTGGGTGGCTCGGTAGGTTAAGTGTCTGCCTTTAGCTCAGGTCATGATCTCAGAGTCCTGGGATCCAGCGCTGGGTCAGGGTCTGTGCTCAGTGGGGAGTTTGTTTCTCTGTCTCCCTCTGCCCCTCCCCCTGCTTGTGCTCTCTCTCAAATAAACAAATAAAATCATTATTTTATTTATTTATTTATTTATTTTTAAAGATTTTATTTTATTTATTTGACAGAGACACAGCGAAAGAGGGAACACAAGCAGAGGGAGTGGGAGAGGGAGAAACAGGCTTCCCACAGAGCAGGGAGCCCAATGCGGGGCTCGATCCCAGGACCCTGGGATCATGACCCGAGCCGAAGGCAGACGCCTAACGACTGAGCCACCCAGGCGCCCCTAAAATCATTATTTTAAAAAACCCAAAGACTATAAGTTTCAAGCAATTAATGAGAAAATTTGAATTAAAAAATCATTGACAAATTGGGGCATCTGGCTGGCTCAGTTGGTAGATTATGCAACTCTTGATCCTGGGTCGTGAGGTTTGTTTGTTTGTTTTTTAAGATTTTATTTATTTGTTTGAGAGAGAGAGCACACATGTATGCACTCGAGCTGGGGGAGGGACAGAGGAAGAGGCAGAGGGAGAGAGAGAATCCTCAAGCAGACTCCCACTGAGCGTGGAACCCCACATGTGGCTCGATTTCATGACTCTGACATCACAAAACCAAGAGTCCCACGCTTGACCAACTGAGCCACCCAAGGCGCCATGAGTTTGAGCCTACACTGGGGGTAGAGTTTACTTAAAAAAAAAAATTTTTTTTTACACAAGTGATTTGAGGAAGCAAGACATCAGGCTGATTGTTTTTTATTTTATTTATTTATTTATTTATTTTTAAAGCATGGGTTTTTTGTTTTTTTTGTTTTTTGATTTTATTTATTTATTTATTTATTTGACAGAGAGAGAGTGAGAGGGGGAGAGAGCACAAGCAGGGGGAGTGGCAGGGAGAGGAAGAAGCAGGCTCCCCGCTGAGCAAAGAGCCTGATGCGGAACTTGATCCCAGGACTCTGGGATCACGACCTGAGCTGAAGGCACCCAGGTGTCCCCATCAGGCTGACTGTTAACCTTCATTTAGATAGATGAGAAAGGTTAGCAAATATTTGCCAACCAGTTGTAAATTTAAGTGAAATCTATACTTATTCTGTAGCTTGAGCTGCTATTTATTTTAAAAGAGCAGAGTTTTTCTATAATATAGAAAGGTTTGTAGTAAGAGTTCTCTTCCAAGTTTGTTACCTTCTGACCCTGAGACTACTTTTGCTACTAGAAAGTAGACTACTAATGCTATTATCAACTACACCATGGGCTACTGATCAGTAAGAGCCTACAAACTACAGTTGTCACAGGGGTCTAATTTTGCTCATTAACCTTGTGATAATTAACCTGCTGACTATGAGCTTATTATAATGAACTAACCAGTATATAAAAATTTAGTTAAGAGCCTATCTAGAAGCTATCCTCATTGCACAAATTGTTTTGCAATTAAATAAGTGATTCTAATAAAAGCTATTTATTTATTTGAGACAGAGAGAATGAGAGACAGAGAGCATGAGAGGGAGGAGGGTCAGAGGGAGAAGCAGACTCCCCGCCGAGCAGGGAACCCGATGCGGGACTCGATCCCGGGACTCCAGGATCATGACCTGAGCCGAAGGCAGTCGCTTAACCGACTGAGCCACCCAGGCGCCCTAATACATTAGCTTTTAAACACAATGTAAAAGTCTTGTTCTTCCATACAACCCCATAAACCTTTTCACATCCTACACAAAGACTTGATGGCAGCAGCCTAGTTATCTAGCACAGCCTGGCCATTTTTGTCTGTCAGTCCCTCCCTGCAGCTCAGAAGAGCAGTTGCTTTCTAGGGACCAGCCATCCCCAAGGCCAGCTTCATAAGCAATTATCACCAACCTGCAATGTAAGGGGCTAAACATGTGTTTCCCAAAAATGTAGGGTTCTTTTTTTTTTTCCTTTAACTCAGTGCGTCCAATAGATAAGCAGAAAAGTAAATCTACTTCTGCGTCTGCTATTTGCTAAACACTCTGCTTGACACGAAGTGAGGACAGTGGTATGGTGATGTCAAAGAGAGAAATAACTTCGAAGCAGTGTGACAAAACAGACTTGCAGAAAGAAGAGAGATCAGTCTCAGCTCCACCACTTCCTAATGAAGGCACAACCTGGCAAAGTCACTCTCCCTGGATCTCTGTTCTTGTCTACACAATGAAAACAACAAAAATATCTGCCATGTGCCCCACACAGGGAAGCACTAGGACTCAATTCAAAAAACATATGTAAAGAACTCTGTAGACTATAAAGTCCCACACATATGTGGGATGCCCACTGGGCATTATTTAAACTGTCCCAACACTTGTGGTTAGTTCTGATGTCTGTTTGGAAACATGAGATTTTTACTTCAAAAATCCCAAGTAAAACTAGTAGTAACATTCATATTTCTTCTCAGCTTCTATTGTGTTTGTGTTGGGAGAGACAATCCTCCCTGGCTCTCTCTTGTTCCTACAGACCTTGCAGGGTATGCCAACAATGCAAGGTCCTGGCCACTCTTTACTCAGGCCCTTTCTCAGGGTTATGTTTCCAGAAAACAACCTTGAGGGAAGAGTTAGCATCTCTCTCTGGGAAAGAGAGCACTCTTGTTGACTGCTTATTATAAAACAGTGGATTCCCCAAGCTCAGTATCCCTCAGCTATGATACTACCTTCTGCATGTGCAGGCATTCATTCAGACCCACGGCATCACATGGGACTTCGGGGGCAAGAGGAACTGATGCCAGCATGCTGATGCTCATCCCGCTTGCTGTGATATGAGAAATAAAGTCCTTTGTCTCTGACTCAGTACTTTGTCATCTGCCAACATCCATAAAACAATGACAGGCTAACTTACTAGTTTGCAAGTTGGGTAAAATAAAATCCCAGACCCTGACAGTTTGTGGTCACAAGCATAGGATGCTGAGACGCTGAGACATACCTTTCTGTAAGAGAAAGGACAATGAGCTGGGGATGGAATCTGGTGGGCAAGGAAGGTAGCGAGAGTCTCCCACTATCCTACCTATTAATGAAGCTGAATGGAGAAAGAAACAGTTTGAATGTTGCCTTGGTTACTGCTCACTCTCTTCTGGGCAAAATAAGAAAGAGATGTAATCATGATAATGGGGCAGCAAGCCTAGCAGCCCCAGCCAAAAGGCAATATGGATGTGGCTGCTAAATCAAGGAGTCTCCAAAGTTTATATAAATGGTGCCAGTAGTAAGGACCTTGCTATTCAATACAGAACTTTGGGCAAAATGAAAACATTGAAAAGTCCTGGGGTAAGCTGTGTGCTCAAGACAAAAGTAAATGTGCCTTGCTCGTCGCTCATAGCCACTCTCTCCCTCTGTGTCCCATGATCCCTCCCCCTCTACGACAATCTCAGCTGCGTTAAAAGGAGTAAGATGATTAAAGGTGGGGCCAAGGTTTCCCTATCCCTAAATGGGATTGAAGGCCACACACATGCTAGTATGCTGGGGAACTCCAGAGAAAAGAGGGACTCAAACTCAGGGCAGGGGCCCACATCAGCTCACTCAATCCCATGGCGGGGAGCAGGGACAATCTGCTAGGCACAGGGGTTACCAGAGGTGCAGTGTGTACAGCGATGGAAAGAAAAGGGCCCTTAAGCCCAGGGGCTCACCACGGAAGTACACTGACACACGGAAGTATACTGGAAAGAAGGGGTGCCAAGCCTATGGAGGGGCTAAAGAAAAAAGCTTCCTCCCACCCCTTGCATCCAGCACTCCACACTCTCCACTGGGGAATGGCATAATCTCTGGCTGGCTGCCACTGTAGTTACTGATGCAGGCCTATTAGACTCATAAGTTCAAGGGGGGTAAGCGCCCAAATTCAACTGACAGGTTTGAGCCAAGCTCCCAGTGGGGAAGGAAAGGTAAAATGACCTTGTGGGTAGGGCCCTGTACTACTGTTGTGGCTCCCAGTGTGAAATGTATACTGGCAAAGAGGATTATCCATTCAGGGACTGCCATGTGCTCCAGGAGAAATAATATAAATTCCAAGAAGAGAAAGGGAAATCACAGCCTTGAAGACATAATGGCAGCAGGAGCCAAGAGAGGCCATTCTCCAGAATAACAGCGCCATCTGCTGGACGCAGGTACCAAGCACACACTTTTTTAAAAGGGCAGCTATCAACCTACTACTAAGCTTTTATTGAAATTGAGTGCCTGACAGATGAAGGCCTTAGGACTCTTCGGCTTGATATACCACTTTGAGGTGAGTCAACTTGGAATATAAAGCTAACAAAAAGGCTCAACAGGCTTGCTCGTCAAATGGAAGTGATATAGCTGGCCTGGCCCTAGAGGCATCTTGACTTTATAAGAGGAGGTGGGAGCATCCACTTTGGGAGGAACTATCTTCCACTCTGCCACCCAGAGCAAAACCACTGGCTCAGTGGAGGCTTGATTCACAGAGGTTCCTCTCAAGGTTTTTGCCTGGTTTACTGATAGCATCCACTGGGCAGCAGCAATCATCCAGTCCCAGTGACAACTCTGGAAGGCCAACTGCAATAAGGGTTCATGGGCACAATGGGCTGAATTGAAAGTCATCACCCTTGCCTTACACCATATTCCTGAGAAACAGACAAATTCTCTTTTTATTGGCTCTTGGGCTTTTGCCATTAGCCTAGCTTCTGGTGTGCCACCTAGAGGACTATATACTGAGAAATTTAAATCACCCCTCTTCAGAGCCAAGAACTGTGGCAAAAAAATCATGGCTGCCTGTCAATGGGACAATCTGGATCACACATACAGATGTCCACAGTAAGGGCCAGTATTCTGATAAGACTGACTGAAATCAAGCTGCAGATCAAGCTTGTACCAAACAGGCTACTGCCAATGCCACCAGCATTCATCAGTGCTCCACACGTGGAAACACATCTACCATCATGGACTAGGCACAAAGTAAAGGACTCTATGTTTCTGAAGCATAAGCCATTACTACATTGTGGTGACTTGTGACTCCTGCCAAAAGTTGGCCAATTTGTCCTGCAATAAGGGAGGCCACATGGGGGCACTGGCCCTGCCGGCTCCAAGGAAACTGACTGTAGTAGGATTTGTTCCCCCCTCCAGGCTATCACTGGTACCTCACTGCTACTGACACTTTTTCAGGTTAAAGTGTTGATGATGCTGTTCCAGTCCAATCATCTGACCCCACATATGTCATTGCAGCACTTGAAACTAAACTATGTCATTCCAAACCATCTACAGTCTGACGATAGCGCACCTTTTTTTTTTTGCAATGGCCACATAATAATGAGCCAACAGTCTAGGTATCTGATGACATTCCACACTCCCTACGCCCCAAAGGCATTTGATACTGTTGAGCACAGAACAATTTTCTCAAAATGGTTTCTGACTCTACTTCCCTCACCTCCTCCTGGTTCACACACCTTGGTAAAGCAGTTTGGTCACCTAATGCAGTCATCACCAGAAACGGTTCATCTCCTCTTGGCCACCAACTGGGTAATGATCAGGACAAAAAGAGGTGGAGGGTTATATAAACCCATATTTTGAAAATTTTAGATTCTTCCTGGACTGTTCCTGGACATGATTTGTCTTTCCTTCCCCCTAACAACTCCACATCAGTGGGGTGGGGGAGGGAGGGGAGATTCAAACTTATTCCAGTATACTGATATTCATCCTGCTTCCTGCCCTGTGAGTAATGAGTCCTTTGTCTCTGACCCAGAAGTCTCATGTCTTCTGCCAGCACTCATGAAACAATAACAAGCTAATTTATTCACTTCCAAGTAGGATAGCCCAGTTTGTTAGCTGGCTTGCTTTTTGGTCAAGGAGTTCCATTTTTAACATCCCCTACACTAACTTTCTGGTCAGGGATACTGACAAAACATGTTATCACTTGTTGGCTAAACAAATTAACCATTTTCAGATTGTGCAAAACTTCTCCTTCAAGCTGGAGGCTTTTTACGCTTATCTCGTGAAATCTGAGTCCTACAAAATAAAACCTTTAAGAAAACAAGTCTCTCTTCACCAGATGACCCCAGACCTGCTTCCTGAGACCCCTGTCACCTTCTCTGGACACACAAATTGTCCCTGCTCCCAAGGATGATTTTCACCTCCCCTGATGCCTGGAAATCCTACAGATTAGGAACTCAGGCCTTAGGAAATTCTGTACTAAGAATTTCCAAATCTCCTTGGAAGGTCAAGGCCATAATCTGAGAGACTGCTTCCTCCGATGCTAAGGAACCCCACTGCCACCCAACGGAGCAAAAATGACTCCTCTCACAGAAACCGCACCTGGCCAAAAGCTGCCCCTAGCAACTCTTTCCCCTCCAGCGCAGTCCCGCTCCTCCTCGGTGATTCCCGCCCCGCTCCGTGCCCCCGGGCCAATCAGAGAGCGCATCACTCCCACTCGGTTGCCATGGGACCCGCCGAGTCCCTCCTGTCACTCACCAAATGTGTGGCGGCTCGTCCAGACGGTGGAAGCGGGTGGCGAAGGACAGCAGCGTCACCAGGGCCAGCGGGGCCCACCGGCCGGCTGCCTCGAAGCGCCGCGAGCCCCGAGCAGGCCGTTTGGGGCTCCGCGCTGTAGGCTCGGGGGCCACGTCCGGGCCCACGGCCCTAGTAAGCTGGGGCCCACAGCGGCCCCGCCGGGGGCGCAGCTCGGACCCTGCCGGGCCTCTGCCCACCGCCGGCGGCATCCTGCCCCTCCTCAGGATCGCCCTCCGCCCCGCCGACACGCTCGATCTTGCGAGCCGCCCCGCCAAGAAGTCACCCAGGGGCAGCTCGGGGTGCCCTGGGAAATGTAGTTCCCTTCGCCGGCAGCGGGCCCCGGGGCCCTGGCCTCTGGGCTGGGCGGGGAGCGCGGTCGCCGTCCGGGCCGCTAGGAGGCGGCTGGTGGCGCAGAGCATGACGGATCGCCCGGGCCCGGCGGGCCCGCCGGGGAGAAAACGGGCTCAAAGAACTGCAACTCCCAGCAGCTTCGGGAGGGGGGGCGTGGCGGCAGGGCGGGGCGAGCCAGACGAGACCTTAAAGATCATTCTAGTCCAACCCCTCGCTTTACCACGACGGAAGCGCTGGTTCTGACGTATTGGGCCTCACTGGGCCTCAGCCCGCGACGAGTCGGAGAGTCCCAGGCGCGAAGTCTCCGGCCCTGGAAGAGGGGTGGCCGGAGGTGCGAGATGCAAGTGGGTAAGGTCTGTGCCACACATCCGGCGAGGGGGCGCTACTGAGAAACACTGAGAAACCCGGGGAGCGGGGGTCAAAGGTGCGCCGCTCGCCCCGGGGCCTCCCGTGGCTTCCACAACGCACAACTCCCGGAATGCAGAGCGCCTCGCGGACTCCGCTCTGCGCCTGCGCGCTGCCCGCTGCCCGCTGGGGCTTGTAGTTCGCGGAGGTTTGGGCCGCAGGCGGCTCGCGCTCGTGGGGTGTGTAGGGCGCTGTGGAGTCGCTGTACCCTCGCGCCTCACCTGTCATTCACAGTCCTTTCTGCTAGGCTTTCCAGACGTCCCTTGCCTCCCTCTTCCGTACAGCCCCACATGCTCTTTCCCGGCCAGTCGGCCCGACGGCTCCTGTTAGCGTAGGGCCTTCCCAGGTGGTTTGCACTTTGAGAGCTCCTGGGGCGAGGGGAGCCATTAGCACTTTAAGTCATCACCATCACCAGGGGAGCTTCCCGGGTTCAGTCTGCACTCCCCGGCCTGGCCCAGAGCCCCGGGGTCATCTGTGGGGGAAGGGACCCAAGAATCTGCATGCTTAATAAGCGCCCCGTGAGCCTTTTAAGGTCTTATTCAAGTTTTGAGAACCACCGAGGAAGGTGTCAGGCACATCGGGTGGAATATAGCATCACCTTAATACTGTATAGCCCTCCCCCTCCCAAATGGCATTTTAGGAGTCTTTCAAAACGATTCGTGAGAAATGGTTTTAAAATAAAATCTGCTAGAGTGGTCAGAATCCATATTTGAATTGGAAACAGTTCCTCCAGGAGTGGTGATGAGATGAATACTTTATTTGGGCTTAAAACTTGGCTCTACAAGAGCAAAAAGGAGCACGGAGTAGTTTACGTAGTTACCACTGGTAGGAGGAAGAGCAGGGACTGCTCTCTGTTATTTTTCCTGATGGCCCATAAGTGGGACACTGGAGAACAGTGGCATTCACAGTGACTCTGGTCACCCTTAGTATAGGTCAAGATGGAACATATAGTAATTTGGTAAGGCATTTCTCCAGGGATTCTAAGCTAATGTCTGAGGCTCTCTAGTGGTCCCATCCCTCACCAGCAGTACCTGCCTGACGGCCCTGACCTGGTAAGGACAGGGATGTACCTCTGAATAGGGCATATCTAATTTTGGCCTCCTAACTCCTCCCCTTCCAAAGACACCTGCTGTCCATCACCTGCCCTCCGTACCTGGACCATCTTTACTTTCCCCACAAGAGGTGCCTTCAGTACAGGCTGGAACTGACAGGCCTGGAAACCAACCTGGGAGGGCCTAGGTTCCACTGTGCCTTTGCCCACCTAGAAGACAGAATTGGTAGTTCAGGGATGGTGAAGGCAGGGTCACAGAGCAGTTTGGTGTGCTGAGGGGTGCAGAAGGCAGAGGGCACTTGTGTGAAATGTCTGTAGTCAGAGGGATGGTAGACTGGGATGATCTAGAAATTCTGTTGTGTTCTCTCTCCCTAATCATATGGATACATATATGTCTTCCCAAAGATTCATGAGAGCTAATTACTCCATCCTGGGCCCTGCTTTGAAATGCTGATCACTCAAGAAGCACGGGGGAGGTTAACTTTGAGTGTCTTAAACTTTAGATTAGAGGTCACACACTCAGCCTCCTTCAGTGCCTCAATAACAGAGATGAGAGAAGAGGGCCGGGTAGGGCACATGGAAGATCAGAGGGTGCGCCCTGACTGAAGGGGGCTGTTAATTGCCTCCTATCAGTTGTTCCTACTCAGGAACCCAAGACTACTGTCTCTAGATCTTTTTAAGAAAAAACAGACAATAGGATTTGTATATGAAACATCCTGATTGTTTAATGTTGGCAACCAATTGAAACATTTTTAAGTACAAGTAGACCAAAACAGAACACTGTGGGCTGTCCTCTTGTGACCTCAGCTTTGGAGTCAATATCCAAAGCTGGCATATCCCCCAGCTATTTTTATGAGACCAGCTGAGAACCTGGAGGACTGGTGGGTGGTGGGCTGAAAGAGATGGGCACCAAAGCATCGAAAAACTAGAATTCCTGGTCTTTCTGTCACTGCTGGGAGGAATTCAGCTATCATTTTAAGGCAACCCTTTGTTTTACAGATGAGGGAGAAAAGACTAGAGAATAGAGAAGGCAGGGATCTGCCCAAGGTCATGCAGAGCTGGTTCCTGCCCTGGGACCAGACCCCAGGTATGCCAGCTCTCAGGCCACTGAACCACGTGAACTACGGCTTCAAAACCAGGACACCAAACCTGGCTCCACCAGAACAGAAAAGGCTTCCCCCAAGTTGGAAAAAGATGCCCTTTCTGACCAGAGTCAAAGTTTCCCTGAAGCTTGTCTCGCCCAGCTTCCTCATTGGCTCATGGGATCCACCCTCTTCAGGGATCCTCCCCCTACTCTGCAAGTTCTGGGAGAGGGGACATTCCCTGAGAGGACAAGGGTCACACAACACCATGACTGAGTCTGGCAAGGTAAGGAGGGCACTTGCAGGCTGGCTGCCCCTTTGGGGGCCCCTTGGACCTCAGGAATGCGTGACGGCACAGTTTGGAGCTGAGGGACCCCACATAACTCCCAAGGCCTCTGACCCAGAGAGCTCTGAGTCGGCCTGAGGTACGGAAGGAGGCCTGGCAGAATGGGAAGCCCCCTGGCTGAGGCCAGTGGGCTCCAGGGGCAGAGAACCCCACGAGCATGGGTTAACGGGCATCCTTATCCTGTCTCTCCTCAGCCCATCCTCTACTCCTATTTCCGGAGCTCCTGCTCATGGAGAGTTCGAATCGGTAAGAGCTGGGCCTCCACCAAGAGCCTCGGTGGGAGGGGATGGGGGTAGAAAGAGCCCTGAGTGACAAGCTGGCCAGGGACGCAGGGATCTTCTGTCAGATGGGGCACCTCCACCGAGGAAGTCCAACAAGGGCGGGGGGTGGCAGGAAGGTCTCCCCCACTGCTCTCCAAAGCCACTTGGCAACCACACGGAAAGCAGGCTCACAAAACCCAGAGGTGCTTGGTAACTGGCAGGGAACAGCTGGCCTTGCGCAGTTCTGATCTTATTTCATCCGGCACATTAAACAGAACTGGCCCGAGTCAACCCCAGAGGCTTCGAGGAAGCAGAATGTGGGGCCCTCCGGTGTAGCCCCAGCTTGACACAGTGCTTGGCAAAGATCATAGGCGTCGCTCATACTGAGGGAAAACCATGCTGAGTGTTTTTATGTACATCATTCCACTGAAACCTCGGCAACCTAGGAGGGAGGGATCATTATTGTCCCCATTGTACAAGTGAGGAAATTGAGGCACGGGGACATTAAATGACTTGCCCAAGTCTGTGGAGCTAGCAAGAGGCCGAGATGGAATTCGAACAGCTAGTCTGACTCGAGAGTCCATGTTCTTTTTTTTTTTTTAAAGATTTTATTTATTTATTTGAGACAGAGAGAATGAGAGAGACAGAGAGCACATGAGAGGGGGGAGGGTCAGAGGGAGAAGCAGGCTCCCTGCCGAGCAGGGAGCCCAATGCGGGACTCGATCCCGGGACTCCAGGATCATGACCTGAGCCGAAGGCAGTCGCTTAACCAACTGAGCCACCCAGGCACCCCAGAGTCCATGTTCTTAACTACGCGCTATGCTGCCTGTCAGATGAGGAGACTGAGGCACAGGGGCTCATTAATTCATTAAGCTCCTTGCCCAAGGCCGCACAGCTAGCAAATGTGATGGACTCTGAACCCAAACAGTCTGCCTCCGGGAGTCTGGCCCTCACCGGGAAGCCATCCGCCGTGACCCTCCCCCACCCCACCATCACTTGGTATTTGCTGGAATCAGTAGGCAAGCGCACTGGGGTGCCAGAGGACACATTTCTCCAAGAAGACACCCTCCCCTGGGCCCAGGGCCTCTGCCCTAGCTGGCCAGACGGGAGCCACAGGAGTGCTGTCTCTGCAGGGCCCGTGTGGGCCCGGCCACTTGTCCACAGTGGGGCTGACCAGTGCTGAGGAAGGGCCCCGTATCTCCCAGGCTCTCTTCAGCCTGCAACACGTCTCCTCCTCCTCCCCTCACTCCTTTGCCTTCACCCGAGGTCAAGTTGGACGTGGGCCATCCCCACGTTTCAGTGCCTGTCTGCATGCATACACACAGAGTCTTACTCGGTTGACCAGGGAAAATGATCGAAGGGCACAGAGAGGAAATCTGGTCACTGGGAGTGACAGCAGATGCTGTGAGACCACCAAAGAGCCCTGATGCTCTGCTTGGAATCGGTAGTCAACAACTCTGAGGACAGAGAAAACAGATGAGAATGGGATCCTTCTCTAGCAGGTGTCACCTGCTTGTGTGTGCACTTTGTGGTCACCTGAGCACCTTTCCTTGGCCCCTGGACACCTTCATGAGGGAATAATTGCAAGTCTCCAACAAATAAGCCCTGCTCGCCACTGTTTACGGCCCTGGAGGGGGCAGAGGTAATCAGGACACTTCCCTGCTGCCCTCCCGGGCACACGCCTGGACAGCACTGCCCAGGGGCACGGGGACCCGAGGGGGTGTGGAGAGTAAGGCTCTGAGAGTTCAAGGGCAAGAGAGGCGGAGTGTCAGAGACCTGAGGTGGGGGAATGAGTGGTGACCCGGGAAGCTGGAGAGATGGGGACAGGGCCAGGCTGGGCCTTGATCACCTAGCAGCGTGGAGAAAGAAGCCTCCCTTGGCAGCCTCATGTGGAGCCAGATGCTGTCCCCTGACACTGCTGTCTCTCACAGCTCTGGCCTTGAAAAGCATCGACTATGAGACCGTACCTATCAACCTCATAAAGGATGGGGGACAGCAGGTAAGGAGGCCGCCCGTGGGCCACAATGTGGGAGTTGGAAGTCTTGGAGAGGGACCCAGCAGAGGGTGCAGATTTCTGCCCCCCCAAAAGGTGAACCTGCCGGCCCTCCCACTGGGAGTAAGGGGACAGGCTGTGCAGCACGAGGAGCCATGGGAAGGGCCCAGGTTCCAGGCCCCATGCCACAACCTGGTCTCTCGGTGCCTGACCCTAGGAGAGTGGGCAGCGAGTGGGTCCTTGCCTCATGCTGGGCCCTCTGGACGTGCCTTAATGGCCACAGTGTGAGGTACAGGGAAAAACACATAGCCAGGCCATTGGGGTGAATCCTGGAGCTCAGCAGCCACTGGATTTGGGGATATGGCATGGATCCCCTAGGCATCTCTCTGGAGCCAGGGCCTTCCCCAGGGGAGGGAGGTGCAGGTGGGCCACAGGCCTGGGGTCTTCCTGCTGGCTTGGTTCTGCTCTAGCCAACTTGGGCCAGGCTACCTCGCTCATCAGGTCCTTGTCTCCACAGTTCTCTGAAGAATTCCAGGCACTCAATCCAATGCAGCAGGTGCCGGCCCTGAAGATCGACGGAATCACCATTGGCCAGTCAGTGAGTGCAGGGTCTGGGAGGCCCCTGGTGAGAGCGGTGCCCTGAACGAGAGGACCTCACAGCCCTTATTTGGGTGGCCAAGCGCCTGGCCCTTAGTAGGGACGTGCTAAGTTCTTGCCAGATGGAGGAAGTTTGCCAGGTGGTTTGGGGAAGTGAGGGGAGACTCTAGCCTCTGGGGAACCAAGTTCTGCAGGATGGGGGTCCAAGAAGAGCTCCTCCCTGGGGGAGTTTTGGCTTCATGGGCTCCAGCTGAGGAGGGCGAGGAGGAGCTTGCTGGCCCTGTCACTCTGGCCCAGGGGTCCACATGCCCTCCCCATGCCTCACTGCTCCCCTCCAAACAGCTGGCCATCATTGAGTACCTGGAGGAAACTCGGCCCACTCCGCGCCTCCTGCCGCAGGACCCGAAGAGGAGGGCCCAGGTGCGCATGATTTCCGATGTCATTGCCAGTGGCATCCAGCCCCTACAGGTGTGGCTCTGGACTTTCACCCCTGCACACCTCTCGCATGCCTCCCCCCACGCGCTCTTACCTTCAGACACACGGGGAATGTGAGGTGCCACAGTGGGGCACCCAGCTTGGGAGTGGGGGTGGGGGGAGCACAGGAGGGATTCTCAGTGGCTTAGACCTAGACCATGTGGCAGAGGGGTAAGGGATCCCAGAAAGTATCTGCCCTGCTGGGTCCCCAGCCGCATTCTGAGAAGCCCCAGGTTTTCCAAGGACTCGTCCAGAAGTGCTTGGGGAGGGGTGGGGCCCGGTGGCGGGGGGAGGCGGAACAGCAGAGGCCCAGGCCCACCACCGCCTTTAACCAGAACAGCTTCCCTCTCATTTCTTCTGTGTTCTAGATTGGGAGTCTCAAAAGATTGTATTTTTTAAAGTTTTTACTGGTAAAATAATAATAATAAGTATTCAAGCAGTTCATCTGTGTTAACCCCTGACTTTGCAAATGAGGAAATCACCCCACAAAGGTGGAGGGACTTTGCAGAGTCATTCCCCTAAGTATGGCAGAGTAAGTACCAGAGCCCGGGCTCCCCGACTGTGCACTGGGCCCCCGTCCCCGAGTTACCTTGTCCTGTTTAACAAAGGAGATTGGAGCAGACGGACAGCCCCATTTTACAGATGAGGAAGCCGAAGCTCAGAAGTGAAATGGCTCCCGGGTTGTAAGGATGGAATCAGAGTCCTGATCTCCTGAAACCCAGTCCTATGCTCCTCCTCCATCCAAGCCCCAGCCCTGTGCTGTGCACGTGCAGACGCACACACACACCCGCTCTCCTCACGAGGAGCCATGTAAGGGAGACGCATTGGATGCAGGGGAGATGGGCCTCAGGTCATGGCCACACACCTTAAAGCCACAGCAGCGCCCTGTGCCCCGACCCTTGCACATCTCTGCCAGGCCACAAGGTTCCAGACCACAGGGACCACTCAAGCAACCTGAGAAGGTGGCTGCTGGGATCACTCACCCCCTCCCAGTGCCCTGATGGGGAGAGGGGGCTCATGGAGGCCAGGAAAGGACAGATGGACAGCCAGGGGTGGGTGGGAACTGAGCTGCCCTGAGGGGGCTTGGCTGGGGGTCAGGCCCAGCCTGGCTCCCAAAGCCAGTCACAGCTTATCCTTGGTTGCATAGAACTTGTCTGTCCTGAAGCAAGTGGGACAGGAGAACCAGCTGACCTGGGCCCAGAAGGTCATCCGCTCTGGCTTCAACGGTGAGTCCTTCCCCCTGCAGGCCGCCCCGTGACCACTCAGAGAAATGGCCCTTGTGCCTAGGGCCCTGGGCATCTGACTCAGCCTCCCAGGCTCTTTGCTCCTGACAGTGGCATGGATGAGGGTAGGGGTGCAGGGCTGAGGAGGTAGTAGGGCTGGATGGCATCCAGACCTGGCCTCAACCTCGGGCACTTCTGGGAACCTCAGCCCCCGAGGCCCACAACCCTTTGGAGCGGGATGGTCTACCCTTGGCCTCACTGCCCACCCCAGCCAGGAACCGAAGACCAGTAACATCTGTGGGAGAGCTGCTGCCTTGGCCAGTGGCCGGCCTTGTTCCTTCTCGGGGAGGGAAGGACAGCTGGACTTGAGGAGCCCAGGGAAACATCATCTGTCCCCACACCCCCATGAACTCTCTCCAGATGTGGTTGGCACATTCCCTGGAGCCCACATGCTGCAGCTGGTCACTCAGATAGCTGCCCATTTCAGAACGATGGGGGCCAAGGTCCATTCTGTGCCCAGAGTAAGATGATTCTCGTGGCCTTCCCACAGCTCTGGAGCAGATCCTGCAGAGCACGGCAGGGAAGTACTGTGTGGGAGACGAGGTAAGCCCTCCCCAGGCCTTCCCACAGGAGCCTTCTCCCTCCACCCCCAGGGCAGGGGCAGGTCAGAGAGCTTCTGGAGGAGGCATGGGGGTGGGGAGAGGGGCCAAGGTCATAATTCTGGTTCCAGGGCCCCCCTACCTCATCCTGAGGTGTCTCCTCCCTGCTGGGAGCCCTCAGTAAGTGCCTATGATGGTGGTTAACAAGCATGATAAGATCCACTGAGACAGTCCAGCCTTCTCTGGCCACCCACAGACTTGGTTGTCAGGACAGCTGGAACCTGGCCTGGGAGAAGCACAGACAGGCCCAGGGGGCGGGAAGAGGAGAGAGGTGGGGTGGGGGGGATGGGGTGGGGGAGCCAGAAGTAGACAGGAATGCCAGGGGCTGGCGCCCCAGTGGACACAGCGAGGCCAGCCTGTGAGTCCGGGGTGCGCATCCTGAGGCAGACCCCCCAACCCTGTCTCAGGTGTCCGTGGCCGACCTCTGCTTAGTGCCTCAGGTGGCAAATGCTGAAAGGTAAGACAGCCCCACCACCCTCCCTCCTCCGCCTGGTTCCTCCCCTCAGAAGGCCCAGCCTCCTCCCACAGTCGGGCCCTAACTTCAGCTACTGGGGAAGCCCCTCACGCAGAGGCTCTCCCAGACTGGCCAAGGAGCCCCCCTGGGCCAGGCCTCCCCGGCTCCTGTGGCCTGGAAGAGCCAGTGGGGGACCTCAGTGGAACGCCCCCTACTGTGCCCATCACAGTCCGTCTGACACTGTCTAGCATCTGCCCCTAAGAGGCGGTGGCTTGCCCAGTGGACACCCCTAGAAGAAACCACCCCAAGAGCCTGCTCCCCACGATGGGCTGTGCCCGTGCCTGGCAGGGAGCTCTCCTCTGCGGTCCTCCATCAGCCCTTCAGTGAGGCATGAGAGAGTACCTCTCTGGAAGGCATCACACCAGGCACCGTTGGGACACGGAGATGTTATGACACATTCGCTGCCCCTGAGAAGCTTATGACATGGGTGGAGAGATTATCTGTGTATGTAAATGGCGAGCGCTGTGTCTTACGCGGAGTAGGTTCTTGATGAATCGCCATCACTTGGAATACGAGCAGTAGCAACAGAGATGCTAGGCCGTCTTGCATGAGACCTGCCCATCCCCAAGGCCGCCTGTGAATCGGGCCCCCACGTGGCTGGACAACTTCCTGGCCCTTCCCTGGCCAGTCCCCGGGGCCTCATCCAGCCCGCCTCTGTGTGGCCCTCACCGCCCCCAGGGCAGTCTCCCTGTGCCCCAGCAGACCTGGTGTTGAGATGGTGTTAGACAGGTGTTTCTCTGCCACAGGTTCAAGGTGGATCTCACTCCCTACCCTACCATCAGCCGCATCAACAAGACGCTGCTGGCCTTGGAGGCTTTCCAAGTGTCTCACCCCTGCCGGCAGCCAGACACACCGCCTGAGCTGCGGGCCTAGCTCCCCAGCTGTGCCCCATGGGTGAGGGGGCAGGGAGAGGGTGCAGGAGCAGAAGCTGGGGGGAGGGGGTGCTGAACAGGCCTGGCAACAAGCAGGCCCTACTGGAGAAGCAGGAGACCTGAACTCCTTGAACTTGGACTCAAGCCCTGGATCCGCCTTCCCACTGAAAATCCTTGTGCCTCAGTCCCCTCATCTGTCCAGTGCGGGTAGTGTGGGGGAGAGGATGCTGGGAGGGAGGGAGGCAGGAACATCACCGGTCATCTGTGTCGTGGGGCAGTCGTGAAGATGAGGTGAGAATGTAGCCTAAAACGCTTGGTGGGTTCGGCAAGGAGACGTAAGGGAGCCTGCGCGCTCTTCCCATGCCCGCAGCTGTACCTGACTCCAGAGAAGGCCCACACTGAAATTTGATCATTAAACTGAAGCCCAGGCCTCCAGGTTGTTCAGTTAAGGCTGAGCCGCGTTCCAGAAGATGAACACTCTTCCTAGCTGGAATCCCCCTGCATCTGGGCCAGGAGAGAAAAACGTCTGAAAGCCTGCCAGAGAGAAGCAGACCAGATCCAGAAGAGAATAGATAGAAACGGCAGGAAAGAAAGCATTTTGTGACCAGCTGAGTTTCCAGGGCTAGAAGGGTACCAGGAAGTGGCCCACTGGAGCACGGAGGGGGAAGTTGGCCCTCTCAAGCCAGAACAGTCCTAGGAGTAGGCACTTGGAATAAATCCAGTCATGAAGGGCCCTGGGAACCGGAGGCAGGCTCCTCCATGGGCAGCATGACCCGCCACTGCCCAGGCTGGTTCCGGACCCCACGCAGCTAGCAGCTTGCCTTGAGATCCCTTCTGGGGGTGGAACAAGATGACTTTTATGTCCTGTACCTGAGATTTTATTTCCCCTGCATGGCTAAGGCTTCAACAGTGAGTTCAGGTAGATGTGTCTGGTTCACATGGAAGCCACCACTCTCAGCGGACATGAGTCCCTTTTCTTCAGCCCCGACCCCAGGGCACCTAGTTCTCCCATCCTCCCGGGCTCCTTTGTGTCCTCTCCTTCCTGAACTTGGGTTCCAGGCTTTAGAATGACCAAAAGGGGCCACTCTTGTTCCTGAGACACACTGGTCCTGGCAGAGCCAGAAAAAAGCACAGGGCATTCCGTGAGACACAGCAGTGTTGAGGGAGACTCGGTGGTTCCTCCTGCCCTGCCTCCATCTTTCCGTCCGCTTACTCCAGGCTTGCCCGGCTGCGTAAAACTTGCCCCTGGGCTCTCTCCAGGAAACCTTGACTCAAGAGACTGATCTCCTCAGCCCAGGGATCAGGACTCGCACCTGATTTGGACATTTGGAGTTGAAGGTGATTAAAGTCCCTGTAGATTTTAAAGATACCAGCTTGCAGTGAGCCTTCCCCGGTGACTTCCCCACCTGGGAGCTGGAACGTGTGGCCTTGTGACTGGGAGTGTGGCAGACATGGCCCTTGCTCTTGAACTCCTGTCCCTCACTTACCCTGGGAAGTTCCCTTGGCCACTTGGAACTCTCCCACTCAGCGTGGTTAGTCTGTTACCTACCTGCTTGTCTGTCTGATCCAAAATGACTTCTAAGAGTTGCCGTATTTCGGCTCAGGTCTTCTCCTGGATACTGTCAGAGTATTAACTCATTTAACCTGGGACTCTATCAGCCATCCTAAAACTGGTGGCAAAAGCCTAATGGATTGTAAGGAAATCTAAATTAGGTAAAGAGGTGATACAGCCTGTTGTCAAAACATTCTAGAAACCATCCCTCATCTGTTGCACAAAACTAACTTCACATACTTTTCTCCATAGTTCCGGTCCTCTAGTTCAACAGGACTTTTCTGGTATATGTCAGATGTAAATTGAAAATCAGCTGTGGGTGGATGGGAGGAGAGAGAACACATGTTGGGGGGTTTCCTCTGGGCTCAGCAGAGATCCTTGGAGTCCCATTTCTGAGGCTCTCCTTTCTAGCTGACTTCCCCAGACTCCACCCCACCCCCAAACTCAGACAAACCTGACCTTGCCCCACAAAAACAGAAATGTGTCCAAGCCAGAGAAACTCATCCCGGGCTCCTCTGAGGTGACTCACCTGGAACGTGCTGGGTTCCTGCAAGGATCCCACATCGATTATCTGCACCACTCAGGAAGTGACTAAACCTTTGTGGCTCTCGGCTGCACTGGCTTTAGGAGGACAGTGGTCCATCCATCTTACCTCATGATGTTTTTGTAAAGGAGATTTTTGTATTTTTTTTTTTTTTTTGAGACCGAGAGAATGAGAGACAGAGCATGAGAGGGAGGAGGGTCAGAGGGAGAAGCAGACTCCCTGCCGAGGAAGATTTTTGTATTTTAAAGCTAGAACTTAAACCTCGGGAGCTCTCCACACAGCTGGCAGCACCACAAGCTGGTCTCAGGACCAGGGCTGGGGACCACCCTTGCCACCTTCTTCACCCAGACCTGAGGAAGAGTGCCTGGGCTCTCCAGGGCCTACGACGACTCTGGGTGTCTCCCGCGGCCTTCGGCGGACCAGGCCTGTGAGGAAGTGATGGAACGGGGGGGCTGCAAGGCAGGCCCGGGGAGCCACCAGCCCAGGGTAAACTGAGGGGTGGAAAAGGCATGGGTGGAGAGGGGCGTTGGATGTGCAGAGGACCAGAGTTTATGAGAAAGGAGAGTGGTCTGATTTCGGGGCTTGCAGTTTTGAGTCAGAGTGAGGCTGTCACTCTGTGTTCCAGCCCTGGGCCCTCCGTGGAGTCCGGGTCACCAGCATGCTTAGCTGACCTGCTCTTGAGGGGTGTGGAGACCCAAGACTTTGCTAGCTTCAGCCGTCCGCATTGGGAACCCTCCTCTAGGGACCTGTGGCTGGATACATGGGAGACAGGAGAACCCCCTTTATTCCTAGAGGAACTCAGCTGCGCTCTAGGGAGTAAGAGAACGCATTTCGAAACCATCTTCCCTGCATGAGAGCAGAGTTCCCTCGAGCGCCTCTAGGGCTGCACTCCCGACCCCCGTTCCCCCCGTGCCATTCAAGGGGACTAGCCTTGCTCCTTAAGCGCTTGTTAGATAGAAACCCATCCCTGTACAGCCATGGCTGGCGCCCCCCCCCCCCTCCTGGAATGTCTCTCCTCTTTGGGGGCCCTAGAAGATCACGAAGGAGCAAATATTTCCCTAAGTGCTGAAACTGGTCAGACCGAATGGCTCCGAGGCTTAGCAATAATTAGGCTTCTCTAAAGGGCTTTGAAAACTACCTCTTCTGTGACTTCCTTACGTCTGCAACTAAGTTCCTGTTTTCAGGGGTCAGAGGTATCTCTCAGTTCAAAACCATCACCTATTTCGGGGACATTTTCCAGTAGGGGCTTCTCTCTACAGGCTGAGTGGGCGGTAAGAGTCAAGTCCTTCATTCCCACCTGTTGTCAGATCCCTGACTCTGTCGGAGGCCACAGGGAGACCTGATCTGCAGCCACGGGGGGAGTGGCCACAGGGGTGACAGGCAGATGCTGCAGTGGCCTGATACTGCTAATTAGGTGCAAAGGGTCTTTCACCGCTATAGAGGTAGGAAGTCCTGGCAAATACTTTAGAAGGATGAAAACAGCAAAGAGAAGCTGCCAGGAAATACTTGAGGACAAAGCAAAACATACAGGATTTTGTTCCAAAGCAAAATACATACCCATTAGGGGCGCCTGGGTGGCTCAGATGGTTGAGCGTCTGCTTTCCGCTCAGGTCGTGATCTCGGGGTCCTGGGATCGAGCCCCACGTCAGGCTCCCTGCTCAGCGGGGAACCTGCTTCTCCCTCTCCCTCTGCCTCTCCCCCTTCTCATGCTCTGTGTGTCTCAAATGAATAAATAAAATCTTAAAAAATTACATATCCATTAAGGAAAGTAGTAAGCTTACTGAACATGCCAATGGATTCACATACTCATAACGACTCATTGTATCGGCTCCTCCTAACTTTTAAACATAACTTATTTAGTTCTTGATTCCAAAGTCACCAGCAGGCATCATTCCACTTTGGGAGAATATGTGAACTAACATGGCTGTTGAGTTTAGCCAGAACCTCGTAGGTTAAAGCACATCAGACTGAATGTAATCCCGAGCTATGTCAGGGTCAATGAAATGACAGGAGTGCCCCCCCCTTTTTTTTTAAGATTTTATTTAATTGAGAGAGAGAGAGAACAGGGGGAGGGGCAGAGGGAAAGGGAGAGGCAGAGAATCTCAAACAGCCTCTGGGCCCAGCATGGAGCCTGACGCTCACGACCCTGAGATCATGACCTGAGCCAAAATCAAGAGTCGGACACTTAACCAACTGAGCCACCCAGGCGCCCTTAGAGTAGTACCTTTAAAAGTTAAAAAATAATCTTCAATATGGGGCACCTGGCTGGCTCAGTCAGTGGAGTGTGCAACTCTTGATCTTGGGTTTGTGAGTTCAAGCCCCACATTGGATACAGAGAAATTCTTTTTTTTTTTTTAAGATTTTATTTATTTATTTGACAGAGAGAGATATAGCGAGAGAGGGAACACAAGCAGGGAAGAGGGAGAAGCAGGCTTCCCGCGGAGCAGGGAGCCCGACGCAGGACTCGATCCCAGCACCCTAGGATCATGACCCGAGCCGAAGGCAGACGCTTAACGACTGAGCCACCCAGGTGCCTTGAGGGTACTTAAATTCTTTAAAAATAAATAAAGTGACTTTCAATATGTTAAGTGTTAGCGGTGACATACTACATTTAGCATACCCAAACATAACTCATTAAAGACCCCCAGCTCCATGTAGTCTGCCTGGGCTCTTTACTGGTTGTGCTGTAGTTTGGTGGGCAGATTATATTTATTTAACTCACAATTACTTCCAACCCCTTCCTCTTTTATACAACAGCCTCTAAACTACGTTGCAAAGGAAGGCAGAGGAAGATCCAGCAGGCTTGTAGAACCACAGATATCTGAAGAAAAGATTTTAATGGTACCCTTCCTGCTCAGATTAGGAGTCTTTCTCATTTTGTAATAAATGCCAGCGATGTGCACAGGCATCATTTTAAGATATGTCTAAGACATCTTAGGGTGTCATTTTTGAAATGGAAATAGACTGAATTAATATCACCCAGACTGTGTACATGATTACCCTGGTGTCCACTGTACCAGTTCCAAATTTGAACACAGGAAGTTCACTGGAAAATGAACATCACTGGAAACTAGATACTGATTAAACTCTATAATGTTCTATTTAGTGATCATCGCTCTAAACCCACTTTTTCTGCCCTTGGGCCAAACCCAGTTCCCAGTTCGTAATACTCTGCCATGAATTTAAACACAGTTGAAAGATCTGTCATTAATCTGTCTCAATTTTTTTCTTAATTGTTAATTTTTCTTCAATTTTTATAATCAATAGATTACAGAATAATTCATATAGATTGACAGCATACCTTTCCTCTAGGAGGAATGCAGAGATGAATAAAA